TATTGCAAAGGTTCGTTCTCTATAAACACTAAATTTCGATAATCAAATGCGATAAAGAAGATATCACTAAGTATAATCAAAAATATCAATTTAAAATTAATATTATACGAGTTTTTTGGAGTTATTTCAATTATAAGATAAATTTGGTATTCGGCCATAATATGTGATAATTTAGTTTTTTTTCTTTCTTTTCTTTGACAAGTATTTTTCAAATCACTCGCAGTCCAAAGGCCACTGTCGAATTTCGAATTAGTTCTATATTTCTTAATCTATTAATGCATTATCGAGTACTGTGTGTACATGACGTTTTGCCAACTCAGAAATTGTTTGCAGTGTGTGTAGTATGTGCGGGCGATAAGTAGTGACTGGTTTGTAGTTCTATTAATTTTATGTGATGCATTGGCGCACTGGCGCTCAAGCTTTACGAAATTTGATAGCTTCTTCTGTTTTGTTAATGTTATTCGGATGGATTCGATTTCTTCGCTTTAGAATCTTGCATGGAAATCTTTGTTGTAGATGAAATCTGCATTTCGGTTACCTTTACGTTCCTTGACTATTGTGTTTAAGCAATTCTTATTGCTACGTTTGAAAATATTTCCTTTGTTAGTTCCCAAGAACTTTTAACGTGACATCTTATATATACTATACAAAATAAATTTCGCTAAATTTACTTTGGTGCATAGAAATCGTTCTGTCAGCCAAATATATGCCAAAAAATTCTAAAACTAGCTATTTACAGATAAACATGTTTTACTATGTAGATTTGCATTCACAGTATATTAATATACCAGTGCGACTACCCAGTATTATCTGGGGATTTAAACAAAACCCAAAATTTAGCTACTATATCCTAAGTACCTATGGGACAAAATGGAACTAATTTTTTGCATTTGCATTGGATTTCCTTTTGCAGGTCGATTTGTTTTAATTTGCATATTTCTTATACTTTATTGCGATTTTGCTCCAAAAAGGTACAAAACAACATCCATATGGATATAATTTTATCCTCTTTACATATTTTGTAAACACAAAGGAAACGTACATATATAAATATAATGAGAACAAATTCGAAAACATCAACTAATTGTTATGTTTACCAACAAATATTACACGCTCGTTCTATAATTAAATTGACACTACTAAACAACAAACAAATTATCGTAAGCAAATGCGTATACATGCTAATGTAAATGCTAAAATTCAATTATTGTTCCAATATCAAAATTCAGAAATAATAACGTTTTTTTAATACAACGACCAACGTTAGAAACTCGATCGCCCGAGCTCTCTAGACATATTTCACACTCAATAAACCGCGATTAGTGTCAATTACAAGAACAATCTAATGGTGCAAATCTTACTGATGTGCCCAGCGTTTATTCACGAATTTTCGCTCGGAAAGTGGCATAATGGTACGGTCGTTATTTAAAAATGACCGGCATTACGTATGGCTCAGTGATAGTGTAACAAAAGAGAGTTTCTTAGAGCAATTTATGTAGGTACATTCACTTATTATCTAATGGGGTATCATCTGAGAAAGCTTCCTGGTGACTTTGAATGTTTATAATTTTTCGCGAGTACTGAAATCGATCTTTAAAGCGTTTTCAGTAACACAATTTAAATGAATAACGTACTTTTATAAAATAATATGCGTTATTTTGAAGGAAGAACGGCAATCACTGTTAAAATCGCATTTGTCACAAACCAACAATAGCGAATGTGGTCGCCGCACAGAAAGTTCTTACCCGTTCACGCAATTATCTGTACCCCAAATTGCTAGAATTAAGCAAAAGCCATTGTATAATGCCCTTGTGAAATCAATTGAGTAATTAACAAAAGTATATGGAAGAGACCGGAAGTGAAGACAATACAGCACGAGACGAGCGCCATTGTTTAAATAAGATTCGGAAAATTAAATACCATCGTGAACAAATGATACCTAAACATATTTTCTTTACAATTTCTTCTCCCGATGCAAATCAATTTCAATTCATAAAAAGTTTTCTTGTAGTCTTTATTGTCTCCCAAGGACACTGGAACTTTTCTTCAAAACCTTGGTCTTTATCAAATTTGTTACTTTGTACAACTTAGTATAAGTTGCATTGCACCTCAAAGTATGTGAGGATGGTTTGCGCTACAGCATTCAGGCCTCAGCAGTCCCGTTATGAATTTTCCCACAGAAGACAGTTAGCCCGTCATGAAATAGAATAATTCTACATCCATTCTACAGTCCAGTGGGTAGCCTTACAGCTTCCTCGTTGGACAACGGTTTCCTATTTTACCCCAGCTCGTTTTGAATTATTTCAGGGAGTATTCTTAGACTAACATTCCAATATAAATGTTATCTCAAATTTTATTTTTAGGTCAGTTTAGTATGAACTTATAGGAGCCTTTTAATCTTTTATGTCATCCCTTAATTTAGGAAATTGCCGCGTAGGTCAATAAACGACTACAAAAATCTGCCACCTGCGTTTCCGTATTGTTGAGTAATTTCCGATATTGAAGTTTGCATTGTGATTTCAATATTTTTATGATATTGTAAACACTGGCGTTTGTAGACTAATTTTGTATTAACAGGTGAAAATATGCTTAGCAAAGTACGAAAAGCTATCAGAGGGAAAATCCTATACATACTACAAGAAAGAAGAACCTTGTAAAACTTACAAAGTTTTACCCCACCTGACTTGACAATTTCAAGAATAAGTATTTTACATTTTCTATTTATCTCAAGGTACTTTATTGTGAAAAATATGGAAGCAAGCACGAGACAATTTTGTTTTGAAAAGAGATTTACGAACGGAACTGAGTTGCAGATACAGTTGTGGTTAAGTTTACTGGCCAATAATTAATAATCAAAGTGTTGCTCGTTATACATTTGCTTGTAATAATCATCATGAGGAATCATCCATTGTACTGGGCTTTGGAAATCAATAAATTATCTATTATCTATCATACGCACATAATATAGGAAAAAATTAAGTAACTGGGAAATAGAAATTGTAGCTATCTTTACCTAAGCCGTTCGAATAGAATATTTTTTGTGCTTAAATAGGAAGTCAAGTCAACTGTTAATTAATATACACGATTCACGCTCACCGTATTCATCACATCCTCGGAAGCTACTAAATCATCTGAAATGTCAGACAAAACTGAGCATTGCGATTTTCATTCCTTATTAGGCTCAAGACAAACTTGGATATTATTATTTACAAACATAAGACCTTCTTCGCTTGCGCAACTAGTATTTATGCACAGTGATCAAGTGAAGTCGGTACTACTGTTGAATGGTCAATTGAATGGTCTGTGGGACTAATAAATTTTGCATATTGTCATAAATTGAGTATAACAGATGATAATCTATATTTTAGAAATATTTTGGCATATAAAGCGTTGCCAGAAATAACCGAAAAAAATGTCAACTTTTGTTAATAACTACCTACATACCTGTCTTCGGGTTTTGAATATAAAATACTCGATAAAATAATTACCATTACCAACAGATCAAATTTACCCTAAGGTAGGAATAATTTGCGATGATTTTTACTTTTAGACGAACCAATTTGATAGCGTAGCATTTTCTGTTTTCAAAAATATACAGTTTAAATCTTTCACGCATGGCACTGATTTTGTTTTAATATTTGCCATCAAAATCTAATTTAAACTTGTCTATGGCAAATGAAATAATTTAGGTATTTATATCGATACTGATTCTATTTAGTACCCGGCGTTTTTCTCCCCAAATTAATTGTTTACGAAGGTAATTGCCTCTCCATTTGACGAAAATCTTTGTCCTCCTAGCACAGTTTTCAGACGAGGAAACAAAAAGAAGTGCTTGGAGCTAGATCTGGTGAGTAAGGCGGATAATCAAGCAGTTCGAACCATAATTCGTGGATTTTCGCTATTTCAACCGCTGAGGAATGTTGTCTTGGTTGAAATAGGATTTTTTTTGCAAATGTGGCCATTTTTTTGCAATTTCTGACCTCAGTTTGTCTAGTAATGATGCGTAGTATGCTCCTGTAATGGGTTTTCATTTTTGAAGATAATCGCTTAAAATGACTCCACGGCTATCCCAAAAAACAGTCGCCATCACTTTAATTGTTACTAAAACTCGCCTAAACTGCGTTGGAAAAGTTGATTCGAACACGTTTTTGGTCTAGCGTAAGTAAACGTTTTTTTTATTTAAAAGGTGACAAACATGTTCTCCGGACATTTTCATAACCTCTCCTGAACAGCTTCCCAAAATTTCACTGTTGTAAATGACGGTACAGAGTCCCCATACACAGAGTCCAACTCAACTTTAATTTGCGTAGGCGTATTACCTTTTGAAAACAAATATTTTATAACCGCTCTATATCCAATTTTTTCCATTTGCACGAAAACACTCACATCGACTCACTCAAATGAACCACAGGTCCAAAATGGCTGAAACTGTGGTAAGTAACTATTAATAAGTGCACAACTACGATCATTAGCTTTTAGTAACTGGTGCCGCCGTATTCATGGTGAGGTCGGAAAGTTTTCAAGCGACCCTCGTATTTACATTAATTTCGCCTGGGTACCGTAACCAGTGAACAGTATTACAAGGTGCGTCAATGTACCTAATTCAACAACTCAAGGAAAACGATTTAATATAGTCAGCACACCTTTAGAACGTCTGCATTTTTTCATTCACATCCGTTTGTTAGAAAACATTAAAATAAATGTTAAAATATTGTGATTTGTGTGAATAAAAAATGTCCAACAATATTTTTTTTATATCACGCTTACTGCAATTAAATTTCAAGTGAAAGCGGGGGTCAGTGTCTAAGATCACCGCTAATCGCCGTAGAATTAAGAAATTCTTGCGATTGATGTCGCAACGTTCCACTAGTTGATCCAAACTCTCTCACACACACACACACACACACACACACACACACACACACACACACACACACACATCCCCAAAAAGGATACATATATTTTCACAGATATTTAATTGCCTATTTCATCATTTTCAGACCCTCCTCTATTGGCTGTCTACATTGGATTCCTGCCAACCAATCATGGTGGACTTTGGAGTCAGTAAAGGCCCGATAATACCAAAGGAGATTCCATCCGAGAGGCCGCAGGTATTCTCTCCAATTTAATTAGCTTATTTGACTTGAATGGTGGACGCTTCTCAATATACTGGAAATACTATCACCGTATTGTTTGCACATCATCATTTTTTACCTTTTGCACTTTACTATGAGTAATATGACGACTAAATTTTTATATAATATAAATTTTTTTATATAATAATTATGATTTATAAATAACATGGCTTCTAATTTGCCAAGACCCACTCAGAATTAAAATTTTTGCTGCGATAAATCACGCAATACGGTTTGCCAAATCGTGCAACCTCGCGTTTAAGAACCTCAAATATGAACTAAATTTCAATTGACTTATTACACATTTAGTCTACTATAACAAAGGGTTCCGGATAAGTTTTTAACACGAACATTGTTAATCAATTAAATTCAAACCTCAAAAAATATTTTGTTCAACAAGATTTCAACAGTAAGAATCTTATTATTTTGTTTACTAACACTGCAAAGGATTCCTGATTAATTGCTAGCACAACATAAATTCAAAACGAAAAAATTATTGGCTTAATTATTAGTGTTACGATAATTTGACCATCATTAGTTTATTACGTCCCACTATAATATGCTAATATCAAAAATTCAAGCCGAAAAACATTTGGTTAGTTTCACAAACATTTTTATTCGTTGTGTTTAAAAAAATTAATTTTCTCAGAAACTTTTATTTGCAACCAAAAAATAACTAAAATAGACACATAAACGTTCCTCAACGGTATCTACGCATGCGCTTGAGCTTAGATTCCCTCTAATAGCGCTATCATGTTTTGAGGACGGTCTCTGTTTTAACTTCATTCGTCGATGATTTTCACCGTTGAATTGTTCCATTCTTCAAGTAATATGTATAAGTGTTGAGTGAGAAAATACTGACGTCGATATTTTGGATGGATAATAACCATCAAATATTTGCTTATTGTTACTATCCAATTGAAATCAGCGCAATTTATAGACAAAATAAAACACTAGTCAACAACATACCTAAACGGTTCCACCTAAGTAGCCTAAATATTTGTGCACGGTACTTATCGAAATTAACATAAAATATCTGCCAGCGATGGTTGCGGTCACAGTCCTCTTGGGCCGGATAAGGATACATACTTTTTTTTATCCGATTTGGACCCAAAAAAATATAGATTCGTCATCAGGGTGGTGTCCAGATTCACTAATTAGATTATTTGAGGTCAGATATAGAGAATATTTAATTATTTGCTAACCTGTTATTTTGTATTAAATTATTTTCCGAAAACTCATCATGAATCTCTATTAAATTTGCATTTTTTTATCTGTTGTTTTTATTTCCGGAACATCTTATTTTTTATCATATTTTGTACGTACACGTAAAATTTAATAGCTTTTATACAACAATATATTATACAACAAGTGCGGTAAACGGCATTTGACTCACGAGTTCATTTGAGTGTTTAATAAACAAGTGACTTAAAAAGTTTACCGAACGTGTTGCGTACTATACTTTTTCTATTTCTACAACACGATTACATTCACTGGCATGACCGTCAGAGTTGACAAACGTCAAAATTCAATGCGTGGGAAATATCTCCGAAAACATCCGATTGTTCCGAAACCCATGCAGTAAAATCCCGGAAATGTCCGAAGTAGCTCGGATTCGTGGGAGACGAAAATGGCGTGCTAGATCGGTGTGTAATTAGCTATTTTTTAGACGGGAGTAAAAAAACAATTTTCTTCAAAACGCTTCTCGGAGATTTGAAAAATAAGTTTTATAGGAATACGGCTTAAGAATTTCCAATAAAACCGCAGACTGCACAGTTACGCGATGGTCTGTAAAGTTTGGAACATAATTTTGAGTTCAGATTTCATTTTAAAAAAATGGCTATTATAAAAAAAATTAGGGATAACATAGTTTGACGGACATTATCTTGTGGCTGAAGTTCATTGCAGTGCCTTGTCGTCTGATGAAATCCTTCTTTACTTTCAGCCAAAAAGCATAGTACCGAGAAGTCCAGCGCCAGTAAGAGAAGTCCGTGAAGATGTCCCCAACCCCTTCAACTACAAAGCTCCAATCCCTCATCAGTACCGCACAAAAATTTACTCATTCAAACCGTCCCCCAACTTAATTCTCGGAACTCCGCTAGATAGGAAATACACACCCAGCGAAGAAAAATACAATGTATACAAGAAACAGTATAGAGCGCCAATAGGTTTGGATTACACGGGACCTCACACATTCGAACCGTTGTATTTCGTTCCAAAAAAGACAACACTACAGCCCTCTGTGAGATACAACAAGCAGAACTTGCAAGAAAATCAGAATAACAAGTATGTGCCTCAAATCGGTGTGGTGTATTCGTCCGGAGTCAGGTACTATGTGCCCCAGATTATTTACGAGCAAAGAAATGGGGAGGAAGAAAACTCAGTTTACGACAAAACCGATGAAAAGTACTACTATTACAATGCCCAGCAGTAGCTGAAATACCAAGAATAAATGTTTTGTGCCAATACGTGATTCTGTAACTTGAATTTGCATATCAAAATATTAGAAAATTACCCGATCGAAACAAATTACACAATTACACAAATATTTAAAACTTTAGCGATACTAGATTCGCGAAAATCAAAATTGATGATTGTATATTATAAATTTGTTAATACGGAAGCTTAATGATGTTCGACGTATTTCGTATCTTTTAAATGTTGCCTAAGCGTAACACCTAGCAAAGTTGTCAATTTTGGTTTTAGAATACCTACGTCTAAATTTAAGATTCAGAAAGTTAGAGATTGAGTGTGTGTAATTCACGCTAACTTTTGAACAATGACTCAAAACAACTATCTAAAACATTGATATGTTGTGTCAATACTGTCAATTTGCAAATTTAATAAAATTCACGTCATAAACCTCCTGCGATTGTTAACCTGAGTATTAAGTACAATACTTTTTCAAATTATCTATTTTATTTTGCATTTCCTAATTGTTAGTATCAGACTGTTGATATCCTATTAAAATTGAAAATAATATAAGCAATTTTTTTACAAAAAATATAATTGGTGTAAACGTTTCTGTTTCTGTAAATGTGTCGTAATGTAAATCATTGCGGGTATTCTTTACTATGATTGCTCTTATTTTTTGTAGAATCGCTGGTAGATCTATTTAAAAAGTTATTAATAAGTATGTATAAGTTTATGTTCCTAAATTTTGCCAACCCCATTATTGTATTATAAAGCAATAGTTACTTGTGTAGAAAAATCGCCTTTCTCCAAGAAATCAAATTAATTGAGACATTTTGTACATATTTTGTAATTTAATAAACAATTTCAAGTAAAAACTTTTTATATTTTAAATGTATTTTTGCACACCTCTCAACATATAATAGAGGGACGTAATACATCGCGCATCCCCCTTCCACCCTTTCACCATTGTGGACTATGGTGTGTATATGAACTATTTTTATTAACCATCTATAACACAACCATTTAATGTGCACTAAGGGGAGGACTTTTTATATTCCAAAATGTTTTATAAACTTTCAACTAATTAGGAAATATTTATTACAAACGACTACAGTTACGTCATTGCTATCCACTCGAGAATAATTTCATACCTCTATTGTTTCTAACAAATTGTAAATTTAGCTAGCTTTATAGTAAGGAATGTAGACATGTAGAATGTAGAGAGATAAACGATTTTCTTTGCACAACAGGCAATGACGTCACTTTTCTACTAAAAAATACAATAGGACTACAAGATGACTCTAACATTTTATCGCATATGACGAGTGTGGATTGTTGGCAAGTAAACAAGTTGGCCGAATGACCTTCGATCAGTAAGAAAACGAAGGAGAAATTGGGACTAACCAAAATTTGATTCTCCTCTCGTACCTGCGCAAAAATTTAGTTACACAATAAATTTCATCTTTTATTAAATTATGGCAATGGAGAAAGTCCAGACTCATAGACCTGGAATATTTAAACAAACGAATAAAGAACACAAGCATGGAAGACACCGCTCGAAAGGCTCGATTAGTATAGCTAATAAGGGTAAGGCTAGGTTAGGTTTTGAAAAACATTACCAAAACGTGATTTGTTAGGCAAAACTTCGGTGAAGATTATTTCAAAAAGGAACAAATCTACTCTCAACAGGGAGCAAAGGCGTAATCAGGCATTGCAAATCCGTCAGAAAAAAAGAGATGAGGTATTGCTCAAAAGACGGTCTCTGGGTGAGATTGATTCTGCCCCTTTCTTTGTATGCATTATCCCTTTGAATAAAGATTTTGACACGGAAACCGCCGTATCTATTTTGACCAAGTGCGATGAAGAGGCATCAGTTAAAAAAAGTTCCACAGGAGTAATTCATGTTTCGTAAGTAGTTATTGTTGAAGTTGGCATTGTTAGTCACTGTCCTTTAATTAATTAGTATTCCACGGTTCAAGAAGAAAGTTTCCTTTGTCGTGCCTCAGAAGGATAATTACTTCTCAATTCTTGATTGCCTTAAAGTAGCAGATACAGTCCTATTTTTGGTTTCTGCAGTTTTTCAAGGAGATGATAATCTAATTGTCGATGATTGGAGAGATAGTATTTTGACAGCATGTTTTGCCCAAGTATGTTACAACAACTCACTCTTCTATATAGCATATCTACAATTTGTTCAAGGGTCTACCAACACCAATATTTGCCCTGACTGATTTGGAGAGTATAGCACCTAAAAAGAGGCATGATTGTAAGCAAACTGTTCAAAAATTTATTGATAAGTTGCTTCCTCATGAGAAATTAATGACTTTGGATAAAAATGTTGATGGAATAAATATTTTGCGCAGAATATGCAACCAGAAGAAACGGACATTGCACTTTAGAGACAATAGGCCACATTTATATGCTGAAGAAGTGGAATATATACCGGATCAGCAAGGTGAGGAGCAATTATAATTCAATTATTCTAGACATTTATATTTTATATTCATACTTTAGGTGCTTTGGGTAAATTAAAGGTAACTGGCTATTTGAGGGGAAAAAATTTATCTGTTAATCAATTAGTTCATATACCACTCTTGGGAGATTTCCAAATGTCTCAAATTGATGCTGCCAATGGTCCAAATAAAATAGATAAAAATAGGTGAGTTATCAGATTTCATTGTAACGTACAGGTCATTCATTACTAAATTGTGTCAGAAATAGAGATAGCAAAATAACAGATTCAGCCAGTACAATGATCAAAGTGCTAGAAAAGTCTGATATAGCGAAGCAAGAATCATTGGATTCAGAAAACATACCTGACCCAATGGATGCTGAACAAACATGGCCTACCAAGGATGATTTTGATATGGCTGAAAAAGAACAAAAGGTACTATAAATAATTTTTGGTTTGTGTGTTCATTCTACAAATCAGAACACTACCATTTTGATGTGAAATTCCAGTTCAGAAAGGTAAAGAAAGCTCCTGAAGGTTGGTCAGACTATCAAGCTAGTTGGATTCCTGATGATGATGCTGAATTTCAACTAGATGAAGGTAGTGAAGAAGAAGAGGGGTCACACGAGGACTACATGGATGCAAGATCCGAAGAGGCTTCTGAAAAATCTGATGATAATGAAGAAAAAGCATTGGATACAGTTACAGAATCAGATATAGTCATCAGTGATGAGAAATATGATAAAGAGATGGATTTTTATGCCGAAAGGGAGGATCTAGAGAAATTGAAAGCTGCACAAAGCGATTTGATGTTTCCTGATGAGGTTGACACACCCCAGAATCAACTAGCTAGAGTTAGATTTCAGAAATATAGAGGCTTGGAAAGTTTTAGGCAAGTGAAAATCATTAATACTGTTAACCATCTATTCTTCAGATCACCAAATACATAAAGTTTTGAATTTTTGAATACAAACATTTTTTTTTAAGGACATCCCCGTGGGATATCAAACAGAATCTGCCAAGTGATTACGCTAGAATATTTAAATTTGAAAATTTTGACCGAACCAGAAAAAGAATGTTAAAAAAGCAGAGAGAGGACGGCGGCGTTCTGGTAAAAGGGTCTTTACTTCGCAGATTTGGTAAGATTTATATTATTTCAGCCTGGTTGGTATGTTACTGTCCACATAAGCAATGTCTCCCAGTTGATGTGGTCATCTTTTGAACGGACCAGATCGCCGCTGATTTTGATTGGTCTTTTCCCACATGAACACAAAATGTCTGTGCTAAATGTGGTTTTAAAACGGACACATGATTACCCTTTTGCAATCAAGTCAAAGGAAAGGTTGGTCTTCCAGTGTGGCTTTAGGAGATTCGCTGTCAATCCCATATTTAGCCAGCATACCAATGGTGGAAAACACAAGGTACCAATATATCCTACATCTTTTGCAATAATTTTTAATACACATGAAAAAAAACTGATTGAGCATTCTTATCATTATGTTCACTAACACTCAAAAGATTCCCGATAAAATAAGCATTTGTACCTAGTACCATTAATGTTATCAAAATTTGCCCGACATTAGCATAATATGTGAAAACACTGATTAAGCGGTCTTAATACTTACCACAAAAATTGCTAATATCATAAATACAAACCGCAAAAAAAGTCTAAAAGTAGAGAGTTAGCAATATAGCTTTTTTTTAATTTACAAAATTCTTGAAACATTTGAGTTAAACTACGTTTTGATTTCTTTAAAATTGTGTTCAAAATTGCATATAAAGATCTTATTAAATGAATAGGTGATTTGAAAGATTTCTTCTAGTGATCTTAAGTTATTTATCACCTCTGTAAACTTGTTACATTTTTTCCGAATTTTTTGTTGGTTTTTATTTTTCTATCTGAGAAGCATCGCGATAAAAAAAAGTACGTGTTGTACATTATTTCTTGTCAAAATTATTTTTTAGTATATTAATACAAAAAAAGCATATATTAAAACCACACATCCTGTAAATTCTATCTGACCTACTCAAACGGAACATTTGCGGTCACCAGATCGAGTATACGCTTTTCTAAAATAATTTTCCAAGAGTTTTCCCATTAATTTTTCGAATTGTCGAAACAATAGTTTTTCGCCCTTATTCTGAAATTCCAAAATTTTGTTTACAGTTTGAAAGATTTTTTCAACCGGAATCAGTAACGGTCGCAACATTTTACGCCCCGATAATGTTTCCGCCAGCTCCAATTTTGTGCTTCAAGGAAGTCTCCGGAAAACTTGTAACAGTGGCGACAGGCAGCTTATTGTCTTGTAATCCAGACAGGTTGATTATCAAGAGGCTAGTTTTGTCAGGTGAGGAAATCAACATGAAGCATTCGAGTGCTTATTAATAAATTGTAGGGCATCCCTTAAAAATATACAAACGATCTGCCGTGATACGATTCATGTTTTTTAATCGGGAGGACATTCTCTATTTTAAACCATGTAAGCTGAGGACCAAGATGGGACGAACGGGTCATATTAAGGAACCTCTTGGTAAGAGCCTTTTAAAAAAAGATATTGTTTGTTGATGTCAGTTAGTTTTCACTTGACAGGCACTCACGGACACATGAAGTGTGTTTTCGATGGGCAACTAAAGTCTCAGGATACTGTACTTTTGAATTTATATAAGCGAGTGTTTCCAAAATGGACATATGAGGAGCTGTTGGTGAACTGCACAAATAGTGATAGCATGGACACGTAGGACATCCTAAAATTGAGCATGAACTTTAAAGTTTGACACAAAATTTTGAATTGCCAATAAATTATTTGAATAATTATAGTTATTAGATTGTTTGATTCCATTGCACCATTTTTTCTTTAATTTATCACTTGAAATTTTTTGTGCTAAATGTCTACTATGAGATAACTAGAAATTAGTTTTTAAGTTGGGGGAATTATCAAAGGGCGCAAAGATGAATTGGAAGAATTAATAAAAACAGCAAGGGCAAAAAAGGAAAGAAAAACAAAAATATAAATTAAGAAAAAGTAACTTAGAAGATCATAAAAATGAATTATAAAGAAAACTTGACAGAAAACAATTGAACTACATGAAAATAGCGGAAATTTGATTGTTCCCAAAAATGTCAAAAAGCAAGCAGTTACGTTTTAGCCAAAGAGCAAGAGTTTATTGCTAAAAGCTATGCTTGGCAAGCAGAGCCAAACTTGTAAATAATAACAAAATTGAAAGTACACATGCAAAATCAGTAACCCTTGAAAAGAAAAGAAAGATGAGAGACTTGCCTCTATCACTGTGAAAACAGTTGGACCAAAAATAATATAGCAGCTTATAAAATGATAAAATATAAATTTAATTTTATGAACATCACAAATATATATTATTATTACTACTCTAAACTACTAAGTGAAGTAACTTTACTTAAATTTTTTAACTTAAAAACAATATTTAATTGACTTATTCTTAAATATGTTCAAATTACGCGTGAGCGTTGAGTAATGCATCTTAGTTCACATGAATCTGGCTCGGAGTGTAGCTCGATCTTCAGGTATTTGGCTAATACTGAAATATAAATCAAATATCAAAGTACAGCCCAAATAAAATAAAACTTAGATGTTGGGAATAACGTAATTGCGGCATTTTTTCAGAACAGAAATCAAGTTTTTACTGTCAGACCGGAAGTATACGGTTTTGATGTCATCAACATGTTTCAGCAAAAATTTTTTGTCTTAATGAGATTTGTTACATATTGCTAATTAAGTGGCTCAACGTTAACGCACTTACCAAGAAGGGAACCAAAAATTGCAGCCATATTCATCTTGTTCACCTTGTTGTTCATCGCTTTGCACAATTCGATCGGAGTCAGTTCACCTCTTTCCTCGGGCCAATTCATTACCACCTCCATTATTTGCTCCAACCTATGACAAATATGTATAGCAATCGTAAATGACAGTAGGTGTGTCCCTTATTTCGCGAATACCTTCTTTCGGATTTTTCTGCAGTCCTTGCTTCCCACTGAGCGAGTCGCTCCAATTCTTTCCACGATTCCGGCGGCGATTGGGTTTCCACCACCACGGGCTGTCGCGTGTCTGTCTGAAGGAATTGTTCGATTTCCGCCACTTCGCTAGGTACTTCCTTGGGCGGTTCTACGTGCACTTCCTCGATCGACACCCTTGGAAAATTATTCACGGGGGTTCCAATTATAATAAAGAAACTTTAACGGCGTATTCACCAGATAAAAATAAGTACAAAAGTTCATATAAACTTATGTCCCAAATTGCTTCATTTCGGAGATATAGCCTGTTGAAATGTTGTAAAAAAATTCGTTTTTAAGTCAAGTTAATCATTAAGTTATTATTATAATTTATGGAATTGTTATTTAAATAAAAGCGACTTTAAGTAGCGCGAATTATCTCACATACGCACGCAAACAAAATATTTCTTTTCTCGAAAAGAGTTCGTTTTAGCGAAAGAAGGGGCCCTTTTTTGTTTAGAATTAATTGATCGACAAAGACAAATATGCTATAAATTTGCTTTTAATTGGCAATAATACTAAGTTCGAAAGCATTTTTTTGTATTAAGAAAAAAAGATTTTTTTTCGCAATTTTGCAACACTTGAAGCTTTTTTACTCATTTAATCTACTGAATACGCTGTTAAAGTTTCTCCATTGCAATCAATAAATAATTAAATTCTCTCTATATATATTTACTTTAAGCCTGATTTCAGTCGCCTACGAAATAGTTTGAAGTTTGTAGATAACAGCGCGGCTTTTTGAAAAGTTATTAAGTAGTCTATATAATTGGTATAATTAGTCATAATTAAACAAATGATAGAAATTATTCCTATTCGATCCAACTCTTTTCGGCGAGCATATTTTTGGAGTAATCAAGTTCCTTAAGAACCTGTTTTTTTCTTTTCAAATATGTTGGTTAGTTTTTTCTATTATAATTAAATTAATAAAATTAATGAAGTTATTATTATAATTTATGAAATCGTTAATTAAATAAAAGCAACTTTAAGTAGCGCGAATTATGTTAAATTAATTTGCAAACCTCACATATGCATGCAAACAAATTATTTCTTTTCTCGACAAGGGTTCATTTTAGCGAAAAAACTGAAGAGACCATTTTTGTTTAGAATTAATCGACAAAGACAAGTGTGCTATAAATTTGTTTTTAGCTGGCAATAACACCTACTAAGTTTGAAAACAAAATTTTGAAAAGTTTATTTTATTAAGAGAAACCGAATTTTTTCGCCATTTTGCAACACTAAAAGCTCTTTTATTAAAATAGCGTTTATGAAGCTTGCATAATATAGTAGAATACTATATTTGTTTTATGTTTAAGTTTTAACGAAAGAAAAATTCGGCTAAGCACATAATTAAATTCTCTCTATATATATTTACTTCAAGCCTGGTTTCAGTCGCTTACGAAATAGTTTGAAATTTGTAGATAACATTATTACAGCGCGGCTTTTGAAAAAATAATTAAGTAGTCTGTATAATTGCTATATTTAGTCACAATTAAATAGCATATTTTTGGAGTAATCAAGTTCCATAAGATCCTTTCTTTTTTTTGGTATAGTTTGTCAATATTATATGCATGCAACAAGTTCCATAAACGACACACGAGTGTCTAAAGAAGTGAAGTTTATAAACGTTTTGCATACTGTATTTTTTTGACTAATTTCAAAATACATCCGGTATTTCCCCCAGGTAAGACCAAAGTATCGGAAAAGTGCCACGTTTCCGACCATGGCGGTTGACGTATTAAAGTGACACTTTGCGCACGGTTGATCGGTGGGTATTTTAAAGTAGTAGTTTACTTACACTTTAGCCCGCTTGCACGGCGTCACTGCTTCGGTCGTCGCCGCCGATGCCGCTGCTGCTATATCCGATGTAACCGTCTGATCGCTGAAATGCAAATTCTTAAGAGACCGCAGTGGCGCGCGTTGGTTAGATTTACCGCGGGTACGATCTTTTGACGCCTCTAGGCGTCGACTCGACAACGGACAGACCACGAGGTGTCAGCGGCGTACCTATACCCAGGATTGTGGGCGTGGTGACGGTATCCACGGACTTTGGTACAACGAGCGACGACGAAGCGGTCGCCGGACCAGCTCTATAAAAACATCAGGTTTAAATTGGTCGTTGGCGACAACTGTTGAGAATTGACCTTTTCTGGATCATCGCCGTCTCCTCTGTTACCATGTTAACATCAACATCGGCCGAAGGCCATAGATCCTTCGGTAACACGAATCTCGGCATGGCTGCTACTAATTTAGGGAGGGGATCTTCAACAGGAATCTAAAAGCGTGTTCGATTGTGATGGATAAAATAAATTATTTTTATAGACGTGAGAATCAGAAACTAGAAATTTTAACTAGTTCCGGGCAATTTGGCTTGAAAGGATTTCTGGAGAACATTCAGGAGAGAGATGTGGAGGTGCACCGACTTCTCCGAGGCAAGAACGACAACTCAAAATTTTCTGACTTGTCAGTCTCACTAGTCCAAACAAAATAGGTTGATAAGACTTATTATTTATATTTAATATTTCTCTCCATAGTTATTCTAATAATTAACTATAAAACTGGTTAGAATGTGATTAGCTACTGATTTAAATATTTCGAAGAGCCTTTTTCTGTTCACTAGTATCACATAGTTCGCTATTAGATAATTTAATGGCCCTACTACGATAAAAAATGATGCGCTTATGGTGGCTATGATATTTTCGAAGCGATAGAGATAGCAATTTTCTTTCTGGGATCTGGGAATGGAAAAATACTGTAAAACTGCCTCATCTAAATTTATTGACGATCTGTCAGCGGCCATATTCGTTGTTGAATTTCACAAGGTCGTTGGTTAAAATTTCTCAATATTTACTAGCCATTCCTTGAATATATTCTCTGAGGCTGTATAAAAAGTGTGACAATGTCATAAGCAACTCACAGTTTGGATTTAGACAGGGATTAGGCTCAAGAGAAGTGGTGGTCGCAACGCAGGTATTAGTACAAAACTGCTATGACTAGCGGAAGAACGTTTATATGACTATGAAAACGGTTTCGATAAAGTACAGCAGCTTCTCAGGAGACTTGATTTAGACCACAAAGACATTCGATATGTTGAAAACTTATGTTGGCACCAACACACAACACACTCGTATCTGTATTCGTAGAGGAATAAGGCAGCCGCTTTTGTTTAATCTATACTCGGAAGCCATCTTTAAGAAATATCTCAAGCATAGAGGAACTGGAATTGGAGTCAATGGAAATAACGAATGGTATGTTGATTACACAGTTCTCGTTGATATAATAGGCCAATATAGCCAAAATATGAGACTTAGCATTAACACAAAGAAGACCAAATTCATGGTGGTCGCGCAGCTCCAGCTTAACTTATAAAGAAAGACTATTAGAGTTCTCCGAACGATATACCGTTTTTACAACCTCTTATGGTTTTGATTTCGGAATGAGTTTAAGACCCGGTTGTTGTAAAGCGGAAGGGACCATTCTTTTCAGCACTTTCACCACAAACCAGGGCCATATTTAAGATGTTAGCCTACAAGAACTGTGCCGTGCGGATTTTAAGAGTAGGGAAATTTTCTTTGTGTTTTTTTCTCCATAAGGGAGCAGTTATTGGGAGTTCTTAGGACGGGAACGTTTGGATTCAAAGTTGTGCGTCTTCCACCATATCAACAGAAGTCGACTACTCCCAGCATTAATTATTAATGTGGAGGTCGAGTCCAGTCACAATAGTGATTATTTTGATGTAGAATAACTTTTTTTAATAAATATTCTAACATTGTTTTATAGCTAAATTTACTCCTTGATTTATATTTATAATAAATATTTTAAAGTAAGAATGGATTGTTAGTGCGGTTCTCGAAATTCTATTTTATTGAGGCTTACAAAGAGAAACACAAGCGAAGTAGACCTGCGGTTAGACCTTAAAAAGGATTTACCAAAGTTAAATACCGGATTATGTCGTAAATAAAGTATATTGTTTGGAGAACTTTAATATTAAGTACCTGGGAACATGTGGAATGATAATCTGACATCTGACGAGGCGCATACCTGAAGTTTAAAACAGTATATTGACTTGTAGCGATTTTGGCCTTGGTCTTTGAGGTTTGTTGGATTTTACGGTTGGTATGGTCAGCGCTGCTAGACGGCGTGGAGAGACGGACGCTAAGAGTACGTGGTATTAACAAATTAGAACGAGGATGTTCTTAAACGTATTAATAAAGAACGAGACTTTTCAACATTATAAAAAAAGACTGTATATCTAGGGCACATCCTGTCCAACAATAAATACCAATTTTCTGCAACTAATTATCGAATGCAAGATCAAAGGCAGAAGAGAAGCCAGAGATAGAGAAGCCATGGAAAATGTGGTCACAAACATCCATTAATGACTAAGTAGAGCAAGGATAAAAATATATGAGATGAGACAATTATAAAAGAAATACCAAAATATGTCGATTGTTACGATATTAAAAATATTTAAAAGTAAAGCCATTATTTTGAAGAAACAGTTTAATCCTGGATACCAATTAACTGTTGTATAACGTTTCTGTTATAAAATAATAATAAAAATTGTATAATTAAATATACCTTCTGTAGTTTCTGACCTACGAAGGAAAATTGAAATATTGGCCAGTTAATTTTTTTGCCACATATGATAATATTTAGATATTTTGATTTTGTAAACACTTTTCATTACACATTTCATCGCATATTAACAGAAACAAAATGGCGCAAATTAATTTGAATTCAATGTTTTGTTTCTGTAGGACGATCTTAAATACGAATCCAATAGTTTTTTGCAAAATTTATATCATTTAACATGGTTGAATTGAAATTTTATTTTCGCATTGTTTTAACTCCCAAAAACATTATCTTCTATCTCATTTTGGCTAATACGAAGTGCCCACATCGAAAATCCTATACGCACCCGCGAATACCACGAAATTTGACAGAAAGTTCTGAAAAATAATTGGTTATAACACCACGTAAATCGTAAATGGTGAATGGTCCTTAAATCGTAAGCGTAACCCTGTATTAATTATAAAAGGAAAACCACTCGTCACCATAGTCGTTTTAATAATAAAAAATGTTTTATTTGCCAAAACAACGTGCTATAATTTAAACGAAATACCAATTTGGACCTAAATATTGATAAAAATGAGAATGAAAGTCAATATTAAAAAGGTGTTAGTGCTTCCTTCTGGTGAAAACTTTAAGTTTGCAAAAATTGTTTATCGTCGATAAAGTGTGTTTTGATGTTGAAAGTAGAAAATTTTAACTAGACAACTTAAAACTGTATGCTTAATAATCTATTTTTCCAAAGTATCAAAAATCACCAAAACCAAAACATTCAAGATGCGGATTTTTGTATCTTAAACTTTTTCCGTCATTCGTATTTTTTGTCAAATATATCCATATATATCGCAAAATCCAACCACAATATCAATTAAATATTTACCTTTTTTTTTAACTTACCTCTCTGGGCCGGATAATATAAAACTTTGTTCGCTCTTGTATCCTTAAAAAATTGGAAAATTTTCGAGTCTTAATTTTCTGCAAAAGTAAAAAATTATTATGGAAGAATGAAAGCCGGCTGTAAGGAAATCATTTTAGTTACCCGCCGCACCACCACTTCCTCTTCAGGTGGGGGTATTACTGGTTCTGACCTGTCGGAGACAACCGGTGGTAATTCTGGTAAACTCTCTGGTTTCGCAGGTTTAGGTGACACATCGATTATCTGGTTTAATATATAGTTTATTCTAAATGTCAATTGACCACAGCGGAAAACCCTTATATGTATAATCGGGGGAAATAAAACTTATTAAAGAAAAAAAGAAAAAGAATTAAAAAAAAAAGAATAAAATAAAGGGTCGCTATGTATGAGGATATGAAATGTGATAATGTTATTTTTACTCAACCATGAAAGTCATTCAAGCCGTTAATATTTTCGAGTGTTTATAAAACAACAAAATATATATGACTACACATTAGTAATTCATAAATCTCGCACACCTATCTTCCTTATTTTAAATAGAACACTCGATAAATAATTTCAATTTTGGATTTCTTAAAAAATTTCGTGGTAGGTTCCTTCAGGTCTCCCTATACCCCATATCAGTAGATCCTTAGATACCTTGATCATTTTGAAAACTTCGAAAGATGTTTTAATGATTTTTGACTCACGGTAATCGCATATATGGTAAACGGAAACGTAAGAATCATACTCTAAAAATTCATATTCAGAATTGATTTATCGCTTCTTTTCTTCACATTTTCTATCAACAGTCCATCTAACCCCTAAATTCTTTGAAGTTGCATTTGCTTTTCGTTTTTTAAGGCAAAGGAGGTGACCATCCAGATTACCTGATATGACATATTTGGATTTTCACTATTGGATTTGCAACTTTTAAATGATGTAGCATTATTGTCAAGAACAATTACCCATAAAATCAAAACAGAAAAATTGTTATTTACGTAATAATGAAAGATATAGATAAAAAAAATTGATAAAGGAACAAATGAAAATGAACAAAATGAAGATAAACGAAATCGATTCAGTTATTACTCCTACTTGACCAAATTTTGGTTGAAATGGTGAGTATATATTTTCTATATAGTAAGTTTTATTCTGGACGGGCGATTAGATCAGTACAAGTATAGTCTTTTATATAGCCCCGGAGTGGAAAATCCAAAGGCTAGAAATCGGATGACCTGGATAACCAGATCTCATAATTCCTTGGACTTAAATAAAACCAAAGGCATGTGAAACTTCGTCAAAATCCACAAGAGTGAAAGTAATGAAATTATGAATTACACATAAAATATAATACAGACTGTAGTATTAAAAAGAAAACAAGTTTTGCAGCTTTGAAAATGAAATTGGTCGGTAAATTTTTAACATCCTGCAGGTCAATCAAAAATGATTGAAAGGCGCAATGTTCAAAATAATAATTTTTAATATCAAGATATCTAACCTAAAGAAACCCGCCATAAAATTTTCTAAAATATTCAGAAATTAAAGAATATACCGGGTGTTCCATTTAAAATAAAGAAGTTACGATTGTGGTATACTTATATACTGTATAATTTTCATTACATGCAGCACTAAATAAAATAAACTCTTATGGAGATAGAGAAACAAAATTAACGGCACATTCGAAATTAAAAATGTAGGGCTTTTTATTTTAGCGTGTACCTGTTCAATTAGAATTTCGGGAATCATCGTTGACGATGGCACGGCCTCGGCAATCAAAGGTTCTTTTTCCATTGGAATTTTCGTATCCTGGCGCAGCGGCGATTCAGGTGGGGCGTGTACTTCGACGATTACATTTTCCTGAACTGGCTCTCTACTCAAAAATGTCAGTGGATTTACGTGTTTGGCATAATAATATGGTCACCTAAGGAACTCTTAAACGGTTGGATTTATCGGGGATCGCAGTTTGCGATTTTATCAGTGAACACTTTCCCTGTAATCATTCGCAGTTTTAAAACACCCGGTTTCTTGATTGTTAACAATTGACAATTTTGAGTTCAGCTTAACCAGAATTTTCGTAGTATTTATTTTTTGAGAAAATTATAAAATACAGATGCATATATAATTCTTTAATATTATCTTTAATTTTAAATATCTCGAAAAATAATGACTTTATCAAATATGTTATTTTTTCATTGGATAATAACAAAAATTGACTAAAATAAGTTACCCCGTGGTCACAATATTTCAATGTTATAACGACTTTTAAACATTTGTCACTTATGATTTTTTTATACAATACTGTAACGTTCAAATGTTTTATAGACGATAGACAAAAAACTTATTTCTTAGATATTTTAGATCAAACCAGCGGATAGTTTGTTCCATTAGTGATATGGATCAACAATCTCTGAATCCGACAATAATTTTTTTAATGAAACCTATTTTTATAGGTTAAAATTTGTTTACATACAAATTCATAACTACGACAAGAATTAAGTTTTATCTCAGTGATTATTTTTAACTTTAGTAGACTAGAAAATAATCTAGAACAATTAATTTAAAAAGGTGCTTCTTAAATTTGATCTGGTAGCATTTTTGTCTTACTGAGTGTTTGATAGTTTTTCAATTTTGTAATATTTACTAGAACGAAATTATGGCAAATTTTAATTCTCAATATAGATTGATAAGAAGATTTCTAAAAGACATTAAAATTCGAAATAATTTTCACCTGATATCTTCTGCATCCCTCGGCGGACCAAAATCATCAGGAAACGCCTCGATATTCTAAAAAACAATAAAAGTTTTTGGTTAAGCTTCATGAAAATTTTCGAACTATATACAGCGCGTTTCATTTTTGAAAAATATCGTCATTCAAAAATATTACAATTCCAAGTTCAATGTTCTTTTCCGATAACGAATTCTTAAACTATAAAGTAAAGTACAAATTTTTATACTTTGAATTTTTTTAATAACTCATCAAATAGCTGCGCTAGGTGGGGGAGAAACGACCCTGTATTTTGCCTGATTTTTATTCGATTAAAATAAAGTTCTTTCCTTTACACTAATGGAAGGCAAAACCCATAAAATGACCCAAATGAAATAAATGAAATAAAATTTGTAAGACTTAGGCCTTACCCGATAAGCCAGCGAGATCCCCAAATTTGTTCATGCATAAAACAAATAGGGAAATTCCCTGTTACCTGCTGAACTGGTACTGTCATTTGTTCTCTCAAGGTAATCTCATCGAGACGCGCTTGGACGATACCCAAATCGGGTCCCTCAAACTCAGGGATTTTGTCTACTACAGCTATGATAGATTCCGGTGTTTCGGTTATTATTTTTTTCTGTCGCGGGCGTTTTAGTTTTCGTTTGGGGAAATCGATTGGTGTCATCGTCTTTGCCCGCATCAGTTCGGCTTTGATTTCATCTGCGACAGGTTTTTAATAGATTCGCCTATATCCGCAGCAATTTCGAAATTGGAATTGAAATTAGTGAAGCGCCGTAAGGTTTATACCTCGGAATCCAGGGCCAGTCAATAAATCTTCTTATAAACTTCGGCAATGTGTTTTTAGTAGCTAATAGCTAATATATATATACATATATATATATATATATATATATATATATATATATATATATATATATATATATATATATATATATATATATATATATATATATATATATATATATATATATATATATATATATATATATATTGATATTAGTAATATTGGTTGTTGTCGTATCAAAATGGGTGAGCCATCAAATAGTGATAATATAAATAATGATTGCCTCATTTGTGACAAAATTGGATGTAGCTCTGAATTAAGCTCTGAGCTAAGAGATATTATAAAAGTCAGTAGAGGAATACCAGCACTGAAAGCTGCTTCTGTGGAAAAAGGGGATGGACTTTCTCAGTATTTAAATACTTGCGAATTTGTCTACGTGCATTCAGTATGCAGACAAAAATATATCAATAAAGGATGTATGAATGCTTATTTAAAAAAAAAGAGCACCACATCAACATGCTCTCCACCTAAAAAAAAACTGCGAACGGCTACTTCTATTGATTTTGATTGGAAAAATAAGTGTTTTTTATGTGAAAAAGAAGCGGATTAAATGAAGGAAAGAAGAAAGTCCAAATCGGTAGGGCAGCAAATCAGCTACGTAACTACTTCTGAGTTCAAGCTATTTTAAATTTCATAAGCGAAGAGAAAAGCGAATATTGTCGCAATATCCATAAAATAATTGTAGGTGTGTTAGATCTAGTAACTCAGGACGCTAAGTATCACGCGGATTGTTATATGCGTTTGAAAACTACCATAAAACAGACCCAGAGACAATTGATCATATTCCCGATGATAAAACGATAAAAATGAGGTTAACGAACCATTATGAGGATAATATCGTATTCTCCAGTAAATTTGGATCTAATACAATCATATGTTTTAAAAAACAATATGAAATATGTCAACTTTTTTTCAACTTGGCAAAAGCGTGTTTGCAAAAAATTTCGAAAAACCAACGGACTTGCAAAATGCTGCGACAGTTTTTAAAAATGAATGCAAAGACATCGATGAAATTTTTGAAGCTGGTATTACATCTACTGTTGCTTTATATAATGCCCCCCAAAAACTAAAAGATCTTAATGCATTGAGATATAACTCTTTTTTGAAAGCAACTGCCAAAAATACCTGCGTTAAACTGCCGTCTTTACCACCTATGGCAGATGCCGCTTTTGAACACTTCAAAAGAGTATATTTACAAGTTCAAACATGGTTCGGAAAAGAAATATTACCAGAAGAATGGGGTTGGAAAAATGAACGCGGAATATTACTACCGCAAACAATGACGCAGCGACCAGCTCCAGAATCTTTACTAAAAATTATTTTTTACGCATGCAACACAGGATGTGGAGCATCTTGTGGGTGCAGGAAAAGTGGATTAAACTGCACTGCAGCTTGCTTAGAATGCAACAATGATAGTTGTACTAATCCTTTACCAACAATCTACATCAACGAAATCGACGACGACAATAATGAACAATAATCGATATAGTTAAGGTTAAATTTTCTTTTGTAAATCATTTTTTTGCGAAAATCTAATAAATTAACATTCAATTTACTCTGCAAACATAATTTATTACATATAAAATTAAGATCTTTACTGTAAACATTTTTCCCCCTTGCGCCTTTCATTTTTTAGTAAACTGTTTATAAAAATTGTTGTAATCGAGATCGGCCAATTTTTTTTTATCATTTTTATTTGAGGTTTTAATAATGCAGTCAAACACTTGTTATACAGATTCATTGACTGGCCCTGGGTTCCGAGATTTTACCATTTTTATGCCTTACGGCGCTCCACTAAATATGATCTCCTGGGATAAACTTGTGGTGAACTTCTGGGCTTGTAGTAAACTCAGTATTTATATTAATTATCACCTAATTTATTAAGCTGAAGTTGTCCTCAGGCACAATTTGCAACGGTTTAAAAACTTACCGAAAAGTAAGATGACCTGGCGTTGATAGATCCTTACGACGCCGCTAATAAGGATAGCGCCAAATCTCAGAGAAAACCTCTTTTTTACATCATGCGATTCGCTTTTAATGAACATCTCAATCTGCTCACTGAAATTAAATTTGTTAGAGTGAGTTAGAGATTGATTTATAATCCGAGTTTACCTGATTTTTGTAATATTGCAGTTTAGAATAGTTTGCACTTTCATCGCATTTACGCCACGAGTACCCGCAACCCACGGCCATCGCAGGCCCGATTTATGTTGGGGATGAAGAAGAATGAGATCATAAAACATTATGCTGAAATAATAATTCCTGCGCAACCTAGAAGACGGAGATCAAAAAGTTATTAGAATAGGCGCAAAGCCTACTTCGTTTAATTTGTTGAATTCAATAGCATACGTTAATTTTCCAATGTGCCGAGCCAATCAGGAGGCAGGAGATCAATATAATCCGAAGCGCGCTTCGTTTGATATCGAGTTTAATCGTATAGCAGTCCACTCATTTTAAACGGTTAATTTTTTATTATACCGCGAAGACGACAGAATCATTCCCTGGGCACTCTCCGAAATATTTCAAATCGTGTTTAATTGCTTACATCCCACCAGAGGCGCTGCAAACAGATGAATTTTGACAGAAATTGGTTTAAATTTAAAATTCACATCCGTCCGCATCTATGGTTCGTGTTCGCCGGGTATTCACATTGTGAAGATGACTAGTTTTGCGTAGTAGTGAGTGTTTTTGGGATTGTTTGAACATTTTGTGGTTGCAGTGATTTTGCTTCTTTGATAATAATATCATAGGTAAGCACAACGAAAAGCATAAAGGCAGCACTTTCTTATTCTCATCTCTAGCTTAATTTTATTGATAGTCAAAATTCGACAAAGGGGCCATAGGAATATTAACCCTACAGTTTTGGATTTCCAAAGTTATTATAAAAGCCTTTTGGTGACTGGTATGTCTTTCAAGCAGTCTGTTGGAAACAACTGTGAAGATGATCAATCAGAATTATTCTTCACATTACAAAGACTTATATCGCAGGTACTTAATTATATAGTAATATGTCATAATAATAATAGGTATGTGATAATAATAATAATAATAATAATGTCTTTTTCGTGTGTACGTCTTTATTATTTTGTTGTCATTTTAGGGACTTCTAGAAGATGAGGTCGTTACACTTCCGCAGTTCACACAAATACCTGCAAATTTATCCACTCCTTTAAAACTTACAGATCTGGTGTTTGCATTACAAACACTTGCTAAAAATGTCACATTAACTCCATGTTTTCATGACGACAACATGGAAAGGCATATTTTTTCATATTTATTAAAAATACAGGCATATAATTATTGCGCGCAAATAAACAGAATATCAAGGGGTTTAGATATGAGACATATCCCTGCACATGCGTCAAAAATGTTTATTTCTGCTAGAAAAATTTACCAGGCTAGCATTAGGCGACGCTGCATTTTAGGAATTTTGAAGAGTTTTCAGCTTGGAGGACCCAAGAGAATAGGGAAGTAAATTATGCTTGCCGTACACGAAAAAAATATCAACACGGTGAAGAAAAAATTTTTTATGAGTATAACAGGAGTAATTACAAAGGTTGTGTGTTTACTAATATGTGAGTAGTCATATAATGTCTCATATTTTTAAGAGGATTTGTCAGCTCAGCTAAAAAACGAAGTGTGAAAACTGTAGGTAGTATTCATATTCATGGGACATGTCCTTCAAGAATTGTAGTTAACATTTCAACTGAGAATAAATAATATTATAATATTATTGTTATCTACAGATGAACTATATTTTTTTAGGATTTGTGACGGTAAAGTTTGTCGAAAAACATGTAAGACACATTGATGAACTAAGGACCAAGAGATTATCAAAAACTGAACAGGAGACTATTGTCCAAAAAACTAAGTGCAGGAGTTTCAAATAATAGAATAATTGTAGATTCACGAATAATTCAAAATGATCATTTGCAGAGAATAAACCTTGTCACGAGAGGAGATTTGGCATACTTAATCAGGAAATTTAAAATTGTTAAGAGGAGAGATGCAGATGACATGATAGCAGTAGCACTACAAGTTGAGGAATGGAACAGGCAAGGAAAAAATCATGCGTTTTTATTCAAGAAAAGTGGTAAGTACAATTATTATTATTTAAAATGTAGGAAAAGGCAATGTATATTACTTTTGCACAAAAAAATAGTACGAGTAGTGTTATATTAATTAGATATTTAAGTTTGGTATGGATAAATTTAGGTTGGTTAGAGTTTTGTATATATTATTGAGTAATTCTGCTTAACTTTTAGTGTGTGTTAAAGCAATATAAATTCCTTGGTAATTTGCTTTATGGTGAAGGTGGGAGAGATTTGCTTTCATTGTAGTTGAGAGTTTTTCTGGGTTAAATGATGGAAATTTTGCAATTGGGTATATGAATGGTATTATGGAGAAAAAGCTTCAAGCTTTTAGTCAAGTAATTTGTATAGATGGAACACATGGAACAAACAAGAAAAATCTGGATTTAACTATAGTATTGGTTAAAGATGAGCAATTCAACAAATATTTTTTAATGCTTCACAGGTTAGACTAGGGGAAACAGTAAAGGCTGAATACATAATACACAATGCTTGGTGCCAAGTGATGGGTACAAGCCAGAAACCTAGAAGACTTCTTTGTACATGGCATGTTATCAAAAATTGGAATATTCAAGGTAATGATGGAAGCAGATAAAATAAATGACAATAATTTTATATTCATCTAATTAAGAATCCAGATGTAAAAAAACAAAATATGAAAAAAGAAATGCGAAAAATACTAAGAGAAACAGATCTTGCGATGTTTATGGAACTAAAAGATAATTATTTGACCCATTTAAAAGAAGGAGGGGAAAATGATTTTTTAGATTTTTTAAATTATTTGCAAAGGCAAGCACCTAATGATAAATTTTTTTCAAGATTAATTTGTAATTTGCCCTTTATAGGTATTACTTTCAAAATAAAGACAGGATTCAAATGTGGGCTCATTGCTATAGAATTAATGCTGGGATAAATACAAGCATGGCTATTGAAAGTTTAAATAAAGTACTAAAATATAACAAAATCAATGGACAGCATAATCTTAGGTAAATGTAGATTGTGTTTCTAAAAAAGAATAATAAATAAATTATTAATTTTAGAGTGGAAAAATTATTGGATTTGTTGGAAGAGCTTGTGGATGAAAAGATGTGGAAAAAGATTGTTAATATGGAAAGACCAAGTGCCAATAGCTACCGACATAAAATTACCCTAGAAGCTCATAAGAAAGCCGAAGAGATGTTTGATAAGGTAAACGTTTCGAGTAATAGTAATTTTAAGGCTCAATCTGGTTCAGTAAGTAATAAACATTATTTTGTATCCTTTAATGAGGAGCAAACATATTATCCTAATAAAAAGTAATATAAGTATTTATAAACCTTTCATTTTCATATATTTTATTTTTTAGATAATTGCATACTTTAATCAGTGTTTTATATATTGCATAGTTTTAAATTAATAAATAATAATTGTATGATATAAGATGTAAATAAATTTTATTGTCATATTTTATAAGTCAATTTACCCTCGAAATACAAATAAAAGCAGTATAAACATATTGTCAATTTTATTTTATAAACTTTAAATAGAATTAACACATTAACCAAAGTTTACTTGGTCAGTGATTAACAACAAATAATCTAAGCGATCATACTTATGCGACATGCGTTCTCCAATCTGTCAAGAAAGTAAAGAGCGCTATGCGGATGCCAACTTTAAACACCTCCGATTCGGTTTGAATTTGGCGTCATAGTCAAAACTAGCCGCCACGTTCTGATTAGCTCGGCACGTTGGAAAATTACCGTATGCTGAATTGAATTCATTCGACATTGATTCCTTAGGCGCTCTATAGCACAATTGCAACAATTGCTTAAAAATCTCCCAACAAATTAGATATGAAAAGGGCCATAAAAGCATAGGGCGTTAAAATTAATGATAAAATGGCAAGAGCACCCTTAATAAGCTTTAAAAAACTCACTAAGAAAGTTGTACTCCTGGGAAGTTTGCACTTATTAGAGAAAATATGAAACTGTTCTACACTTTTAGCACTCTTTTAAGCAATGATACTAAATTCCGAAGATCTAAATTGTAAATGGTTGTTTAATTTTTGACCGTTTTCTCATATTAATCGAAGGTAATTATTGGTTTATTTAAAATATTTGAATGTGGAGGTGGTAAAACATTTCAAATTAGCCAATAACAGACATGTGAAAAATTACAGAATGTTGAATATTATAAGTCGCAGACCATACTAAAAATCGAAAAAAAATCTTCTATGACGAGTTGCAGATGTCGGTTTAGGACGTCCACATGCCACATACATCCCAAAATATATCAAACACTTAAATGATTGCTCATGTGAGAATCGCGAGGTGGCACTTGTGGCGTTTTACGAAATTGCGTCATTTTGAATTTTGTTACATCTACGTTCATCTATGCTTGTCGCATTATTTTTGTGATTCAAATAGCGTTGCGTTGCAAGTCAGTTTGTTGATTATTGTAAGCTTTATGTTTGAGGGAATGTGTCGTTCCTGCTTATTGTCATGTAGAAACGAAAAGAAGAGTTTGTTGTCTGTGGTCTAATTTGACGTTTCGCACAACTCTGTTGTTCGAAAAATGGCTAGTGTCGGGTTTAGGTGGTTAGATATTTTAGAAAAAGAGTTTGACAAGGCATTCGTCGATTTAGATTTAGCTTTAGGTTAGTGCTGATTGCCCTGTCTGTTGTATACCTCATAAAGATTGAGCGCTTTTTATGATAACAATATATCAACTGTGGGAAATATGTTCACGCTTATAGACTTTATTTTTTTAAAATTACATCATTTCATTTTCTGTTTAAAACAGGAGAGATTGAAAGCGACGAACCGAATGTCGTCTTCAACGTACGTCAAAAACTCTGCACGTTGGGTTCATGTTTTGCTCAGCTCACGCATAAGGCACAGACCATTTTTCAAAACAGTGCTAAAATAGAGGTGAGTTTGTGTTATGGCACTTTGCTCCATAATTTACGATTTATTCGGTACCACTTTAAATACTGCAGTTGGGTAAAAGATATAGCATATTTATATTTTTAATGCGTTAACATTAAGCCATTCACTAAAATGTTAATATTCACTTGTGTAGTAAGTACACTGAAATTTTGTTAATATGTTGATCTTAATGATAGCATAACACGCCTTACTAAAACTCATAAGGCCTCATAATCAAATAGAATGAACAGCTTTCAGTATTTGTGTGGCTACAATATACTCACACATGAAGTAGTCAAGTATATATGCAAGAGAATAGTAACTCATTGATGAAATATATACAAAATGAGTGACATATTCGAGATAAGGCATTAATAACATGCTTAAAAATGGTCAGAGAATTTAAACAAACCATGAGGTTTTTGTACAGTAGGGAATGTTCTAAATTTTACATTCTACTTTGTCACTTCACTTATCCACATGATTTGTTTGTTCCCCAAATTTTTAATGAGAATCAATGCGCATTCCGGTTCCTTTTAGAAAAAAAAATCCGCAAAAAAGTGTTGCCACAAAATGAGATTGTCAAACTAACAAGAATTTTTTGGTGGATCATATAAATCGATTTATTATAATATGATACTTACTAGGACATCATTTTGCTGCTTTTTTGGTACAATGTTTAACTAAAATAGACGGGGATCGGGAAAAAGAACGTTTCTACAATTAATTTATATTGTAAGTATAATTAAACATTTTTGCCCTCAAAGGACTGCGATTCTATCACCGCATCCTGAGCTGATGCCAGTAATAATGATTTTAAAATCTTCTTGATCTCCAATAAAATCTTTTCGGCTTTCTCACTACTGCGGCTATTTTTATCGAGCATAGGAATAATATTTGCGTTTATCTGGTGGATGTTTCTGTTTATTTTTAAATCTTGATTTTTTATAGTTTTGTCAACATTTTTCATATCTTTGGACAAAACTGCCATCCTAAAATAAAAAAACCACACACAAACCTTGCCATCTAAATTTGCTTAAATAATATGTTTGGTATTACCTATTTTCCAACATATCAACGACTTTTTCTAGCATGACGCTTATTTCCGATTCAATTTGGGATTCATCCATTTGCACTTTGTGGCAGCTTTCCAGAAAAAGATCTTGATTTGTCAAAATTTTCTCAATACTCTGATTGAGATCTTTTTCTTGCGTGCCCGAGCAAGGTTGGTCTAAACGCCAAATCCATAAAAACACGTGTCTGTATATGATTTAATACTAACCGAAATTTGCTTTGGTGGACGTTCTCCCTATCTGTACCATCAAATCTCTTACGCCATTTTGTATTTCGATCCGTGTACTGTTTACAACTCTTTGGATATTATTCAATTTGTTTTGCATCAAGTCATTGTTGCGCCAGAGATCTGAACCCATCTCAGCCACCTAAAAAATACCTAAGTCCAATAATACCTCTTATTGAGATAGACACTATTTATTCGTTTGAGAAACCTCATTAGCCTGTTGATCTGGGCGCATGTTTAACATTGTTCAACGGCAGATAAGAGTTCGCATCGGGAATTTTCTCACGAATAAATCATAAAACATTTTGGCCATCATGATTTTCTTTAAACCTTTCCGTAACAGAATAGAAAGAGTAAAAGGAAAGAAGTCAGAAATTTTGGCGCAGTTGCCTTACAAAAACGGACTTGTTTAACAGACGGTCAGCAAACTAAAAGACGTAAACAAAAATGCTAACGAAATTTACACACAAAGATTGCATAGCAGATAAGATTAGTAGTTTTCAACTGCGATCATCCATAACTCTTGGCCTTGTACAGCCCAGAATCCCATATAAAGTTTTTTTTTGTATACAGTTTCTGTTTCACCGATTTTTTCGCAATTATACCTGACTATGCAAGAAGATACCTAGAACTTAAGGAATTTACATTTGGTGGTTATCTATCGGAATATGTGTTTAAAGGGAATTACGAATGGCTTCAGTGAGATTAATACATTTCTAGCAGTACCTGCGATGGAATAAACTCTCTCTCTAATAGTCCGGATTTTTAGAACATTCAGTTTATATGTTTATATTCCTTGTAATATATTGTAACTTCAATTAGAGCCACCCGTTTCCGAGATCACAACAGTAAAATTTGAAACGTACATTGTGGTATGTAGAATTAACATAAATAATTCAATTTGCAGTCATTGTAAAAATAACTTACCTTGCTTGCATATTCGTTAAAATCACCTCGAAGCTCTGTCTTGCTACTCGTTATTAATTCATTAGTTAATAACGCCATATTGAAGGAGTGTTCTGTTTTGTTTTCCAATTGTCGGAGTTTCTCAATAAAAGTTTCTTCGAGGGGGTTTTGTTCGCTCTCGGTTGTCTAAAATAATGGTGTGGAGTGCCATTCTTACTTTTTTAAGTGGAAGTGGCTTACATTTTGTGTTTCACGAGTGCCCGGTTTAAAATCGTCGATCATAGAAATAAATTCTGACAAATCAGATTCAATGTCGGCGGTTCTCTGTACCATATTTTGCTCCAGACTTTGTAATCGGACAGTGGTTGAATCTAGCTTTTCCTGAAATTTGAAAATATTGTTTAATGTCTTTTTTTATTAAGAATAAGTAATGGGAATTAATTTTTCGTTTAAAAACTATCAAAAGAGAATAGTGGACCGCGAATTTATTCAAAAACTCAACCCCACACTTTTCAAGTCTAGTGCTAACCTGTAATTTGTCATAATTTGTGTCGTACTTCCGGTCCATGTGGTTAAGTCGGTGACTCAATCCTTCATACAGGAAATCTATCTTTCTATACGTATTCATCTTGAGGATGTCATCCTTGTAATTTTTGGTACTAACATTCTCCGATATTTGATCCAATTGCATAGTTAATATTGACTCCAGTCTTAACACTTTCGCGTCTATCGCTTCTAGTTTTTGATGGTACCGGTCCAATTTGTCTTCCAAGGTCTGGCCTAGTTGGATGGAGTAAATGTTGTCCAGATTCCGCAGGCGCTCTTCTATCGCGGTTAGAATCGAATAAAAGTTCTATAAAAGTAAACGAAAACCAATATGACAAAAAATATATAAAAATGTATATTTTAATTTTCTCTCTTAACTATTGTTTATGATCTAAGGTTTTTATGAGAAAATACCATCAGCTAATTACTATTTTACATACATGGGTTTAGTTATCGACAAATCAGTAAATTGCCTTACAAACACTACACAAACAAAAACTAACCCAATAAACAACCATTGTGAATTGCTGTTTTTGATTGTTTGTATGGTGCTATTTCTTTGGTCATACTTGCCATTGCAGGTTAAAGGAATAACTGAGCTTAGCGACAATCTTAATCCGACACAGCGAACCAGTCGCCTCTCATTATAATTTAAACGGACTGTATTTTCCACCTGGAGGAGCTTAGGATGATCATAACAGTTTAGAAGTAACATTCTATGATGGGCTTTTGGTACTACGTCCATGGCTGTTTCGCGTCCATCGCCAATGAAATTGATATATCTGTTGATGTCACTTACCTGTTGTTGTAAACTTTCCCGAAAATTATCTACCGTTTCTTGTAAATTGACGCCGCTTATAGCTTCGCAGGGCAAACAATAAACCAAAAACAATAACCAAAATTGCATATTTGGTAGCGTCTATCGTCACGGTCATAAGAAAATTTGTTTGCGGTGTGACTAACGCGCTTTATGATGTTACGGTTTGTGCGGAAAGCTCTTGAGCAAATGCGACAGTCTCAGTCTTTAGGGCTGGGCTTTATCTGGGATGTTGAAATGCAAATGATTAGACCAGTCGACAAAAGCATAAACGACGTTGGAAGTTGTCGGTTACTTCAATTTTAGCGCAGGTTTGAGAACATTCTTTTTTAAAGAAAAAGATATAATTGAAGTACGATGTAGACAGAAACGTGAAATTTTAAACTAATGCAAGACAGCCGAAAAGGGGCTTAGTAGACGCCTAGCGCTACTGACAAATTTAGGACAAAGCCGGACATTAAATGCAAATATGTATGTAAACTAATTAACAATTCAAAAAACATGCCAATAAATTTAAAAGGTGTCTTTATTATCATTTGATTTCGAAATTATATATGTCAAATAAAAATAGTAACAATAAACATCGAACAATATATTTCTCTCGATCATATTTTTGTTCTGAATGAATGAATTTTACACACTAATTTGATCAATTTTCTTTCCAAACAGGTCCACAAACTTATCTCTTTTTTTAATTTAATGGGATCTGGTCATATTTTCGAATTGTTGAACTGTCAGCGGCCATGTTGATTGTTGAACTTTGAAAGGTGTCATTGATTCGTTTGAAATGATAGGTCTTATTAGCAGAAAAGAGATTTAAAATAACCGCATCTGCGCATAATGATTCTCCGTTCTCTCAACATTTTTTTTCATGGTGGCTTCAAAAATTCCTGTATTATCAGCATAGGGAGGCCTATGAAAAGAATACTAGGTGAATAATAGGTTAGGATCATTTGCCGAAGTGCCATGAAATTTCTGATACAAATTTATTAATAGCGCTCTGAAGGGATTGGCCTCCGCCCTTCTGGCTCCTATATTTTTAAACAAAATAGAGTCATAGCGTTTCAAGTTTCGCGATCCTGCACGAATACTTGCAGGATCGTTGCATGCCTGAAACGACTGGCCTAATAATTGCTACTACGATTAAGTGAAGCATCACGTTACAAACAAATTCAATTTCCAGGAGGCTTAAGTCTACTCTTAAAAGTGGGGTTATAGTGTCACAGATAACTAATATTTTAGTGCATAGGTAGTGTTGTGGAATTGACCTGTCAATTTTTTTAATGTCATTTGACCGAAATAATGTTTAAAATACAATGTAATTTATATTTATTATATTGTGCGTTACGTCGCCTTCGCGTCTATCTGAGAACTACATAAATGGAATGGATGGTTTTATTGAGATTCCCCGAATCGCTAAGTATCATATTTAGCCGTACCTTGAAAAGGGTTATAGGTAAAATAGGCATTACAATGGCATAATAATTTATTTTTTCTTCTCGTGTCTGTAAAATACCTAATTACACAGCGATCTCGCATGCGGCAAACGTAACTTTACCACATCAGTTTCGTTTCTCACGGATCCGAGTCACTTCGGACATTTCCGGGATTTTACCGCACAGGTTTGGGAGCAATCGGATGTTTTCGGATATATTTCCCACGCCTTGAATTTTGACGTTTGTCAATTCTGACGGTCGTCAGTAAATTTATTCGTATTGTTTTGCAAAAATGTGGCCAAAAGCTAACGGTCGTGGAGAAAGTATAGTACTTTTATTATGCCATTTACCGCACTTTTTGCATAATATAGGAATAAAATACACATTATTATTATTATATAATGATAAGTAACACTCTACATTTGCAAGTTGTTATTTAAAACATTTAGATCGAAGTTGACTATAGTCAATTAAGAAGTGGTCAATTGGTCGTCAATTGACCAGCCACAACAATATGCATAGGTTCACGTTATAAATTTTGAAGAAATTGTAAATCAAGTAAAAAATGTTTTTTCAACACAAAACTATTATTAAGGGAGAATTGTTCTATATTCCAACACCTTAATTTTTTTTGAATTTTTGTTTTGTACCGCACTTCTTGCATAATATAATAATAAAATACATATTATTATTATTATTATTATTATTATTATTATTATTATTATATATTATAGGTAACACTTGAACTTCTATCAGATCTGGCATATGGATAAACAAACTAGATGGTTATCCATCTAATTTAACAGTAAATACAAATTTTTAAACATTTTTTTATATTGTGTCAAAAATTGGATGGAACTAAATTAAAAATTAGATTTAATCCATTTGCTTACTTATTTATTTCAAAAGTCAATTCCCATTCGTTAAGCATAACCCAAACGATTCCGCAAACACAGATGTGTATAAATAAATGACAAAAAATGAATACAGATAGAAGTTGATGTTAGGTGCGTTAAATGTCTCCCTTAAAGTCCATGATATTAATATTGCCATTTAGTCCTTCGTAGAATTTCTTGATATTTTAAGTTTTTGAGATTAATTAATTATTGGTAGAAACCTGTTTTGTTTTCTTTTAGAAAGAAACACTTTCTTTTATTGAAATAGTAAGTCGGTGCTGAGAGTCCCTCAAAATCGCTCAACTCGCCTGTTCTTGTGCTATGAACCCATGTTCTAAACAAATATTGAAGTAAGATTATTCGGCACAACAAATCGAAGGCCCTTATCGTTTAACAAATACGCCGAGCCGTGAGAGTTCGGTAAACCTTAGCTGTTGCACAGCACCCATTCAAAACTTAGTATGGTTTTGTAGGGGTGAAAATTTCTCCCCGCCTTAGCCTTAGGCAATGTATTTACAAGAAGTTATTTTCATTTTTTTTTATCATTCATTATTCTTGCTTGACCATACGTTTAACGAATTATTTTCAAGTGCCTGTTTCGTCATAATGCTCTCGAGATATTTTTCTCACGGTGAAAATACAATTTATTGGTACCCCAACATCCTTGAAGTGTTTTTATTAAAGCGCAACGGAGGTCTGGGCAATATAAAAATCGACGCCATATGATTTGCAATTTTTTGCTGTGTTATTTGATTCTTATTGGAACTGCAACAAATTTTACGTTAGTTTTTGGTTTGTTTTCCAGGCTGAATTGATTCATTTGCGCGCGGAACTCGTTGAATCAAAAGCGAAAAATCACCTGTTGGAAAACGAGCTCCATAATATTCTGCTTCAACTTCACTCATCACAGCTTTCACACCTACCGGATAGTCTGAGTAATAAGAAAGTAGACAGCCATTTCAAACCTGACGTCAGCGCCATCAAAAAAAGACTTGAAGCGGAACTGCGGCAAAGCCCCTTGAGAATAATTAAAAGGAGCGGTAGGTCGCAGAATTCCTATTTCGTATATTTATCTAAAGGGTGGCGTAATATAGTGTGGTAAAGTGCTACTATACCGGGTGACACAAGAAAGTAGGAACACTAACTTGAAAACGGCTCGAGATAGCGCTTTGAAATTTGGAAGGGTTAATATAGGCGGAATGTCCAATTTTTTCACAATATGTAGTCAATGGTTAGACTTCCGGTTTGAGCGGAAACGACAGTAACTTTTTTTTGTTTTTTTAAATTTTTATTTAACTTTGAAAATTGAGTCTAGGAGGCTGTGCCCATCATAAATACTATTTGACCGAGTTACCCGTTCATGTGAAAAATTGTAAATTAAACTTTTCTTTTCTTTTATATAATGGCAAATAGCATTTAATGCAATGAAGTATTAATTTTTTAGGATAACTTAGTTTTTTCAAATAGTACCCTAGTGGGAATAAAAACTTTTTATTACCGGTACTTTTTTTGCAGGAATAAAAAATCCAGATAAGCAAATACATTTTTATAAAATCAAAATATTACTTAGGTGGCTTCGCTTCTATACATTATTGTCAAGTTGGTAAGATTAAAAATGCAGAAGAAACTCTCGATAAACTCATGCAATGGAAAGAAAAAAACAGATTAGTATTTAAAAAAAAATAAAATTCAAGGGAGAGTTTCTTCTGAGATTCAACGATTAGAGTTTTTTGTTGAAAGTGTTTTATTATGGTAAAAACTTGATTTACTTCTGGAATGGGGGTTACAGTCCAAAACCAACGTATACGTACGTCATAAGCTACAAGCAATTTTTACCGGAAACTCAGAAGAACAAGAGAATAGATTTTTTTTAATCTGTCACTTTTTGGGATAATTGAACACAATATTTTGAAAATCCACAATATCGGCAGAATCGATTTGAAAGTGGTGTATCAACATCATATTCATTTAATTTGGAACTGGAGTTTTGCATTTATTTGAATTTAATAAGTGCAATAGATATTTACTTAATAACCAATTTCTTTTAAGATAAAACTTTCATAGAATGCTTTCAAAATATCCTTCTTGCTTTATACGACACTCCCTGGCTCTAGAAATTACATTCACTGTAACTGTTCCTCACATTTTTGGAGTTATACTATCAATTCTTGTAGGTCGAACACTGGATTTACATAAACACGGTTTTTCACATCAATTAAAATGCTGAATAGAAGCAAAGCCACCTAAGTAATATTTTGTTTTTATAAAAGTGTATTTACTTATCTTGTTTTTTCCTTTCTGCGAGCTTATTTTTTAACGGATTTTGAAAATTTTGGTTTCAAAATGTTGCAAAAAAAGGACCGGTTTTAAAAAGTTTCTGTTCCCACTAGGGTACCATTTGAAAAAATTTGGTTATCTTAAAAAATTAATACTTCATTACATTAAATGCTATTTGCCATTATATAAGTAAAGAAAAGTTTTATTTACAATTTTTCACATGAACGGGTAACTCGGTCAAACAGTATTTATGATGGGCACAGCCTCCTAGACTCAATTTTCAAAATTAAATAAAAATTTTAAAAAACAAATAAAAGTCGTTTCCGCTCAAACCGGAAGTGCCATTGACTACATATTGTCAAAAAATTGGACATTCAGCCTATCTTAACCGTTCTAAATTTCAAATCGCTATCTCAAGCCGTTTAAAAGTTATAGTGTTCGAACTTTCTTGTGTCACCCGTTATATCCCTTATATCACTATTTTTAAATAATGTAATGTTGTAATACATGTTGTATAAATTCAAAAGATGAACGTTTTAAAAATATTATACAGGAATTACTATAGTATCATTACCATGCTCTTTACTAAACTCTTAGCAATTAATTTGATTATTTGAAGGTCCATTTTTAATTTTAAAACGCAGCAGATTGAATGAGATAGGAGTTTATAGGAAACTTGCTGCTCATCAAAATTCAAAAACAATTGTGTCACATTAAAAAGTATATATTTTTGTATTGTCACGCGTTTCTGAAACATCCTATATAATTGAGAATATTTTAAAAATATTTGTTTTTAATTTTCCTTCATGATGTAGATCACACATATCAAAATTTACATTTTTTCTACTCTCCACTCTGAAATACTCAAATATGCATTCATTAATCCATACTGCGTAAGCAAGCAATTTTACGACGTCATCGAGGTCGTCATCCATCGTCTCGAGCCAACGGCATAATGTTAGGCACAGAAATTCTCGCAACTTTTTTACTGATCTCAAGATGCTATTCGTTATCTCTGGCAAAATCAGATTTTGAGTAAAACAGTTTTAAAATTAAATATTTAATTAGCGTTGATTTCAATCCAAGGGTCTCCGTTTTTTACATTAAAAAAAATTTCAGTTTTTTTATGTTTGTTATATTGGAATTGTTCAAAATTGTTAGTATGGGGATTCCTAATATCATTCAGGACTAAACTTGCACTTGATTAAGAAGAAGAAGATTGCATCTATTAGTTAATTGTTAATTACATATCAATAGAATAATATTCTGAAAATTTTGCTAACCGTCTAATAACGTTTTATTGAACGATTAACTTGAATAAGATCTGAAACCAAAATAAGGCAACTACTATCTTTCAAAAACCAGTTTGGAGATGGTGCTCCCAGACAGCCTTGTTTTCAGTAAGCTCCGATCCGAAAGAAAAGGACGAATTCAAATTTAGTTCAAACTCACTCGAACCCGTGCAGTGGAAAACGGAAAACGCCCAATTGCTATCGGAAAATGCCGCATTGAGAAACGACGTTCTCGCATTGACCTCCGAAGTGTACGGCGCGAAGTTGGCAGCGAAATACTTGGACAAAGAGTTGGCTGGCAGAATTCAACAACTACAACTTTTGGGTAATTTTTTTTTCCAACCGCGACACGGAAAATGTAATTTAGGTAAAGGAACCCAAGATTTTGTTGTTGTTTGTTGTCTTAGGCCGCGAAATGAGGGGCGACGTACGAGACAAGCTCTGGCGGCAATTGGAATCTGAGATCCTTCTTCAGAGACACAAAACCGTTGTCAGAGCATGCAGAAGAAGCAGCACCTTGAATGGGCAGGATAGATTTTCGAAGCCAATGTTGGACAATACCAACGGGGGGTTGAATAATTTTGGAGATATTCGGGTGGTGGTAGTTAAGAGGAAACCTGAGCAGGGTCTTGGAATAAGTATTACAGTAAGTTTCAATAAGCGTGATTACATAAGGATGATGTATACTAAATTGAAAACTATGCACTTAAGGACTGACTGTAAATTTGAGCAGTGTGGCTAATAGTATTTGTAATGGTAAATTTAATAGAATGGGGAAAGTTGAAAAAACTTCCATCTTTTAAACTAAATAACTTCATTTAGGGCGGAAGAGAGCATGGAGTTCCAATACTCATATCGGAACTGGAACCCAACGGTCCAGCAGCCATCAGCGAACAGTTGTACATAGGCGACGCCATCTTGTCCGTCAATGATATAGACCTGCGCAACGTTTGCCATAAGGAAGCGGTCGGTATACTGCAGCAGCAAACGGGCGACTGCGTATTCCACGTGCAGTACATCGCCGCCGACGACAGCGACAACTCTCTGGAAGAAGACGGTTTCAACTTCAGGTGGGTCCAGTTTCTGTGAAGTCAGTCACATGCATTAAGGAAGGTATATTTTGCAAAAAAAAGTCCTCATTTCAGTTGTGAAATGTTAAATGGATGAACGGTGTAAGTGTGGCTCCGTTAATATTTAATAGTTTTTGTGGTGTATGGTTTGTGGAAAATGGCGCAAGAAAAATATTTTATGTATTTATCATATTTAAAGTATAATGCGAAAAGCTGGTGTTTAATAGAAAGTGAAGCATTATTAAATGCAAAACATGTACTTTTTATTGACTCTACTGCATTCATACCCATCCACTGCATCCATTATTGGGCATAGGTATTCTCCATCTCCTTCCACATAATTCTGTTTTGTGCCTTCTGCTTCTAGTTTCCCGCCGTTTTTCTCAGGTCGTCTTCCCATCTGGTTGGGGGTCTACCACGATTTCTTTTACTTTCTCTGGGTCTTCATTCTATCAATGTTTTGGTCCACCTATTGTCGCTCAAGCGCGCTATATGACCCCCCATCTCCATTTGCCCTGAATAATTTTTTGTATGACATTTGTTATTTTACTTCTTTGTCTCAATAGCCTGTTTGGTACCATCTCTCTTCTTGTAGTTGCTCTCAACTTATGTGCGAAGTTTTTAGTCAACATAAGCGTTTCCATTTCCATTTTTCAATCAAAGTGTTCACAGCTTGTAAGTTATCATTTGTTCGCCATTCATACTAGAAGAAATTAAGGTCCAAATAAATATTGTAGAAGGCCACATAAAACTACTTCATCAGGTATATTATTAGTTCAGGTATATTGCTGGAGTGTTGAGAGAGAGAGTAGGTAGGTAGATTTAAAGAAAGAAATGTTTACATCAAAAGCTGTTATTAGAATAATTGTTATATAATGTTTCTTGAGTGACTTCCATCGACAGAGAAATTTGTGTTGTATTTAAAAAATATTATTATTTAAAATCAGATTAAAACCATTTATTGAAACTGAAAGAACTAGAGATGAAACCTATGGTATAACAGATTTGAAGAACAACTAATAACTTCAACTTTATTAATTTGATCCATTCATCCACTATTTTTTTATGATCCTCTTCTTTGAAATTGGTAAACTAGTCTCACAATAAGAGTTATTATTTATATATTAGGTACAAAATTCATGATTATTAATATTTTTTCTTTTCTTTTTGCAGTTCTTTTGTTCTTTTTTTTTAGTTCTACCAAAGTTTTAAGAAAATGTTTTTAAGGCTAGAATTTGGCATAGTAGTTTATAGTTTAGCTATTAACATCCTGGGGAAGTATTTAAGTACATTTAGTCTTTTTTCCACCTGCGAGGTTACTCTTGTAGAATGAAAACTATATTGCCTTCGTGGACTTCCTTTGCAACATTGTATTTGTATTATATATATGAATATATATTTTTGTTCTTCTTTTATCGCAATTAATACTATATAAATAAATAAAAAGAATACAATGCAAACACGACAGTCATGTGAAAGTTGACTAAAGTAGGATCACATAGATGTTCTATATCTAGATTCAATTAATCGGGATTACCCGAAATTGTTTCTGAAAACATACAGAGCGAAACCTATTTGTAATTTTGCCTTTTTGTGGTAAAGTTACTTTGTTTTCAGTTTGGACGAATAATGAACTGAATGGAATGTGTGTAAACTTTGATAGACCAGAGTGATTGTGTCCTTTTATGCTAATGTTTTGCTGATTGCAATATTTTTTATAAATCTTGCCGTTTAGATTTTTCAATGACGAAGTGTCTTCTGCAAACCATGCAAATGAAATCAAGGGATCTCAAGCAAACACCCCCACCGCTCCCCGAACGCCCGATTCCCAACCTGTCAGCAGGTGAGATCTTAATCCCCAGCTAAGCTTTACCCGACATTAGTATTATAAGCACGAAACTTGTATGTGATATTGGTTATTCCACTTATTGTGTTTCTTTTTTGGCGCATTTGAATTTTAGTTTACATTTTTTTGTTTTTATTTTTAAGAAAATAAATCTCTATACCTTTGACTTCTGTTTTCTTTTAGTTACATCGCTGCAGAATTTTGATAAAAAATTGATGTTACGAAATTGCTTTTATTTCCGGCATAATTTGATACAATTTGGGTTGATTTTAATGAATTGAATAGAATATCAATTTTGAGATTTATTCATCGAAACTAGCGGCCCACAGTTTTTGTCTTTGGCATTTTTTTTTATAAAACGCATGTTCTTAAGCATGAGTAGTATAAGTAGCAGAATCATTGTGCAATAGATTGTAAGTATGTAATGTTAAGTATCCACCTACACAATAATATAATTATTGGTTATTATATCTTACGCGACAGAATTTAAAAAATTGTCCCGAATTGCCGTCTTGGATATCTTTGTTGCTGAAAGCACCTTCAAACTTGGTCGCTATCATTTTATGAAAAAATTCTTGGGTTGGAAATTTGGTTTGAACTCACTAATTGACTGATTAATGTCATTTGTGTCGAGTATTTATTGAACCTACTTTAAAAAAAACTTTATATTTCGTGTTCAGCTCGGTCTAAAATGCGTATTTAGTCTTATTTTTCCCTTTGGAGTGGCGAGTTTGCAGCTTTTGAAAAAACACAATCTATCTGTGCGACATCCCTATCTGCACAATAAACAAACACAAGTAAAATTTTAGGTTATCTCAAACTACCCCTGAGCACACAAACCTCAACGCTGCGACAAACAATGGCACCGTACAACCGATTAAAAAGATCGATGAAATAAGCACAAACAACACGAACAACAACCAGCTCGACAATATAACGAAATTCTCTGACGATTTGACAACCGTGGATACCATGGACCTCATTCTATTAGATAATTCGACAAACAACATAATCAATTTAGGCGAGTTTAAAAAAGTAGACGTACTGCCAGACATCGAGAGCAATTTCAATTGTTCCGTGAACTCTTTGAACTCAAACATGTCTTCCCCTATGCAAACCAGCACGGATGTATATTTGGATTCAGAAGTTTTGTCGACCGATGTCACGTCGAATGACAGTCAATCACCAAAAGTGATTCAGACGGACGCGGTGAAAACCGCGGCTTCGTTCAGCTACGACAACTGCATCAAAAATAGTGTTTCCATTCAGTCTCTGTCAAATCCCAAAAGCGACCAGAGCTTGCTGAACTCAGACGACAGTAGCAGCGGGTCGCCCGTACACAAACTGAACAAGCACTATAAAAAGCAGAAGAAAGTGAAAAAAAAATATTTTGGGGTTAAAACATTGCAGAGCATTTTCAATCGTCAGGGCTATTCCGATATTTCTACTACTGCGAGCGAGATCGGTGATGAACAATCGCTCCACTGTGAAGAGAATACAACAGAGGCCTCTAATAACAAACCGACTTACACCGATACGAGTCCTCAGTTTGAGGAAAATGTGCACTCGATACTCTCGGACATTTTTCTGAAGAGCAACATCGAGCCCGCGTCGCTCACTAAATTCTCGAGGCAAATTCAGAGTTCAAAAAAGTATTTTTCGATGCACGGTCATAATTTGAGGGTGAGCAAGGCCATAAGGCTGTGCCCGAACGAGAATTTACCCGAAAACGACGACGCCGACCAGAGGAAAGACAAGTTGTTAGCTAGGTATGTTTACAATGCGAATTCGGTAAATGTTGATGGCGTCGGAGATCCCGATTTTGGAACTCCGGTTTAATTTTTATATGCGCAAGGGTCTGTGTAAGGTGAACGCAATACTTTGAATGTAACTTCTGTTCAAGCAATCTCTTCAATTAAATGCTAATTACCATTTTATAAAAATCGGTTCATTTCTTCGGTTTATTTTTATTTTTGCTTATTACCTCGTAATTTTTTCATACATATTGATCGAAGTATCGAACATTTCTTTGCAACTTAACAAACGTAAAAAAATGTAGAGAAAGCCATTAAATTTTCGGAAAAAGAACAAATTATTATTCTTGGTCGTTTAAATAGTTCAAAATATCATTGATTCTACCGTAAACATATTTTGTTATTGTTACACTTTTATTTGTATATTTCTTTTTTTTTCCTTTAAATAAAAAAATACTTTCACCATTTTTTTTTTAAATCAATAATTACACAAGTCTGCTGACTATGACATAATCTGTTCGAACGCAAGTTCTTTGAAGTTGTTTCAATGTTCTACTTTATGGAATTACTTAAGTACCCATCTATCTATCTATTATTTGTAAAATTGGAAAGCTATTGCGTTCACTACAAATTGCCCAATATGAAACTTGGTTTTCAAATTAATTGATTACAGTGCTTTAAATTTTTGATTCTCATATTATAGCTCTCTATTTACATTTGAAAGTTACAGGCACAAACAAATATAAAAACATTTCGCAGTATTCGGTCTAGGACACAAAACAAAACTAGTCAAGAAACTAATTGTGATGTAGTGTTTTCTAATCCGTAGTTAAAGTCCACGCAGAAGCGATCTGCTTGGAGTTATTCTATTTATTAATTCTAATATAAGAGTACTGATTTTCTCATTGAACCGAAAATGGGATAAACACCTTTGGCTTGTATAGGAAAGTATGGGAATTTTTCTTGAGTTTAGTTTCTTTAGGATCTTTTTGGTTACTTCTGATAGTTCCTATCTGGGAACAAGGCGAACCCTTTACAGATGTAGAGTTAGAATCAAACTTAACTGAAGATGTTATCCCATTTTAAGAAAGTGCTTTAGCTTACATATTTAAGAGGTAATTAATTGATAGTATAGATAGTCCGCTCGTGAGAGGGTGTAGGCATTCAATAGTAAATAAGGTATGTGAGGCGTTTCAATCTTTTTAGGCACTAATTTTCTAATATACAGTTAAAACACAGGACGATACCAAGCATCCTACCGTGGTTAACTCAAAAAGTCCCTCCAAGCTTGACCAAATAAAGCAAGGGACAAGTCTTTTGTACAAATTAATTATTCCCGCCAACTGAATAAATCAGTTAATACCCAATTTTATTTTATATTTTCGATTTAGTGACTGACGCATGCGTTCTGTTCGGTTAGTTTGGACACTTTAAGAATACTACAAGAACCAAGGCCTCCGTAAACATATCTAACTGCCTAGGCGCACTGCTGATTCAAATTTTTATTACTTATATTTTAGTAAACCTTTTTTTTGTGTTTTATTTGGATATATAATTAAATTTTCTAATATGAGGGTATTACAGGATAACAAGATACATCCTTGTGAATGATCCTTAATCGCAACACTTTGTTACAAGGGCTATTGAGCTTCTGAGTCCTTCATCATATATTACTTTCGTTAAAGTACATATATGTTAGGGTTATAATCCAAGTACATTGGACCAAAATTTTGTTGTGCTCAGTCAATAAATCTTGCATTAAAACGTCTACCGAAAGAAGCAGGGTATCGTCAAAAAACCTCTCCAAATTATTTTTTTTAAGTGAAGCACGTATTCTGGTACATTTTTTGAATAATTTTCACCTTAATTAGTCATTCGCCCGTTTTTTTTTACTTTTTACTAAACCAATTATACACTAATATTTACTCAGAAAGTAGTCTAAAACAAAGCGACAAATTGGTATCGGTGATATCGGATCATAGCATGTTCGTACAAAAGAGGAAGGCTACGAACAATATTTATCTGTTTATTCATTTAAAAATAAATCACACATTTTGGGTTTTATTTCTTGGGTGCATTTACTTCACGTAACATTAAAGCAAAAATACCTGCATATGTCTCAGAAAATATATGTAATTAAATCATCAAACAATTTTTCATTTATTGAAAAAATCCGTTTTAATGAAGTGACTCAATTTTCGATATTATCCCAATTTACCAGAATTGCTATATTGGTACATTACTAGCACACGTATTGACTTTTGTTGCCTTATGCCGACCATTAACACAGATGATCACTTAGGGTTCATCCATGCCGTCCATATGTTATTTTTTTTTCGTTGTTAGTGTTATTTCAGATCAACCTACAGTATGATAAATCATCATATATGTCTCTTTGATGCTGTTAGGGCGCTAAACGCCATTTTTTTAGATTTACAAGAATATTTATTAACTTACATTATATAATTTTTGTTTTTTTTTTTTGTGAAGAACCCAAAAATTTATAAAGTATCAAGACTTATCAAGTGAAACGCGTAATCACTGATACTGAACTTGTCACTATAACTAAATTTTACTTTCTTGAAAGCGTTACTCACCAAATATTTTAGTGTTAAGATTTCGGTGTATAAAAATTCTGCGAAGAATTTATGTTGTCATTTCGCCTACAACTGTTTTTACTTCGCTCTAGGTAACACATGAAGAATTTTGTTATTAGAAAGGAGGGATGAAATATATTTGTTCACGATATAGCTTAGCTTGAGCCCAATGGCGAAGAACCTATCAATCGTGTACAATTATTTCTTCTTAAAATATATCTTTCCAGTTCAAAATGATGATTATAACAGAATTAGAAGAAATCCAACCAAACCAGCTGCATACAGATTTAGTAGTATCGGTCGTCACAGAGAAGTATTTTTTTAAAATAAATTTTATTTTTTTATCGTTGCTCAAGCTGTAAGCAAAAAGTATTAGAAAGAACCCCATACCTATTTATCTAAATTGTTATGCTTGGATTTAGCTTCTGTTGTATCAGTTTTGTATTTTATATGTGTTGTGCTTAGAAGCGTTTTAATATTTTCTGCAATTGATATAATTGACACCCAGTATTCCTAGTGGTAAATATGGACTAATATGTTGCTGCGCTTTTTTTCGTATTTTGTAACTGAATGTAATCTTTAAAACTATTGTTAATGACATATCTATAATAAAAATTGATTTAAAAATAAGTATTCGTTTTTTCTGCAGAAGCTTAAGTTGTACTCCTACCTTGGAATAAAGCAGTATATATATCCTGGACAATTAAATAAAATACAAGTAAAGAGCCTCTATGTCCATACCTGTTAGGAGTGCCCCTGCGTTTCGATTAGATGATCAGTCGCTAAACTAATTACAATTTGATTAATTTCAAAACACAGTGGCTCACTATATTATGCCTGGGAAAAGATGGATCACTAGTCATCAGTGATCCTGGGCCAGCGCCCAAATACTCTTAAAGTGAAATGAATACTGAAAGTAATTGCTTAATGTTTGCTTTTTAATTTATACAGTTCAATCAAAACTGATCTATTTAATTTCAAAAAGTGTTGACGCTAGATATCTTGTCCTGCCTATGTTTGATACCAAAATTAAGGGGAAAAAATGAAACAAAGCATTAGTTTGGGCACTATTTTAATAGTAGATAAGTAAACGTTTTATGTACAATAACTATGTGTCTCATTTGTTTAAATAATATTTAAGATCATACAAAATGTTACAATTAAATCTGTACACTAGAGACATATATGTTTGATGCAATATGTGACAGGACGAGTTCAACTTTGCACTTATTACAAATTTCCAAGCTTTCCTTAGGAAAGCTTAATTAATATTTTATTAATTTTAAAAAAGAAATGCCCATGTTAAAATTCCATCAAGCAAAAACTTATACAAAAAATACTTTATATACAAAAGGCAAGATGAAACACAACTGCTTATTCTTTTCTCTAACATTCTTAATTGCTCTAATCTTATCACGCGATCGCTTATCGGGTGAGAAACCAAGTGAGAGGAAGAACTCTGTTTCTCTCATTGCATAAAATATTCATTACTGTCTCAGGACTCCACATTAATAATGAATATTTTTCCTTGAGCCGAAAGCCACTGTTTTAAACCCCATAGCTGCATTGGAAAAGTTGGCAGTGTTGTTTAAAATCATATAAACCACGCTCATTCCCTGGCAAGGTGCATCTGCGCGACTGCTAGCTGCGCTTGTATGTGGTTAAACATTAAACTTTCTGGAACCACCGGTTTTGGAAGGGGTATGGTGATCGGCGGTGGCTCGTCGGGATTTTCCTGTTTGTGGATTGGTTGCAATCTCCTGATATTACTTACTACGTTTAATCCTGTCCAAAAATTCATTGTTAATCTTAGAAATTCTATCAGAAATAGGTGAATATGTAGGTGTGATATAATTTAAATATAAATGTATTAAGGGGTCAAAAAAACGATACCTTTTCGATAAATATAATAAAAATAAACAACTTTTTTTTCTGAATTTTGTTATTGACTGAAAAATAATTATCGTGAAATGTTTTCAATTATTCTTATAGGAAATTTAATGCTCTACAAAAAGGCCTCTTGTGTTTTTTTTAAATTTTAAATGAACCCGTTGAGAAACATTCAATTGTGATCCTCACTTGTGATTAAACTAAAGTTATAAAAGAAAATATGTTTAGAAATTTGATTAGGAAGAAATATACTCCCAAACAAATGGTAAAAAATAATTTAAAAACTGCCCCTCAAAAAAAATCATTAATCGTCCACTCAGCTGACCTTTTAACAAAAAATTGCTTTAAAAACTAAGGATTAAAGTTGGTAAAACCATGATTCTAGTTCGAAAACTAATGGTTGGAAAGGCCAAAACATGTCAAAAATCAAATAGAAGGTCAGTGTTAAAAATCCCAGGAATTCTATCTTTATAAGCAATTTTATAACACATATTTTAGCCAAATGTGAGTATAGATGAAAATATTACAAGGCTTGCCAGATCTTCTTTGGATGACCTAGTGACCTAGCTATACTTCAACAGCATTAAGCTAAGCACAATGATCAGCTAAATAAACAGCAGATTACACTATTCCACTGCATTCAAGTATCTTAGTCAAGTTAACTTCGTCGTTTGTTGGAGTTGCTCTGAGTAGTTAACATGTTCATTTGTACTTTACATATACCTTTCACAACTATAAGTTACTAGGGGAACTAACTTGTCGCTGATTGCGCGATTCTCTTACCGTGAACGGTACGCTTGTGTTGGGTGAGTAGATAGCCCATTAGAAAGCTTTCCGTGCACAACTCGCACTGGAATCGTTCGCCAGTGTGACGGCGTACGTGCGCTTTCAGATCGTTGCCTTGAGCGAAAGCAGCGTCGCAATAAGTGCACTGATAAGGTTTCTCGCCGGTGTGCGTTCGCATATGTACCGTTAAGTTGTAAGCCCTGAAAAACATTACTTGTTTGATACTGCCCGTTCTGCGACTCCGGAAAAAGTACCTTCCGAATCCCCTACCGCATACGGTACACAAATGGGTCTTCTCTCCGGTGTGGTATCGTTCGTGAACTGTCAGATCGGTGGTCCTTGGAAAACCTGTTTCGCGATTAACAAGTACGAAATTAATTACTTCCCGCATAAGGTTTATATTTGATAATGGAAAAAGCTCTGGAGTTTTAAACTAAAGTTGCGCATTTTTACATTTTATGCGCAATGAACCATGAAAAACTTCAAAAACCTGCTTTTCAAGGCAAATTAATATGATTATAAAATCTAACTAGACAATTTGCTGGGCTCCACATAGCTACTAGATAAGTTGATAATGCCTATGCTGATGACACAGGTATACTCTTCAAACGATATACCGTTTTTACAACCATTTATAGTTTTCATTTCGGAATGAGTTTAAGACCCCTCCTGTTGTAAAACGCAAGGGTCCATTCTTTTCAGCACGTGTACCGCAAGCCAGGGCCTTCTTTAAGATATTAGCCGACAAGAACTGTGCCTTGCGGACTGTTGTATTTTAAGAGTAGGGCAATTTTATTAAACTGTTACATTAATTCACATTAGTGCGCTTTTTATAAATCTTTCTAAAGCAGTCGCTACTTGAGGTAGCTCTATTTCAAGTTAAATTTGCCTATATTAAAAACATTAGAAAGCTTATTACTGAAACTGGAGTATGCTGTTAGTTTTATAAAACAGTATTTTCTTAGCCGTCCAATCTTTGGAAGTATTACCATTATTATAATTACCAACTTACTGGTATTCAATTGTTTTTCAGGACTCGGTCTGCCATTTTTATTAAGGTACCATATACATTTTACTGCAATTTATTTCTTACCAAATACTAACATTATTCAATTTTGTTAGTCACTTGCGATGTCCAGCAACGAAGAAGTTGATATTGTGGTCGATGACACATTAATCATTGATGATGAACATTGCCGGTTGCTGCCAAAATTATAATTTCAAATGTATTTTTCTACTCCCTTCTGTAAAATACCTAATCCGAGCCACTTCGGACATTTTCGGGATTTTACCGCACGGATTTGTGAGCAATCGGATGTTTTCGGAGATATTTCCCACGCTTTGAATTTTGACGTTTGTCAATTCTGACAGTCATGTCAGTGAATGTATTCGTGTTGTTTTGCGAAAATGTATCCAAAAACTAACGGTCGTAGAAAAAGTATAGTATGCAACACGTTCGGTAAACTTTTTAACTCACTCGTATATATAATATACTATTCTGTGTTTGAAATCGACATCTAGGAAAAGTGGAGCCATAAAATTAACATCCGAGATGACTAAAGCACCGTATGCCACAGTACGTGATAATAATCGAGGAATCTCACCGATGAAACTATACCCAAACCGTCAGCTTTCGCCATTTGTATGCACAGTTCTAGAACGTCATTGTGGAATTGCGAATTTATTTATGGAGGATTACAAAAAGAAACCCAAGCGAGGTAGGCCTGCGGTTAGACCTTCATAAAAATTTAGCAAAGTTAACTACCGGATTATGTCGTAAAAACGGTATATCGTTAGAAGAGTCTACTTTCGTAGATCGATATTCAACCTGCGCCTACGCGCGTCATTTCAAGGTTACTCCAGATTTTTTCTAACCAAAACAATAGGCGATTTCTGGAGAAGTTTACTTATCTTTTTTTTACCCTCAAGTAAGATTCAGTAAGAAAAAAACCATTTACTTATTGTAACCTACTCTGATGGCTTACTTAGTACAGGTTTGTTTTGAATTTCAAGCAGCTTGTTTGCATCTTTATTTTATTTTTTATAGATATTTTACACTAAACTACAATAATAATACTTCACAAAATTTTGGGTATCTGTGGTGTGATCATTCATTTGTTGGACATCGTAACTTAACTTACTTTAAGTAACTGAAGCATGTTCATGTCAAATGTTTCGGTTGAAAAACCATAACTTTGTAATAATTCCTTAAATTTTAATGCAAGTAGTTCAAATGTACCGCATTTAATATTTTTATAACTTAAATTCAAATAACATGAGATAAACATTTTTGGGAAAACCCTTTAATTATTTTACCGATCAGCATCTCTTACCTTTCCCACAGAATTTACACTTAAACGGTTTCTCGCCCCTGTGCCGTCGCATGTGAATCACCAAGTAATCGTTCCTGATGAACCTTTGCCCACATTCTGAGCACAAAAACTTTTTGGAATGTTCGTTGTGGAATTTCATGTGCTCGGTGAGGTGCGACTTCGACAAGAAAGTCTTCTCGCACGTTTTGCACTGATATTTTTTCTCACCGTTGTGTGCTTTCATATGCACGTCGCGATACTTTTCCGTGGTGAAACCTTTATGGCACACATCGCAGATAAATTTCTTCTGGCCCATTACCTGATAATAAAAAACTAGATGAGTAAATGGAACCACAAAGTTCAAGTTTCATACCCCACGTGAATAAGTGCAAATCAAAACGCCTACATGAGTTGAAAAAACATATACTTCAGCGGTTACCTTTTATCAACTAACCTTAACATTAGCTGAGACTTAATTTGATAGAAAGAGTGTAAAAAAGGTGGTTACGATTGATATATGGTATCAGGCGACGTGATTGCATAGTATATAAACTCGATGAGGCAACTCTACAACTAAACGATAGTCTTGCCCAAAGTTATTAACATAGAAGCATTGTAATGAGTTCTTCTAATTCACTAATTTGACAATTAGCGCATTTCCAAAAGACAAATAACAAGTTACAAACAAATTAATTATGGTACCATAGTGCGTTTATTCTACGACGCCGTCGGGGGGTTGAGGTTCTCTAAAAATTATGTCGTGAAATATTTCTCTACTCTTTGAGACCAACATCTGCCAATATGACTGTGGAATCAAATGAGAAAATACTATACGATGCAATAAGCTCACCCCAACTTTGTCGCCGATGCCGTGCTTCGATGCCTTGTGCTTCGCGAGGTGGTCAGCTCTGGTAAAAGGCCTCTGGCATACATCGCAGCTATATTGCTGCTGCCGTTCGTGCAGTTTCTGATGCTGCGTTAGGTGATCCCGTCGGTTAAAACTTTTCTTGCATATATCACACTCATAAGGCTTCGATTCCGAGTGGGACGTTAGGTGGCGCTTCAGGTGATTTGGCCTGCTGAAATCTTTGAGGCACACATGACACTTATAAATCTGAAACGAAACGTGAAACCATAGAGTCGGGGTTACTTTGCCCACAATTAAACAGGCTTACTTTAATACCCTGATGCTTAATTCTAGCATGTTTGTCCAAAAGGCTCATGCGATCAAACATTTCACCGCACGCAGGACATGGGAAATCCCCGATTTCTTCCTCTTCTTCTTTTTTACGCGCCTTCAGAGCCGGTCGACCCCGCCGTCCCGGCACTTTGATCTTCGGTGGATATTTGCGAGGTCGACCCCTCCTCCTGCCGGTTTTTGGCGAAGCCAGCTTCTTCAGAGGCAAATATTCAGAGTCCGAACTCTCCGCTGAACTGTCAATGCCTAAAAATCGTCAAAATGTCCTAATCTATTTTTTTGCAGTCTTCCCTTATTTACCTTCTGCGTCCACGTCTAAATCGTGACCGATCGCTTTGCGTGCTAACGTGTTGTCCTCCTCATTACACTCCGACTTATCCTCGTATTTTAGGAGTAAATGATCGGACACGATTTTTTCGTCACCCTCAGGTTTATCATCATCGTCTTCGTCTTCTTTGATGTCACCGCTCAAGTCGTTGTCCGCTGCAGATGGCGAGAAAAACGGTTGGCAAATTTAAAAGCAAAAGTAGTGTGATTAACTAAATTTTTCAGTGTTCTCAAAATCAAGATCACGTAAAATAAGAGATAAGAAATGTGAAGTATCTAAATGTAATATAATGTAAAATGTAATTTATTCTAGAAATTAGAAAGTGGGGAAGTAACTGTATTTATATTAAATTACTTCAATATTGTAAAATGCAAAAAGAAATTCGTGCAACACTCTATGTTAAGTATCATTGTGAATTAAATATTTTTTGCCATACTTTTTCTACTTATAGTATTGTACAGATTGCTATTTCAGACAATATATTATAAGTATTGCTAAATAAATACAAAATTGAAAAATAATTAAAAACCTTTGAAACAAAAATTAATTAAAAGAGTACTAATTAAAACTTTATGAAAGTTTAAATGGGGTAACGTAGTTCAAATATACGTAAAATAGATTAGCTTTGAAATAAAATATAAAAAATTCTATATCCTATATTCTATTTCCGAGGGCAAACAGATTTAAATAATTCAAACCTAATTAAACAATAAAAACTCATCTCGCTCACCTGCTGAACCTTGACTGCTGCTGTCGTCACCAATGGAATGGCCACCATCGACGTCGTCGATAATCTCATCGCCAAAATCTTTAATTTTTGTCTCTTCAATATTTTCGGTTACTTCAATTTGAGGCTCGAAACAATCCTCAATATCCGAATGATCGGAGAAATCGGCGTTTTCGTCAAAATCTACTTGGAAATAGTGTTCATCAATATTGTCCAGGTTCTCGATAGTTGGCAGCGCAAATTGGGTGTTGCCGTGAACTTGCTTATGCACTTCTAGGCTGTCTTCTCGGTTAAACGCTTTGTTGCAAATGTTACATATGTGAACATTCTCTCCTAGACAAAATTTGTACCCTAATAATTTTAAAAATGGAAAAAGCAACTTATAGCACTATATATCTTGAGAAATAATAATTCAAGTTCATAATTGTAGAAGAAAATGAATAAATAACAGCTTGAAACAATATTATTGAAGTCGATATAGGGTGTTCAAGTAAATGTGGAAAATCTGGACATATGTTCAGATCTCCAAAAAAGCAAAATTTTTGTATCTCTCTATTCAATTTTTCATTGCCGAAGAACATTGGTTTTCTAATAACTAAACATAGTATTTAAAACCTAAGCAGATAAGTTGAAGAATTGCAATGTTTAAAATCCCATGGATGAAATTAACAAAACTCAAATTATTTTTGAAATAATATACGACATATTTTTTGACATGTATCTTTAATTAGTATGTTCCTTTTCTGGAAAAAAATTACATCAAAATTTCTTGGCCCTTTCTAGCCCTTAAAAAGAGTAATGAAATAAAAAGGTATAGTGAAAACTTTAAACGCGGATATCTTTGCATTTTTAATTTGCCATTAAAAGGTAATATCTCAGACGCGCTTCCGTTAACGAGAGAGAGAGGGGGAACCAACATTGAGAGGAAGAGACCAGACTGGACGAATTAGTCCTGAACTAGTGTGAGCAGAAAAAGCCACTCTCACGAAGGACGCGAATTAAGGGTAACAAGTATTTTTAATGACATATTTCATGAATAATGTACTTAAAGTAAATGTAATATTGCTCAAGTATGTAAATACTGCAAAAATAAACCTATTCCCTTTGTTATAACTAAATTGTTGGTCACAATATGAATCATGTTAGTGAAAATTGTCTTTTTTCAAATTTTCAAAATACTTTCTATAAATTCATAGATATTTAATGTGAGAATCTTTTAAGGTAAGGTATTTAAAAAATATCGAACCTTTTTGCATATGTCTTTAACAATCTAACCATAGGTTAAAAATATCTATGGGCACCTTCAAGAGGAGTTTTTCATCTAAAAAAAAGTTATATCAGAAAATATAAAATCATTTATATATTATTTTGTATAGAAATATACAAGAAATAAGAATACCTTATTTTCGGTTTAAGGCTCATGCTATGGTCTATCCAGAATTTGTTTATTCTAGAGGGGGTTAAAACTATAAAGATGTAAAACTTGTTAGTATGGAATTATTTTTTATCCTCATAGTGAAAACGCAAAAGTAATTCATTGTAGGGAGAAAATATGTTGAATTTTTTTTCTAAAATAATATAAAAGAAAGATCTGCAAAATATACTATCATCTATGATTCTTACCTTTACATCTAGGCACATGATTATGTAAATGTTCAATTCTATTGAAGCCCCTGTTACAAGTTTTACAATTGAATGGCTTCTCACGTAAATGTGTCACCAAATGCCTCTTCAGATGTTCCATCCTAGTCAATGTCTTGTTGCAAATTTTGCACACATGCACTTTCCGTTTTCCATGAGAGGCTTCGTGACGTTGTAGGTGATTGAGCCGGGTGTATTCCTTATCGCACTGCTTGCACTTAAAAGTATTCCCTGCATGAACTCGTTTGTGACATCGTAAGCCCTCAATAGTAGTGAAAATTTTGGCGCACTCGCGGCAAGTCAACAGCATTTGATTGTTGTCAAGGAACTGGATATAGTCTGTATCAGTAGATGAAGCTTTTGCTTGTTGGCAAGTTTCTGCTGTTTCTGTGTCATTGTTGAGGTTACTACTGTCTGAGTTTTCTTTTATAGTGCCTTGTTGGGTTTCCGTATTCAATAAGTTGTTTAACGTGTTTAAAGATTCTAAAATACCAGGGAATAATAAAAAACTACATTGTGGGAATAGAAATGTCCACTATTAATTTAATTAACATGGAAACAAAAGAAAACTTACCCATGAATTCCGAGTTTTGGAGTTCCTGTTTTATGGCATTCACTTTTAGGGTTTTAGAGTATTCCCTTAAACTTGTGTCGACGCTTTCACATTGTTTTTTAAATATAAAAGCGCTCCTGAGACTTTGTACACACATCTCACACATCAATGAGGGTAGACCATCATCATAGGCCACCTTAAAAAAGGAAGCGTGGGGATAAAGTAATTTGTAGGTACTTAAAAATTCTGCAAATTGTGGAAATTAAACTTAGGCACAAGTACTATGCTAACATTGCATTATGACGACCTTGTCTTTTTTACATTGTTTTTATTAATTTTAGTCATTTTTATTTTCCTTATTTATAAGGTTTATTTTTTTAATAAAATTCGGTTATTTTTAATAAGCAAACTACTTATTATTACTATATATTATATATACTTATCATGATTATATAAAAATTGCTAAATCATTATTATATGGATCAGAAAAACAAATATTTTATTAAATATTTCCCATAATTATCATTACAAAATTGAAAAACGACAATGGCTATTTTCTTATTTTTTGTTCATATTCCCTGATTATTTCATGTCAAAACTTGACGACACGCCAATGTGACCAGTTCTTTCACAAGACTTTATTTACCTGAACAGCGGCACAGGCCATTAGCATCTCGTCAATACGGGGATTCTGATTGGGATGTTCAACACCTTGGAAAACGGATCTCATCTGCGGCGAAACGCATTTGCACGTCCTACAAATTAAGGACAGATCTACTCGGTCTACGTCCATTTTCCCGGGCGTTTAGTGCATCACTTTCGCCGGAAAATCTCGACTTTTCGTGTTATTTTTCTACTGTAACAAAACCCAAGCCAACACATTCGACAGCACTGGCGTAATTGACGTTCCCGTTGTGGCCGTCGCCCGCCTGTGGCGCTCGCAAGAAAAACTCATAGGGTTTCTTTTTTTTTAATTAAAATGAGACAATTTTATTCAAATATATTTCTGAATCCAATAAAGAAATATATGGCACTATCTCCATTACCCTTTGAATATAAAATTTTAGCACAACTACCATATATTTCTTCCATATAAAATGCGAGTGCACATCTGGTTGCCTCTTTTTGGGCAAAAAATATTCGTTTTCCAGCGTAAGGACCAAGTTTAATTCAAACAATGTGATTCGACAGGAAATGACGTTTTTCGAGAATGTCAAATTCGGAAAAATATATATTTTTAGATAAATATTCGAGGGTCGCCAAGCAAAAAAAGAATTTTCACCCGCGCCAGGAAAACATGTTTAATTCATCTTACTAATAAGAAAACATAGGTAGGTTTTGCAGTACAAAGACCAATTTTAACACAAAAGCAACAATGTGCTAAGATATCCTAGGAAATGACGGTTTTCGAGAGCATTCGGCAACGGATGGTCATAGAAATATGCAATTGTATTTAGTAAATCGGCCAAGAGAAAAAGAATATAATTTTCGAGTTTCTGAAACGTTCAGTAGCGGGCGTAATTGCACTCTTAATTTTTAAAACTTTTTTTATTTTTTTTTATATTCCCATTTTCAAATATTTGCTATTATCACTTATTTCTTTTCTAAATATTTGTGGTAGTCATTAACATGGTTAGTGCTACGTACACATCTTTCATGTCACTATGAGATTTAGGGCCTTGTCCTTGCTAATATACAGGCACTTTTGAAGCCCACATCAAAAAATGTTGAAGAGGAAGAGTTAATTTGCGCTTCGCTATAATAATAAGACCTTGCGGTGTTGAACAACCAACATGACTACAGTTTGTATTTCAGAGCAATGACCGCATCGCAGATATCGCAAAAAAGAAGATGAAAAACAGTATAATAGTAATATACAGTATAATAGTAATATTTAGATTAGAATAATATTTTGTTCTTTGGCAATAAAATAAATTGAAAAATAATAAAGTTGCATGCATCATTCCTTATTATAGTGCTCTTAGTAGCCATCTATTTTTTAGTTTTCATTTATTGTTTCCTGTTTTACCATAATATTAATATTATTATTGATTTACAGGGTATTTCACTTTTATTTCATCCAAAATTTTAATTACACAAGTTGTTTGTATTAAGTGTGGTCCAAAAAAATAGTTCTTATTATCGAGGGTATCTCAAAAGTAACTGACAATACCTAACTTCCTTATTTTGAATGGAACACCCGGTATATTACTTAATCTAAGAAACTTGATATTAAATATAGAAATACAAAAATGAAATAAACTGAGTGTTCAATTTAAAATAAGGAAGTTAGGAGCTGTGAGATATTTATGAAATAGCCTACACAATATCAACTATTTCCATTGTATGCAGCACATTTAAACAAACAACTTTTGTATTTAAAATTTGTTGATAAAATAAACTAATGGAGATATAAAAGAATCCCGCATGTGTAGTTTGAAAAAGCAAAATTATTTCATACGTCAAGCCTGGCAGCACTGTATTAGTGTTCTGTGATTGAGAGTTTGAGTGATCGGTGGTGGGTAGGAATGTTTTGTTTTCTTGGTAATAAGTAATTATTGAAAAGCAAATTTGGCTCTTGTTTTCTTTTTATTATACCCACATATAAGCTTACACTATGTAATCTACATAGAATAAAGAACTTTTGAAGGTAATTATGCGTGTTATGTGTTATTTAGGGTTTGTAGGGTTATGTTAGGGGTGTCTATTCCTTATAGATATTTCGATTTTGTGAATACTCCAATTTATAATGGCACTTACATTACCACGTCTAATTTTTTTACGTTTTTATTAAACCTTTTCCAATATCTTTGCTAGTTTATACTATGGAATTAAAAGCAACGATAACAAATTGAATCCCTAGACATCTGATTTGTTTACAAATGATGCAAAGTTTGTAAACATTGATTTATTTTATAGAGTGGGTTAAGTTTATCTTTGTACTTCTGTATACAGTAGAGTCCTTTTTGTTATTATTATTATATTATTTTTTAGTATCCGGTTTTGGACTCTAAATTTATCGTATATTTAATTAGTCCTATACAAATAAAGTTTTACGCAGCGTTTAGATAGTTTGTTTAATTTATCCATACAAACATTAGAGATTTGATAACGAAAGGAAAAAATTTAGTTTGATAACTGAAATTATGTGCAATTCAACTGGGAGGTTATCAGTTTCACCTAGTTGCATGTTAGCGCCTTTTTTGTAAGTAAATACAAAATCTTTAATTTTAGGGGTAATATAGGTAAAAAGTTTTCGGTTATCTTCAAAATACAATTAAAATTGGTCGAGGAATGTGTTATCTATGCAAGAATGCAAGCTGTACGGAACAAAGCATTAAACAAGGATATCACCTTCAACCGGACAAGTGCCCTTGTATCTGAGTTAGAAATATGGAAACACAGTAAATGGAGATTAGCCGAACCAGAAAGATAATAAAGTTTTATAAATATACATTATATACACATTCCATGTGCCATAGAAAGCCATAAACCAGTCAATAACTTTAATTAAAAATATTGTTTAATTATGAATGATACAAAAGCCCTTTTGGCGGGGCCTCACCCAAAACCATCCCATTTCGTGGGACTTAGAATGAAGAAAAAGGCCTACTGGGTGTTAAGGCATGCCAACTTACGCAAATGTGTGTGGGCTGTGGTTTTCTTTAGCCTCATATTGATCATAATATATTCGAAGCAGACCAAAACTTCTTATTTAACTAAGTAAGTGTTAGTTTTTATTTTGCACATTTTCTGATGTTTATTTTTGTAGGATATATAGAACGAATACTCGTCCAGAACCGAATATAAGATGTTCAGTGTTAAATGGCCCCAAGTTATTGCAAAATCACAATCACAAGACAGATGCCCAGTTAAAAAGTTACCCAAAAGTATTAGTTTTTATTGAGACTATGTATTCAAAGTTAGGGAAGGATATAGCCGAACTATTGGTGCACACTAGGATTAAGTAAGTTGCCTATATATTCTAATTTATAATTTTTAAATATTTATATATTTGTGCTGGAAAGTGCCAAATGGTGTAATAAACCGCTTTTTTGGGTTGTCACTTAATAATTTAACTCCTGAAACATCAATATTCACTTATATTTAATTTTTTTGTTCCATATTTACTCATTTTTAAGATAAAAGATAAAGATAAAATGCTGAAGATCTGCTAGTAGAGAAGGATGAAATAATGTTGACACAAGACATATTGATAATTAAAAACAACAGAGAAAAAATTTGATTAATTAATTCGCAATTTGCTTTTTACTTTTGAAAATTTCTTTAATTACTTGATAGGCTGTCCTAAAAGTGCTTAAGCTAAGACATATGGATGTTTCTATTCTATATCCCCATAATCTTTTTTTTAAATCTATTCTAATAAGAACTTTAAGTAGTTGTAACTTGATTGATTTAAATATATTGCCATATATAAAATGGTTGAGGCTAAGTTCGCGTTTTGACAGAGTACCTGAAATTATGGCATTTTTTACATAAAAGTTTTATTGTATTTATTTAGCCTGTCAGTTTGGTCTGTTTGTTTGTATATAGTCTGGTTTCCCTGTACGGCTGCTTATCCGCATGAATTTAGTCATTTTAAAGTTGCATTGATCGCTTTGTCTCACACTTTGTCAATATTGTGACTTGTGAAAATCTTAATAATCCGTTTTTTTGCAGATACAAAGTTGAGGTGACAGGTAAAAATTTGCCAGTCTTAACGAACCTAGATAAGGGACGATATGGCGTGATAGTATTCGAGAATTATAGTAAATATCTCCAAATGGATAATTGGAACCGGCAACTCCTCGATAAGTACTGTCGTGAATATTCAGTCGGGGTAATAGGATTCATATCGCCCGAAGAGGAAACTTATACCGAGTACCAATTAAAGGGATTTCCGTTGTTCATTAATACCAACGTGAAACTCAAAGATGCTGCTTTGAATAGCGCGTCACAAATACTGAGATTAACCAGGGCGGGGGAAACTGTGTGGGGAGACTTGCCGGGAAATGACTGGACTGTATTTCAGGCTAATCATTCGACGTATGAGCCGCTTGAGTGGGCCCATAAGCATGATTTTATACAAGTGAATAATAGTTGAGTATTTGGGTGTTCTAAATCAAAAAAATGTATATATATTTTTGTTGAAATAAGTGGTGTACTACCTTAGTGTTTCTTGTGAAATTTTTTTTTGGAAATGTGTGAAAAATAAATAGAATTATATAAGAAGATATATTTATAAGAAAACTGACTTTAAGGCATTTTTTAGGTAAGGTTAGAATGCCTCTTCCGACTGTTATTCAGGATCATGGTCTGTATGACAACATTCAAAGGGTAATATTCGGTTCAGGTTTGAAATTCTGGCTGCACCGGCTTCTGTTTCTTGACAGCTTAAGTTATTTGAGTCACGGTCAGCTCAGTTTGTCTCTGGATCGTATGATTTTGGTCGATATAGACGACATCTTTGTGGGGGAAGTGGGGACTCGTCTCCGACCAGAAGACGTCGAGGCTTTAGTCAATACTCAAGACCGACTGACTAGTATGGTGCCTGGTTTTAAGTTTAACTTGGGATTCTCAGGCAAATATTACCATCACGGCAACGATGAGGAGGACAAGGGTGACAATCTTATTTTGCAACATGTGAATAAGTTTATGTGGTTTTCTCACATGTGGAATCATCAACAGCCACATTTGTACGATAATTTAACCGTTTTGATTGAGGATATGAATTTGAATAAAAACTTTGCTAAGAGTAAAGGTGAGATTCAATTTTTTATTTCTGATATAATGGCGTTTAGTGCAAACCAAGTTCAAGACTTTAACAAAATCCATTGGAGGGAAACTTAAGTTGTTTTAATTATATTTTATATTGTTTTTATGGTAAAGCTACAGGTTGTACCTTAAAATAACAACCAAGATAGGAAAAAAACTGTAAAAAAACAAATTATTAGATATAAGATAACATAAGATGTTCGCAAAAGTATCGAAAATGGGACAGCTTGTACATGTTAATTTAACAACCTCCTACACACGATACGCTAACGTTACACTGGAAGTTGCAAACTGACTATGTGAACGGTCGGAATTCATCGCGAAGGCTCAAAATTGTGCACTTGTGGTCACAAGGCAACTTACTTATCTTATTATCTTTTGGCGAATTTTAAAGTAAAAGAAATCAAAATAAGAAATATATTAATAAAGTTTAGAAATTTTAGGGATTCCTGTAGACTCTGGTTACTCAATTGCTCCGCATCACTCGGGGGTATACCCTGTTCACGATATGCTTTATACCGCTTGGAAGAAAGTATGGAATGTCAGAGTTACCTCCACGGAGGAATATCCACATTTGAGACCTGCGAGGTAAACTTAGATTTGCTGGTTTTTTCATTTAATTATTGTCTGTTTTTGACTAAAGGTTGTTAGGTTTGTTTTTTTTACAGTTGCCCTGTTTTCATTGCAGATTAAGAAGGGGTTTCATACACCGAAACATTATGGTGCTTCCCCGACAGACCTGCGGTCTGTTCACCCACACGATGCTCATCGATAGGTACCCTGGAGGTAGAAGTAAACTGGATGAGTCGATTCAGGGAGGAGAGCTTTTCCAAACAATCGTTTACAATCCCGTGAGTTTGTTTTCTTTTTTTTTTTTTTGTTGACTTGCAAAATTTTGGTTATTGTATAGGCTTTTTTGCTGTTCATAATATTTGAATTGTTTCTAAAATTACACACATTCTTGACATCAGCGAGCTGTTATGTGTCAAAAGTACATATCTGGAAAATTAGGCTTGCTGATTTTTTTTTTGTTATATTTAAAGAAATTCCGTGTAATTCTTGATAACGCACAGTAAGGTCGTAATTCAGATTCGAAATTGGTAGATCTTATCAAATTGACATACGCATATATCAATAATCTGCAGGTATCCTATTTAACATGCATATAGAGTTATAAGAAATAATGATTTTTTTTGACAACTTTAAAAGGATTAATATCAATTTAAGGAAACTATAATTCCAAAAAGGTAACACAACGGGATATTGTTATATGTTTCATTGAGAACTATACAGAAATCGCCAATTTTTGCCGTTTCAGTATTATAACTCTGCTTTGCTTTTGCTTTTAATTGACTCAATTATCGTTTGACCCTTTCGAGTGTTCATCAGTTTGGTTTAGATCACATTCGTTATGTTAGTATAATGTAAATTTTAACATTTTTGCTGGTAATGGTTTTCTTATAATAGGTAGTACTTGTAGGACAGCTCATATTTACGATACGTTCGTTGCCGTTTTCCGATTAAGGCATGCAAAAGTTTGGTAACTTCAGGAACGCATATGTTGTAACTTTTTTGTAGATAAATATTTTCATGACTCATATGTCAAATTACGGCAACGACAGATTAGGCCTATACACATTCGAGTCCGTCGTTAAATTTATTCAATGTTGGACGAATATAAGGCTGTCATCCGCGCCACCCCTTCAGTTGGCGGAGAACTACTTCAAATTGTATCCCGGCGAGTCGGATCCAGTTTGGGGGGTGAGAGCCGTTTATTTAGCGTCACGAAGATCGATCGGCTAATTCCGGATTGCGTTGCAGAATCCTTGCGACGATCAAAGGCACCAGAAAATTTGGTCTAGGAACAAATCGTGCGACTCGTTGCCTAAATTTTTAGTAATCGGGCCCCAAAAAACAGGCACCACCGCCCTGTACACGTTTTTGTCTCTACATCCGGCGGTGGCGAGTAATCTGCCCAGTCCGACGACGTTCGAGGAGATTCAGTTTTTCAACGCGCACAATTATCTGCGCGGTCTTGACTGGTATATGGGTTTCTTTCCCGGAGACGCCAACTCGTCTGTACGGTATTATTTTGAGAAGAGCGCCACCTATTTCGACGGCGAGCTAGTCCCAAAACGGGTACACGCGCTATTGCCCCGCGCGAAGCTAGTAACGATTTTGATATCGCCTGCGAAAAGAGCGTATTCGTGGTACCAACATACAAAAGCGCACGGCGATACCGTCGCCAACAATTACAATTTTCATCAGGTGATAACAGCCAGCGATATCGCGCCGAAGCCGTTAAGGGATTTGAGGAACAGGTAGGTGGTATATTTATAGGGTTCGATTCCGTGCATGCCTGTAAGTTTATCTCAACCTTTAGAGGGTCGTTGGTGTTCCGCGCACAGCTGAAATTGTGAAAATTGCTATCCAAATATTTAGAAACCACATCTACCTATTACCTACTTCAAAATTTATGACAATTTGCCGACCGCGATAAAGCGATAAAGATAAGAGATATGAGCTATTTTTTTGTAATTGTTCCAAAGTGTTATGAAGTGAAAGGGATATTATATATAGAAGGTGAATAAAAAAACATCGCTATGTATTTGTATAGTATTTCTACAAATGCCTAATTAAGGGGTGCTTTCACTGCTGTTTCCAAATTGTAGAATTCATGGGTGCCCACAAATGATTATTTAGACTACCATTGTTGTTACCATATTAAGTTTTGTGACGTTAATAGCTTTTATTAAATTTTATTTACATTTTTACAAAAACGGTAGACTTAAACATAAGATGTGTGTTCACTACATTATAATTGTAGTGAACATTTGAGAAAAATAAAAAAATGCCAAACCTACAATACAGAAATTATTCAAGAAAACAATACAAGTATTTTCACGTCAAGTAAATGTAGAATATTTACACCAAAAATATATTGCACTGACAAATATTCCTACTAAGAAATACTATTTTCAAAAAATGTTTGTTTAATTTAAAATTAAAACGAAGAAATTTAATACAAGGCAATATTTTACTTGTTAGTGACTTTTCCAAGTAAAATAACAAAAAACAGGAAAATAAGCTTCGATTTAAAAAAATGCGCACACAATATTTTGTCAGCCATATTTTGGCGCTTCCATATTCAGATGCCTAAATCCAGGAAAATACGCTCAACACTTGGAGAGATGGATGACTTATTTCTCGCCTCAAGTCGATCCACATAGCGACATCGCTATTTATTTGTATAGTATTTTTCCAAATGCCTAATTAAGGACTGCTTCACCGAAGTGTAGTGTATCCCAAACTGGTTGTCACTTATAGGTCATTTTGAGAACCATTCAAAATGCACAGTTCTAATTTTATGAGAAATTTAATAGCGCAACTCATACTTCAATTAATAGGTCCGCATAATTAATTGTTTAGGCTACCATTGTAGTAACGATGTTGAGTTTTGTGACATTAAAACCTTTTATTAATTGTTATTTTCACTTTAACAAAAACGGTGGACTTAAACATAATGTGTTCACTACATTATAGTTTTGGTGAACATTTGAGAAAAAAAAGACAAGTCTGCAATGCAAAAAAGACAATATTATACAAGGAAACAATACAGGTATTTTCAGGTCAAGTAAGTAAAGAATAAATATTAACACCAAAAATATATTGCACTGACAAACATTCCTACTAAGAAATATTATGGCAAAAAATGTTTGTTTAATTTAAAATTAAAACGAATAATTGTTGTTAAAAAGAATTATATTTATATTTAATATTTTAACTTATTATTGACTTTTCCGACTGAAATAACCAAAAGCATAGGGAAATAAGCTTCAGTTCAAAAAATGCGAGCAATATACTTTGTCAGCCATATATTGGCGTTTCCATTTTTAGATGTCTAAATCCTGGAAAATACGCTCAACACTTGGAGAGATGGATGACTTATTTTTCGCCTCAGTCGATCCACATAATCGACGGCGAAGAACTGAAATCAAATCCGGTCGAGGTAATGAGTGAGATTCAGAAATTTTTAAAGATTACCCCTTTCTTCAATTACACCGAGCATTTGAGGTAGGTTTACCTCTCCTAGTAGATCCCAACCATTCGGAACTTGTTTATCAGGTTTGATCCTAGAAAGGGTTTCTACTGTCAAGTGGTGAAAGGCGACAGCACGAAATGCCTTGGGCGAAGTAAAGGCCGACAGTATCCTCCCATGGAAGAGAAGTCTTTAAAATATTTGCAGCGCTACTACCTCAGCCACAATACTGCCCTGGTGAAATTGTTCAAGAAGAATGGAATTCGCAACATACCCAACTGGTTAAAGGACGATTTGTCTGATAAAACAGACAATTAAATACCAGTTGTCGGCCGTAGGTGCATTAAATTAATTTGTTTAGATAGAAATAAAGCACCAAAGAAGAACGACATTTCAATAAAAAATATCGATTTTTCGACATCCAAATTTTTTTACGCTTAAATTGAATATGTTTATTTAGTACAACCGGCGAATTTTATTTCTTCTTTGCTTATTTATTTGTTCTGTTACCTTGTCCTCATGCCGTTTCTTATAAATGATTTTGTTCAGCGGGTGGATTCAACATTACATTACATCAATGTTTTGTTGCTTTTAGTTTATTGATTAAGATTTAAAAAAACTCAATAATTTTAGTACATTTTTGGTGGTTTATTTTGACATAGTAATTAATAGTTTTCTTGAAAGAAAGTTTTTTAGAATTCATATAATTCAGTATTTTTTGAATGTTTTGTTATTTTATTTTAGAAATGAGGTTTTTGGTGAAATCCCAAACATTATGTAAATATATTTATTAATTTTAATGTACATATTTTCTTTTTAACTTGCAAAGTAACTTATGTATGTTATAATTTTAATATTGTTTTTACATATCATAACTGCAATATTAATTCGACTGTTTTTATTCGGTATAAATAATGCAATAAGATTATTTCAATTAAATCAAAAGGTTAACCAAATAATAATGATAGGTCGTGCAGCTTTAATAATCTTATTTTATCTCAATATATGATAACTTGATTTATATAAAGTAATTGTGTGTAAAATGAAATCAATATACTGTTTATAAAAAAATCAATAGTTCAGGAGATCACATTTGCATTGCCACTTTTAACGCTTATTCAATCCATCAGCGTCTTAAGAATTGTTTTAATTTCCCTTTCCATTAAAAAAAATGGCGTCAGTTGGGACTGAAGCGAATTCTAAAATATCTACAAATTCACCTAATAAAGTAGTAAATAATTTATATTATAAAAAAATTTCAACTGGGCCCAATGGGTCCTGAGTTAAAAAAAAACAATTCGCTGTTGCATTAAAAGAGTCAGTATCGTTAAAAAAACAACAGATATCGATTGTATATTACATTTACAACCACAATTACTAGAATTTTGATGTTGACAACAGTTAGCGAAAGGCGCGCCCAGAACCATGTAATAGCCCTATTCTTAGAAATGACGTCACCGGGTTTTGGACAAAAATATTTTTTATCTCTCTTAGAACTCATTAATTCCTTCTTTTGCTTTCTCGTACATAAACTAGCTCCACATACCTACAAGCTGTAAAAAACAATAGAGCTCCGAGAGAGAGAAATAAACAATTTGGTTAGCGATGACATCACTGTACTCTTTTCAAATAACAATTGTGGTTGTAGAGTCGGTATTATATTGATTTTAAACTCACATCACTCGGCGACGAATAAGATGGCAAAGTAAATGTGAAATTTATTCTAAAATTCACTTTGGAATATAGGCGGAAAAAGTTTTGTTCTTGAAATTTTCAAAAATTTTCTGGATATTTGCGGAAATATCCGGAATATTGTTAGTTATAGGACGAACAACCCCATAGCGGTTACCGTTTACCAAATCCCCCTATGCTCTGTAGATTCTTACTATGACCATAAAGTACGTCTCAGATGTGACCATTTATTTCGACCGCATTCAAAAATAAATATTTGTATTGTGTCAATCAAGGTCTTAAAATAAGAGCTACAGTTTGATGGATCCCTCTGAGTTTCTTGCGCAATAGGTGTAGTAGTAAGGGAGATACAAAATTATGGGGATGTCTGCGACGGCCTCATATTCTAAAAAAGGGTCCTATATTTTGTGTTATATAAACCAATTTGTAGAATAAGACTAAAATACCTAATCTCGAATTGGCTATCCACTCTAGGGAATCTTGAGAGTACTGTGAATTTTGACAGATCTTTGCGATATTAAAAGAAGGAAACTGGTTTTCGTGGATATTTTTATTTGAAATTCATTGTGCACAACTTTGGTCGTTGAGTTGAAGACGTCCTAGAGGGGACAGCGAATTTGAATGCACTGTACATTGGTAATGCTTAAATAATAATTGCATCGGATGCGTTCTAAATGCGATATCTACCAACCTACACAATGTTGAACTTTAAATCTCCATTAGAAAATGACTATACTTTTATATTATTCACCGTGTATCGCCCAGATACTCGATCAAGATTTCCTGATAATTTGGCTTTCACTTTTATTTTTGGTTAGTTTAATGCAGGTGCCACTTGTACCATGTTTTTGAGGAATTGTTATATGTTGACTGAATTAGGTTAATGCGTCCTAGCGTCCCTGTCATATTTGACATTTGAGCTGTCTAATTTACTAATTAACACGGACTTGAAAAAAATCCCAAATACTAAAGCGAAAGACAAAAATCAACGCAAAATAAGTCTTTTTCACTATGTAGCCCTACTCTATTTGTGCTTTGCGGCAATTATGACGGTTCGAGTTAATTTGATCGCAACAAGTTCCAATTATTGTAAAGGTTGAATGATTTTGTTGCCATTAGTAAGAGCTTTTGATGTTTTAACATTTATGGTGTTTTAACAATTTAAAATCCTAGATGTACAAATAGTAAATTATGATTAGTTGTCAACCATTGATAGAAACGCAACTTTACATATCGTAATTCTCGTCATGATTTGGTGAATGTGTACTAAATTGATGTTTTTAGTAGTTTCACTGTTTTGTGCCATTGGATGGAACATCGTGGACAATCAACTCCCCAAATATTGTACAGGGATAACAACATTTCATTGACAATAATAAATAACAAGGTTCATATTAGGTTGAGGTTTGTCAGATACGTACATCAAAAGATTAGTTCAGATATTCCATTCATAATCTTCAGAATCTAACCTAAAAACGAACTTCCATGCTGACATTTCTTATATTATTATTGTTTCTTTTTTGAAGCAATGTATATAACATTAATAAAAATAAAAAATAACTTTTTTTATTGAGTCTGAGAATCCACTAAATATATTTTTGAAGAGTTACAAAAAAATTAAAATTAATTTTCTCTGTAAGTAGCCTAAACCAAAACTAATTAAAAAAATCGTTTGTAATCAGATAGAGCTTAAAATTATGAATAATCAGTATAGTATCTTAAAATTCGCTGGAAAATATGCCGCTGTTTTAAAATAAAGTAAAATATTATTTGTGCGGTTAACTTGAATTTTATGGTACCTTTGAAAAGGACAGTTTTGAAAGCTGTTTCTTTGACACATCAGACCGTGAGGAAACATGATGTTTCTTATTTTAAAAATATAACATTTTGTAACAATTGCTAAATGTTTAAAAAACACATTCACAAAAAATGTAACGCTTCTGCAAAATATATGTGAAAACTGGACAATTTTTGGCACCTGGGACCGCCGCGCAAAAAAAAAGAACAAAAAAGTTGGTGCCATTATCGCGATTTGACTCGTCTTTCATTTTGTTTTTCGCGACTCTTGGATATTTATTATGCTCATACTGAATATTACGGAGTTTATTTCCGTAGATTTTCCTTAAGAGAGGGGAAACACGATTCGTCGCGTTGGTGTATAGAATATATAAATAAAATAGACTTTGACAGAAGTCGCTGTTGTTAGTCTCTTTGATATGTTTTACTTCTGGTGAGATAGTTCTTTACAAAGTACAATTAGGGATTTAATATCAATACTTCAAAATTTGTGCATTGATACATGCTAGGTCAATGGTAGGATGGAGGCAGAGTATGATGAAAGGATCAAACCTGCAGGCTCCTAGTCAAATGAGAAATAAGTCATAAATGTAAGAACTGAAATAGCAGTCTTTGTAGAACAGTTTAGCTGTACCCCGCTAGGCAATTAATGAGCATTTAAATTAAATTTAAATTTTAAAAAGGTTGCTAAATACCCTTGAGTTCCAAATTAAAACATTAGAATTATGTGAATTCTTTATCTCCACCAGATTTCAATAAAAAAGAAGCAAATAAAACACTTTTTATTCAACAAAATATAAATATATAATTTTAATATAAATCACTCTTTAATTGTCAAGAATAAAAATTTTGGCACTTCCATCATCAGATGAAGTCAAAATTTTATTTGCATTGTTAAATACCGATATACTTAAAATATCTGACCTATGTCCGGTCAGGGTCTGCACCAGAGTCCCACTTTTGGGGTTGCATATATAAATATCTCCATCAGTGGTGCCAATAATTGCATTTCCCAAGTGGCTCCATCTTAAAACAGTTACAGCGCAGTCAATTTTAGCCTGATGCCTAATTGTATATTTTCCAAGTTGCCATACACATAACTGTCCTGACAAGGATCCCGTTATGATAATGTCAGAGTCTTTACTAAACAGAGCAGCTTCAATTTCAATTTGCCCATCCAACATAACAGTCCCCATGGTTTTTCCATCACTTGCTCTAATAATTTTACCACTGGGTATGACTACAATCAAAGAGTCATCACAATTAATCTCTATATTATTAACTGTTGCATTGTCACTGTTGGTCCACATAATATTTCCCTCCTTTAAAGCCCACATTTTAACATGCCCATTTCCATAACTAGTCAACAAATGTTTGCCTCCAGCTAGCACCTTGCCACTAGTGCACGGGCAAAAACCAGGTGATGGCAGCACTTTGCAATTTTTTGATGGTATTTCCCAGATGTAAATGTTGCCAGTTTGGCAACCGCACATTATAACGTTAATCAAAGGATGCCACATTAGCCATTCCATATCATCAGCTTCTAAACACCATGCGAGCTTTTTTTCTTTAACATTCCAAATCTGGATCATGCCCGCCATGTCTCCGGTCGCTAGGTATTTATTATTTAAGTTAAATGCCACTTCGGTCACGGAATCTTTATGACCCTTGCAGTCAAATAAAATATCTCCAGAATCTGTGTTCCACACAAAGGCAATGTCGTCTTCTCCTCCAGTAACTGCTAATACGTCGTCTTTACTTACGTCGGTGGCGAAAACCGATTTTTGATGATTTGCAAAAGTTAACAGAGACATGTCTTTAATTTCAATTTCAGTCTCCGTTTGGCGTGTTTCCGGGTCCTCTTCCATTTCGAAATGATCATCTTCGTCGTCCGAATATATGATTTCAATGTCTTCTAATTCTTCTAAATCGTCCATTTTTGTAAAAGAAAAAATTTGTAGAAAAAATCTAACAATTTTTTTAAAAAGAATAAATGCATGCAATGTTTTGGTTAGTTCGAGTTCGCCATCTTCTTTATTCTTTACTCAGCCTTTATAAAGTCGATATTTTCTTCTGTAGATGTAATAGTTACTAGGAATGACGAACCGGCGTATTTGTCAATTTTTTGTATCAAAATCAACCTTAATAAGAATAAAAAGTTGAATATTTTTTATGTATTTTCAATCCGTTTTACATTTATTTTTAATTAAATTAAATTTATTTTTGGTATTGAACAGGAAATTTCTTTGACTGTTAATGAAAATCAGAAAACTAAAGTCAACATGCACTGATCAAAAAACCATTTTAATTGAAGCAATAATTTACCCATGACACAATTGAAATGGCTCTTAAATTTGCGAATTTATTAGTAACACATCTTATTTTTATTTTATTTGGGGGTAGTAACACTGTGAATTTTCTGTTATGTAGGTAGGCTATTGTATATCCTAGAACTCGCTTCTTCCACTGCTTTGACTATCCGCCGGCAAAGAATGTCGTCTAACCAAATAATGATTAAACTAAAATTACGTTCGCGGTTAGTTTCCCGCTTACCTTGGCATAACATGTTGAACTTAAGATTTGTTATGTTGCATTTAAAAATTTCTATGTTGCACATTGCGACTGATAAACGATTGAGTTCATCGCTGGGTACGCTTTTAATTTCATATCCCAACGCTTCCAGGGCTTCTGGCAAAGAATTGAAACTGCGAATATGCAAATCAAAATTGTCCCTTTATACATACTTAATAAACCGAAAATTTTTTGTATTCGGTGCTGAATGATACCGCCTGCGGAATAAGGTCCGTATTTTACAACTACTTGGGGCATATTTTTCTTCTAAATAATATCTGCTACAGGTATTACAATTTTTTTCATCATAATTTGACTTTTTACAAAATTTATTGTGATTCTTGTTAAAAACAATATGTCAGTTGTCAATATGAACATCAATATTTATATCAATGCTCAGAGACAAAAAAATGTCACCCTTTCATCTGTCAATCCGTCCACGAAGTCTATTGGCGAGATTTCAAATCTTGAGGCAAATGACCTTGAGGCATTCAATAACCAAAAAGGTCGCTGACAGATCGTTAATAAGTTTGGATGTGGCATTTTTGCGGCAGTATTCTCTCAAAATATCCCTAGATCTCGTTAAATGGTTAAATGGTTTGGGACGAGTTAAGTGTGTGAAAATCGCTGTTTTGAAAGAAGATGGCGCAAAGTGCAGGTGAACGGGACAAATGTAGAGGCATTCGCGATTTGAATGATTGAGATTTCAAATCCCACGCATGCGCGTATTGAATCTACATTCTCAAAATTCGATTCATGGTTGCTTCATATGTTGATACACCTTTATAGAGTTTGACATACTCATCATCCACGATTTTATTATGGTTTGATTTTTGTTGTTGTTATATTCCTTTCGCGAACATTAAGACAAAATAACAAACACTTTTCAATAGTTTTAATATTATAATTAGGTATAAACGATACACAAAAATTAAAAACGTAATATGGCAAAATTGCAAAATTTACTTATAAATACTCTTTAACAAATGTTTTATTGCACCTATCACTAATTTTTCACCAAAACAGGCAAAAATGCAAAAAGTGAAAACTTAAAACATTACATCCCTTAAAACTAGCGAGTATTAGGAACAAACAATAAAATCTATATAAGCTGCATAAAAAAACTTAATGGTAGATAGACGTAATAATGACAATAAGTTAACGTAAAAGAAATGCAAATATTTAATAATATACAAATAATTGTATTCAAAAAAAGGTATACCTTCAGTACATGATTATTCTAAATGGGGTCGACCAGTGACAAAATGATTTTGAACTGACTACCCCGTTAAAATGAGTATTTCCTATTTTCAAAAATTATCTCAGGCGTGGACTCTACCCAAATAGAGGCGGCGATGATCTACATATGCTATAAATTTACGGGATTACATTAATACATAACGCACGTTCACCTTTACTAGGGACGAATGCTAGGAACTCTGGTCAGCTAAGGTCTCGTCAAGACGTGCTGGTTTGTTTTTTTCTTGATTCATAAATTTCACATTCTATTCTTTTTTTTTTTTGAAGGCACCCGATTCCCCAACAATATTACCACCATGCCTATTTACAATGACGTATATTTACAATAGCTCTGAGGGCGTTGATATCCAAAAACGAGATATTGGTGAGGAATCGCATTCGATAGGAACATAAACATCCCATTTTATTTGCATTTCTCTTTAAAGCGGAGACTGTTCCGTTTAATATTTTACAAGTACGTCGATCTCGAAGAAATCTATATATAAACGTACGTAACGTAAATGTGAAAGACTGTGTTTGTTTGTGTGTGTGTGTGTGTGTGTATATGTGCGGTGTGAATATGTATATATGGCACTGTGTAAGAGTTTAAGCTTGATTGTTAAAATTAAATTGAACCAAATTGAAGCTTTAGTAGACGTAAAATAAAATCTTTTCCCATCAGGAATTATCACACAATATCCAAACGCAATCTATCTACACCGTGTTAAATTTACAAAGTATATGTACCCAACAATCCTAAAACTTTACCTTTAAATACGAGTACGTTAATTACTGCGAGAGTGCCAAAAAATAAAGCTGGCGGAAACATATGAGTTAGAGTAGCTATAAGCTATCATCGCATGAAAGGAATTTTTTACTAGGACTTTATTACAGTTTCAACAAACCGATAGTCCTCAAAATACACAATAAATAAACCATTCTTTCAGATATATGAAGCGAAAAGAATTTTTTACTTTCAAGTAATTAGAACACCACAGAGCCATGACGGAGATCTCCCTAAAGGTTCTTCGAACAGCCAAGACAATCTAACTCATTTAGAGATACACATTGGATTTTATCCGCATGATTATGCTAACGACTTTGAAAACGAATCCACTTGGTTTCTTACCTACCCTTTAATTTGAGTACAAATTCCTGCAAAGCCTTTTAAATATTCTAGTCATTTATGTGACTGCAGTGACCAAATTGAAAAAATCTTTAATCCATCTTTCTTACTGATGTGATTTTAGTGAGATTATATTATCTATTTTAGTAAGGCGTTTGTTGGTAATTATCTTTTAAGTGGTTTGTCACCTGGGAATCGCTACATTTTAACGACAATAAAAAGCGGCCCAATACTTTTAATTCTTGAACAAAACAACAAACAAATCAATCCCAAAATTGTGATTAGGTGTAGAGTACTCATTCAAAACAATCAAAGTCTAACTAGAATCATGGAATATGGAAGAACATGTCGTTTATATTCAAACCAATGGTGGAAGTCATTTGGAAGCCTAGTGTATAGTATTATCATACAAGCCTTAACCTAGTGACTGACTGGCTATTTATCATACAATTTTTAATAAAACGACTACAATAATAAGTGGATTCTCATATACCTGCTACGCTACTCGTAATAGAATAAATTACCTGATAATTATCACTGCAATTCTGTAAGTGTATATGTGTCTATGTGTGTATCGGTGCGTGATTGAAGATTGTCTGGTACAGTAGAATCTAAACTATCTGAACAAGTTTCAGATTTCAGAACACCAGCAAAGTTTATTTTGAAATATACTTTTTCCTATAATTACCTTTTTTAATTTCCAACAAAGAGTGCCAGGTTAAGAAAAATGTTAATTTTGATGAATATTTCCAATTGACAAAATGGATGAACACTTGCTCAAGTTATATAATCTGCCTTCCGATATTTTCAAAAGCGATTATCAGTGAAAAAATAAGAACCGACATAGGTGCCCAATCGCTCCTCTTTTAAAACACAGGATGCTAAATTTATAGAAACAAAGTTTTAACATTTTGAAAATTTAGTAACCTAATTTCAATACCAATTAGTAATTAAATATCTCAGATAAGCAAGATTTTACTGTAACTGACATGGTAAAACAACAAATGAAAAAGTAAGTCCTAAATTAATCCCTGAAAGTGTTGCGATTTAATTCGAAACCAAAATTGATACCTGACTTTGTACTTTGGTACATTTGATATTATGATTGAACCTGAGAAATTGTTCCTTAGTATTTCTATTTAATACATATATCGGATATCCTTATCTATGTGCAGTAAATTTGTATAATATATAATATGTATACTATATGTTTTCAACGGAAGAATCGATAAATATATACGTAGACATAAAGCTAAGAAAAATAAAACGCATCGCTCTCTCTCTGCGGTTGAAAGACACACTTTATAAAAATATGAATGCGCACAGGGCCGAGGAAGAACGCGTTTTTTGTACCAACAATCTCAACCCACCTCATATAATAAACATTTGCTTTAAATATATTCACACACTTTTCTATTAACTATTATTTATATCACCCAACATTCTAACAGTGTGTGTTAAATACATATGCCCAACAAATCAATACAAAATAGGATATATACCTATCAGTACGGTCTCGGTTATATATTAACGTTATTGCCATTAACAATAATTATCGTGTCGCAAAATTGTCTAACCACTACAACAGGCTTCTAAACATTGATATCGAAGAAAATCAATCGAACGAGATTTTGCACCGGGCGGCTGGCTTATTAGTTTTTTTTTAAGTTATTGGCAACCTGTCCTTCAAACCAAAGAACAATTTAGTTGTTTACTGTAATACTTTTTACAAAACTTCTGGATTCCCTCCTGCGTGGGTTTTTGCTGAGTTGAACTTGCTGACGTTTCACCAATCATCCTGTTGACTTCTTCAGAGCTTGACTTAAACTGACTCGACTTTTACTTTCAGGCCCCTCATTTAGCTCCGCCTCCTCAAACAATATATAAGCAGGTACAGAGTAGAATGCGCGCCAGTTTCAATCAAGCTCTGAAGAAGCCAACAGGATGATTGGCGAAACCTCAGCAAGTTCGTCTCAGCAAAAACCGACGCAGGAGGAATCCAGAAGTTTTGTAAAAGGCATATTCTGTAGGTAATTCAGAATTGTATTAAAAATTAATAGATGCTCTTAGAAGCCACCAATTGAGAGATTTGGAATAAAAACAGTTTTATTTTTATCATGGAAGTCCGCAGCATTCGCAAAAAGCCCATAGTAGTGCAACAAATCTGCCAGTTGTCCACATTCTGCTAGCATCCACCGCATCTGCCTCTTATAATAATTTTTTCCAAAATCGGTAGAAGACTCCCGGTTTAGTTTAAAGTATTAGCATTAGCTATCAAAATGGCAATTGTTATAAGTCTCCCTTTTTCAAATATTGTTATTTTTTTACTTATTTTGAGTTTAAGTACAATGCTTTTCTTTCCGAAAAGTTTAATAATTTCTTAGCTCAGCTAAATATTCCATAGAGACACTTTCTAAAAATAGGAATTAAAAAAAAAAGATTGCTAATGGTGCAAAGAATATTGTACACAGGGCGCCTACATCTAAAGAAGTTCTTATTAGTTCCAGCGGTTCTTATTAATTAACGGTAGGTTGAATGGGTATTTGCAGGGGATTAAATACTCTTTTGGCACTAATTATAACTGTTAGCAACCTCGTTTGGTGGCGTATAATGCTGGAATAGTTTATATTCTGCCTTAATATCGCCTGCCGCCTAGTACAACAAACACATGACGTTGACGCGTTTAAACCTGGCACTAAATTTACCGTATACGATTAACCCTTATACTGTTAAAACTTTTTTATAATCTCTCCTACAATTATAAGTTCTTTGAGGTAGATGGATGGAATTATATATTTGTCAAGTTAAGCAATTGTATCGACTCGGGGAAAAACGTTCCGGTCGCGCACATCGTCTGAGGTAGATTGGATGGAATTTAACGTATGTATATCATATTATGGCAAGAACAAACGGCGCCTGAACGGGAATAATTCTACCACACCCGATAAATTTTATTCGCCAGCTTTTACCCCTTCGGGCTCGACTTCATCGTCGCTATAGTCATCCTCGGCTCCAGAAGACTCGCCTTCCTCGTCGCCATCTTTGTCGATTCTGTTGTTGATCACATCGGCGTCTATGGTGCCCCTTTTCATCAAATCACTAGCGTTCTGAGGACAAAATCTCTGATTGGCAAAATAATAGGGGCCTATCAAAGTGACAAATAAATGAACATATATCGTTTCCAGGATGATACAGGAAAGAATTTTTCAACAAAAATGACGACGCCACATTCAAATTAACCAAAACTACAATTTGTATTTACTACATTTTTTAAATAGATTTTCGGTGAATAGAAAATAATTTTTGTAATATATCCCAATTCGAAAACGGTATTCCGCTCATATTACACCACTTAAAAAAAACGCCTAAATACCGTAAATTTATCGATCGCTTTTCAATGGTGTACTCCACAAACATTCGTTTTTTGACAATTTATTGCCATCTGACCATGTTTTGACTACCGAAAAATGTCCATACCCAAAATGGAAACTGTCAAATTGGCGAACTATCACCGGCCATGTTAATTGATGAACGCACAATATCTTATCAGGTAGAAATAAGATTATTATTATTATAGGTTGAAAGCGAGTTTTGAAATGACTGACGCATGCTGAGATTGAATATCCCCTCCCAACATTTTTTAAGGTGCCTATAATATAAAATAATTTTCAAGAAGATTTGGGCAAACATATTTGAAAAAACAATGGAAACTTAAATTAAAAGCACTGACAAACTGTCAAAATTTAATAATCTTATAAACGAGGGGTGATAAATTCAGGGAAATAAGAATCTTCCACTTCGCCAAAAACAAGTGCGGAAACGATAACGACACCCTGTATAAAAACTAAATGAAAATGTTACCTGTTGCTGAATCTTCTCCAGAAAATGTTGCTGGGCCATCTTATCCATTCCCATAGCGTTGAGCTGTGCTATCTTGGCAGCCTGCATGGCGGCGGCAGCTTGCTCTGGGTTGATCATGCCGGCCATCATGCCGCTGTTTTCAGTAATAAATTGAATATAAGTATCTATCAGTGCCGAATTCATAAGGTTGGCCCCGGGTGGTGCCAAAGGCGCGGGGTAGGGTTCTTTGGATAGATGCTGGAGGGAGTCTATGCTCTTCACGGCGACTGCTTGTCCGCCGGAAGCGTTCAACCTGGTCGGTTTAAAATTGTTTTGTTGGTTCAGCGGGGGTGACATCCCGTAGTCTAAACCACCGTACCTGGACACGGTAAGGTCTTCGGGGTCGTTGTCTCCGCATATAGAGCTGCCTGCTTCCGAAGGTGCGCCAGAGTATGCGCTTTTCGCGTCCAATTTGACGTCCGAACGTCGCGGACCGGTGGGCGATGCCCTAGCTCGCAATTCGGCCGGACTTATTTTCACCCCCGCTTTTGCGAGTAACCTGACCAACCAAAAATTCACATTAACTTGATCAAGATGCACTGCTGCCTTAATCAAAATTCTAGAAATCAGAACGGAAACTCAGTAGATTATGCGCTATATCAGTGATTGAGAAAAGTAGTTGCATCGGCCATTTTGGTTGGTAACTGTTATGTAAGTTTTTACTGGACTCTCAGTGTTTTTCCTTTTTTAAATTATTAGAGACTATTAATAAGATCTAGCACTATTTAAACAACCAACATGACCGCTCACAGTTAATTCAGCAGGTTTAAGTTTTGATGTGGCAGTTGTCTTAAAATATGCCCAGATCTCGTTAAATATTCTGTGAAAATGAGTTCAGTGGTGAGAAATGGCGCAAAGTGCAGGTTAGTGGATAAAATTTAAAGGCATGGCAGGAAGATCATTCCTATCTGGACGAAAATATCATAGCCGCTCGAGGAGTATCAATTTTTGCGGTATATTAATAGCTACATGATTTTGGATCATAGACAAAGTTTGGATCACAAACTTTAACAGCTGACGTCACAATAATATAGCGTAACACTATGTATTTTTTTAAACCCTAAAATGTAGTTGTGTTTTTTTGGGAATGGATTCTGAACTCTTTGTTGGCTGTGTTAGAATATGGGGTCGTACCTGCTTGCAAGTTCTGGATCGAACGGTGCCGGCATCGGCAACACCGGCAAATCTTTCGTACTGATCCCGCGATGTTGCCGCGACATGTGCGAGTGTAAAGAGTTCCTAGATTTGGCCACCGTACCGCAGAGGACGCACCTGTAGCCGGGACATATCGTGTGTTTGTCTTCCAGATGCGTCCGGAGCGTATGGGCGGACCTGTAAATTTTTCCGCATTTCGGACAGGGACGCGGATCCGTGGCTCGTACCCTCATCATATCCAGAGACCTTCTTGACACTGAGAAGAAAAATTAATTGAATTTGAGGTTTTCTTCTTTATTGCTGAGAATTCCAAAACCAAATTCTGCTCTAAAGTCTAAAATTTGTAACACTCATTCAAGACATTCAACGTGATAAAACGCTAGTTAAAAATGTGTCATAGGGATTATTTTCCTCCTGCTCCTGCGGCACAATGCTTGACAAGGTGACAAATTAAATAAACCAAAATTACTTAATTCATAGTTCATATAATGTATGCTCAAAAAATATTACCAAAGCTCATAAGTCGAACCCGCGCCGATCATTCTCGACAATTTTATTAGTGCAATAACATCGCATATAAAACATGGTAAGAATTTATTCTAATTTATGACCAAATAAATACACCGGGATACTACGAACACAAAAATTACAGCGTCCACTTAATTTGTTTCATAAGTTCCCATTGGCGCGAGTGTTTTTGTCTCATATGATTGCGCACTGAGTTGGGATGCGTGAACCTTTTGCCGCAGTCCGTCACAGGACAAATGGGACTGTCTCTCGGATAATGCTGATCAATGTGGTTTCTGGCCGCTCCGATGTTTCTGAGGATTTGCTCGCACAGAGGGCACTCGTATTTCACGGCAACGTCGCACTGATGATACTGGACTTGACGGCTTGGATGGGACGGTGACCTTCGGTGGATGTTCTCACTACCAAACGTTGCGGCATCTGAAATGCCAAAGGTTTCTCTGCACTTTTAGTAGTTTTTCATATTACAAAAAGGCATTCACGTCGTTTTACTCTATAATTGCAATCCTACAGGAATACGTACTTAACAGGGACGCCAAAGTTTAGATATCTTAAATGGACGTTAATTTTTTACATTAATACTTTTGTGAAATGATTTACAAATAGATACAACTGAATTTTCTACAATATACCCAGGGCGAGTTATAGTGTTGCCTCTTTTACATGTAGTAGGTATATTAGTTTATAATTCCATTTTTTCAAACACATTGAATACAATCTAGAGTAGAAATATTTTTAAAAAATACATTACTAACAGAACACCAACTTAAAAGTAATCTAAGGTGGTTGTTCATCACCAAAAGACAACCAAAAATTTCCAAGAAGCGAACATTGCAAATAGCTGAGTAATTCCGCTTAATTCTTAACTGAACCAGCAGTAAATATTACCACTCTGAGAATAGTAAAACTGTTTCCTACCAATGTTTTTTTTATCAAAAAAACTGAGAAACCTAAAAAAAAGTAAAGTCGAATTTCAAAAGACGGTTTCTTTAATGTAATTACGAATTTCAGAATTCCTGCTCTTTTACTAAAATAATGCCGTTTTGTCCTTTCAACTCAACTATACCAATTTTTTTTTATTTCTTTATAGTCGAGCACTTTTCGTTCCTTCTGAAAGCTCAGTCCGCAAGTCCAGTACAATACAGATATTAAGAGTAATTGGCCGGTATTATCTTATATTATTTCCATACTCAAGCTGTTCGAAAGCATAGTTGGTGAACCGAAGTATATTCTTTTGATATCGTAGATGACCAGATCAGATTTTCCATCAAAATAATCAACCGTGCTGATTTGTCTGACCAGTTATGTAAATTATCCCGCTAATGCAATGGGCATTGCTTGAAATTAACTAACATTTGCTTAGAACAGTGACGTCATGTTCGAGTAAACCCTAAAGCGACGCACACACTTCAGGTTGATAATCTCTCAAAATCTTTTTAGGAATGCTAATCGTGTGACAGGCATTTTAGAAAATTCACTTTTCTAAGGATTTGTAAGATTTTGGTACTTTTTTCAAGCACTTCTATGTCTTAATTAAAGCACTGCGCGTGTTTGCAAAAAAAGCTTGTATACTTGAAAGAATATTGATCATAAGGCGTCCAACAATATTGAAAGGTGTGGCACTGTGGATTTATTTCGATTTTGAGCTTTAATTATTAGGCCGAACAAACGATCTTTATTACCGAAATGAAAGGGGGAGAATGTCGATTTCACATCGCCTGATGGCGCCTCGACGTGATTTCCAGAGACATGCAACCCGAACAGACATAAAAAAAAGTACTAAACGCGATATAGTTTCTTTATTGGTATAACGCGAGCGAAAGGAATGTAAATGGTAAATAAATGAAGGAGCGAGATCGCGAAGTTCGAATAACCCGAAATAAATGCGGCTTTTATAACATTGAAACACGAAAAGTCGTTAGCAACGCCCCAGTAATACGGTATTCTAATTATATAGGGTGAATTCGAATTATTGCGATTTACTTTAAAAGCGTGAACTACTTTTTTTCAGAACGTTGCTCAACTATCTTATAAATCACTTTTTCTACTCCCGTCTGTAAAATACCTAATCACACACCAATCTAGCGAGCGGGAAGCGTCACTTTACCACGTCAGTTTCATTTCCCGCGGATCCGAGCCACTTCGGACAATTCCCGGATTTTACCGCACGAGTTTGACAGCAATCGGATGTTTTCGGAGATATTTCGCACGCCTTGACTTTTGACGTTTGTCAATTCTGACGGTCATGTCAGCGAACGTATTCGTGTTGTTTTGCGAAAATGTTCCCGAAAACTAACGGTCGTGGAAAAAGTCTAGTATGCAACACGTTCGGTAAAACTTTTTGAGTCACTCGTTTATTAAATACTGGCTCCGCTTGTGTCAAATAAACTCGCAGCTTTTGGAGAAGTATGTTTGGATTGCGTTGGTTGTAATTGCAAGGGAAATGGAAGAAATCCCACGTTTTCTCAATTAAGCCCGTTTGGTACCTACTTGGAGAGGAACTCTAGTTGCACAGCCAAATCATATTCTCTTCCCTTACGTTATTGGTATACATTTTCAACGTTGATTTACATTTTTAAAACTTTAAACCTGTAAGTTGACTATCGGTTTCCAGGCATTTTTTCAATAACTTCTTTTGTCTTTTTTGGGTATGATATCGTTGATATAATGCTGCTCGTAGCTCAATCCTCATCTCAACTTCTGATTGATCTCTGTACTCAAGGCCCTCTAGACCTAATAAGCCCGTGTATCAATTATTACACTCCGCGCCTTTTCACACCCCCAATAAGCATACAGTACTCGTAGCCTCCTTCAGTCGTCGATCTACTAACTTCATTAAAACAGTTTTTCGGCTGTCTTTGGTTGGAATTAAAAAAATAATTTTTGAAGAACCAATTTTTTTAATCACTTCTTCTTAACCACAAACTATTTACACTGAAAAAATGTGACATGCACCTCGTGTCTTGGTAGTAAGCTCAACACTGCTGAATCTCACCAAATAAAATTTTAGCCAGCTTCAGTTTGCATTTTTATAAAATGCCAATTATCAAATGCACTTTTGATGATATTAGTAATAGTCTAATTTTTGGATAAAAGTACTGAATTACGTTTATAAAAGCAAAATTGAAAATGCAACAGTTCCACTAAGATTGAGAAGAGGCTAAGAACTAAAACACATGTACAATCTTACAAACAAAAATGTATTTTTACAGGTTACAATTTTGTTACTTTTAAAAAGGATGGGAAGGATCAATTCGGCCCTGCTGCGATCAAAACGTAATTGTTCGACTTATGAGCTTTTTATTCCCTTACAGTATGAAGTCAAAAGTACTTACCGAAATCATTTGTATTGCCGTGCATTCCCGACGGACCGGGAATGAGCCCGCTCAAACCTGGAATGAACCAAACAAAAATCCATTAAATCTCGGTCATTTATTTCTCGCAAAAGGCGCTATCACCTTGCAGTCCCAACAAAGCACCGGGAAACGACGGCGGTCTCGTCTGGTCCAACAGGCCTCCGTTGGTGTGAAAAGGGTTGTGCTCATCCAACAGAGGGTAGTCCGGTGGTTCAGTCTTGGGCGTTACTGGGTCCCCGTGATCGCTTATCGCGGTGTCACTACTACTGCTATCATCACCAGTCGATTGCGCCTGCACGGGAGATTCTGAATTACTTTTCTGCAAAGTCATTATATTATTATTACGGCAGTATAATTTCGCTCCGTGAGATTAATCACAAAAGAAAGGCTAACAGTGCCATTATTGCCACAAACGCCTGTTATTATTCTTCCATTATCTTGAAAAATTCGTACGATGGCCAATAATGGATAAACAACTAAAAAGGCGAATTTATACAGCTTGAATTTCAAGTCGATTCTCAAGAGAAACATTAAAAAAAAATCCAACATAGGAAAAATTAAATTAAAATTAAAATATGCGGGGTCTGGTCTTGGTGGTGATATTTTGAGAAAATAAATTAATATTACTATTTCTTTATTAGAGAACTATGTATGAAGTATGAACATTTTAGAAAAACACGCCCAAAGTATGTATTTGCTGTAATACTAAACTACTATTTGCAAATCAATTTAAAAGAATGAAAAATTTTAATTTAACCAGTTAATTTTATTTAGTTTTGCAGTGCTATTGAACATCAGGAAAGACTGGAAAACCTACTCCTCGTCGGCGAATGAAGACTGCGACTTGTCCTCTAGAACTAACTAACTAACCAAAACTAACAGGCATCCATGGGAAAAGGGAGTGTATTTTCTTGTCTTTATTAATGCTCGATGGTATTATGTACAAAAAGGCGTATGTACCAAATAACTCAGAAGTTTATGTATACTATTACGAAAAACAATTGTATTGTGACATAATAGGCAAACTATTGACGCGATAAATGTATTTTTGGTGCAAGGAAAATATAGCCTACCTCTTTCGCGATGGCATTGGTTCCGCCTTCAAGGGCTTGTCCGAGAAGGGAGCCGGGTAAGTCGCCGTTATTGTTTCTGCTAGCAGGACTGACGGCGCGCTCCTGTGACGAGAAATCCCTCTCGGAGCTTCTGGCTCTTTTGGCCGGGGGTGGAGAGAGACCTTCTTCGCGTAAAGCTTCCGGACGATCGGAGTTCCATGGCAGCGTCGAAGGTTGCTGTAATAAAATTGTGTGTAAATTATTCATATTTATACGGGGACCAAACTTTTTTGTTTAAAATGTTTTTTTGAAAATAACGAATATTGTACTATATGCGAATTAGATCATGTAGGCACTAAACTAGCTAAACTTGAACATTTTTTGCAGGTTGTCTACTTTTATTTTCATTTTTAAAACTAAGATTTTTTAAATGGACAGCTGGTTTGGATTTCGCATATGTCTGATGATGGGGCTTTTGATTAAAATATTTATTGTTTCAATTCAATTTCAATTAAATGATTTTGAAATTGTCAATTTTAGCTTCTTCGAGTTGCAATAAATATATATGTTATATTAATTAATCCTGGAATGTATAGGTGATATAAAAAGCCGCAATAGGCCCTTGGTCTGCAATTTAAAAGCGTGGTGTCACAAGAAACGGTTTAAGTGGATATTCTTTAAAAATAAAAAATCAAAATTATACACAGGTAAAACTAGAAACTGGGGACACTTACTGACTATAACTGACAAAAATTTGGAAAATTGAGAACAGACAAAATATTTATTTACAAAATATTTTATTCAGTGGTTATTTTTTAAATCAACCCGGAGTAGTAATTATCCCAGTTTCTGACTAAATTTGTTAAACTCGTCTATTCTACAAACAAAGTTACTTATACTATATAATGTAACATATTAACATATAACAAACAGAAATACTGCTATTAAATTAATAACTGTGATTTTTGGATTACACTTATCATCATTACAGATCGCAATTTGTTTGAATTTTTCTTTTTTTATTTTACTCGCTAACATTTAACACATTGCAGTTCCGCAGATTTTTTTTGTGATGCACGGAATCAAATTCTTACGAGAATTTCGAGTATTATTGTTCGTATCGAGCCATCCGCCATCCTCATCATTGTCACAAATAAACATTTGGTCGGAATACCGGAGTCTCGAGGCAAGTGTAGGCACCTAAGTGCTTACCACGAATCAGTACACCCAATTGCAAGTAATTAAATTTATATTTAAGTCTTAAAGAGGTTTTAATGAATTGCCCGCTTATCTGGTCGTTATGTTACGTGTAAAACAACAACTGGTAATGGAATTTTATCAAAATTCTTTAAGTAAATATTACCCACTGACCCCTGTAGTACTAGTGTGTATTATAAAGGTTCCGGATCGTATAAAAATTACTTGAATTTTAATAAATATAATATACAGTTTGTTTCCAAACGAAATGGAAATCCACAAATTGAAGATAATATACACGTAATTGTATGCCGATGATATTTGACCTCATAGTCATACAGTTATAACGAGATAGAATGTGTATATGTTTTTCAAATAATTTCGGTAGTAGCAGCTGACGTTTTAAAGTGACACTTTATTTAAGAGCAGGGACTAGGAAAAATACGTTGTATATTCCGATTTGTCACATAAAAAACCCTCCGCGTGTTAATTTTCATTTTCTAAAATCTATATAATTAAGGCAATTTTTCAATTTTGTAACAAAAAACTTTTACACAAGTTGCTACTAACTTAAGTTAGGCTCAATTCATATAATTACTTTTAGTTTCTTCAGTTTAATTTCAAATTAATATAACTCTACACAACCTCAAAATCGATTTAATGCTTATTGCCTAGTGAATTCGTGACCTTTCGAGGGCGCATAGCTCGCCTATTTCGGATCAAACCCAAAGCGGGTTCAATACTGCCAAAATACCGAAAATTCGCGTGGACCGAATAACGGTATCAGTGTTTTCCTAATTAATTAATTCATTACCAATTATAGTTTACTTTAAAGGAAACTTATAACCAAAACTAATCTAATACACGAAAAAATTACTAAAGTATACTCTAAAGAACGAACGTTTGTTTCCTTTTAGATTCATTTCGATGGATGCATCGTAACTGATCTCATAGGTAAAGCTCACGGGTCCAGGAGTAACCGAATCAAAATCAAATATTAATTGAGCTATATTTTAGCTAAGTAATGAACGTAGAAAAATTCTCCAATGCCCTACTAATTTTTAGAAGCTGTAATAATTCTCCAATGTCAAGAAACAAAAAAGTCATTGTTTTCAAGATATATGATCGTGTGACCATGATACATCTTAATTGCTAAAATAAGTTTTCGTTACTTATGGCCATTATTTTTGAACGAGTAACAATGAGCTAGCATCATATGGGCCTACTACGATAAATAGATTCAAAAGTTTAATAAATTATTGGTGGGTCGCCCTATGGTGTGCAGAGATTTTACAAATTGTATAGCGTGAAAATTTTAGTGGTTATTTTTTGACGAAAATTATTAACATCATTATATTATTATATATAATATATATAATTATTTTTTGTGTTGCTAATTTTAACAAATTGATCAAACAAATCGATACTGCCCCTTCTTGCTTGAAAAACGAACCAACGTCAGTCCCAGCTACTGAGGCTGGGTTTTCACGGGAAACTGCACCGTTACCAACCGATTCTTCAAAACGTTGAGGCTGATTTAAAAAAAAATAAATTTAACAACCTTCTTATAGATAGGGAGGTTGTATGTTTTGAGTTGAGTTTAAAGAAAACAATTTTTTATTTAGTTGATGTTTCGGCAATTACCCTATTCCGAACCCTACCAGGTGGCCTATTAATAAAGAACGCCGGCCATATCTCTGGAAGTCCTCCAACTTAGGAAAAAAATATTTTTATGTAAATCGGCCAAGAGAAAAAGCTGTTCATAAAATGGTCGTTTGGGAGCGTAACCTCTACTGTAAAATAGAAAAAACGGGGTTTCTCAAAAATAATCCAAATTCACCTATATCAAAATTAGTTTTAACGTAATCTACTTTAGATAAGGAAACTGTTTTGTTTGAACTATTTTTTTCTATCTCGTCAAATTAAGGGTGGGGGAAGGGTCAAATATTGGTTAAGAAAAAGTTGAATAACTTTTTTTTGGCTAGTCCGATTTAAATTTAATTAGCATTTATACTAGCTGCGACTGGCATGTCAATATCACGATATTAGTTATTTTACGAGTCGGTAGGAGGCGCTTCATGCCAAAAACAGCTATTTTTATGTTTTTCTCGAAAATTTTAAATAAAATGGTACAAATATTTTTAGCTAAGATGAAAGAGCGTAAAAAATACAGCAAGTTGTGGAGATGGCAATATCTTTTTCCCCTTGATTAGCCAAAAAAAAGTTATTCAACTTTCTCTTAACCAATATTTGACCCTTCCCCCACCCTTAAATTGATTAGATAGAAAAAATAGTTCAAACAAAAAAGTTTCCTTTTCTAGAGTAGATTACGTTAAAACTAATTTTCAAATACGTTAATTTGGAATATTTTTGAGAAAACCTGTGGGCATTTTATGAACACGAAAATAATTTTCAGCTTTTCTCTTGACGGATTTACCTATAATTTTTTTTTCCAAGTTGTAGGACTAACAGTTCCTGAGATATGGCCGGCGTCCTTTATTAATGGGCCACCCGGAACTTAACCCTTCAACGGCTAGCGTTTTTTTATTTTAAGCCTGGTGTGGGTATCTCGATTTTATGTTTGTCTTGATTCGTTAGTATTCTTTTTGTTTGATAACATTTTGACCGATGGGGATTCAGGTGACCAAGAGGAGGGGGGTTTAGCTGACAACCTGAGTGGTAATCCATTATTAGCTTTAGCCGAGATAAGGGTAAAGAAACCTATTTGTGCAGAGTTAGATGTGCCTCTTCAAGATACTATAGAACGTATACCAGACCAGGACAGGAAAAAATCACCTGAATAAAGGGTGAGGGTTGAAGGTTGAGCAATTTATTGATCAAGAAATTATTGACCTACTCTTTAAACAATGTATAAAATATGCTCTCTTTTTAAATCATTCAGATATTAAAATTTCTCAATCATAACTTTAAATGGGTATCGCGAACTACAGGGAAAAGACATGTACTGGAGTACTCAAAGAAAGCTAAATGCAATGCGAAGAGATCTGTTTAGGCAGATTGTAAAATATTTCCAGTTCCGAAAACACAAAATCTAATAATAATGATTAAATGTGGAAATTACGACTCTCCATGGACAAGTTGCGAGCAAGTTTTATTATAAATTTTGTTTCTTAACAACATCTAAACTTTGATGAATCAATCGTAGAATACTTCGGAAGAGACAACGCTTTATACGAGGGAAGAAGATCTAGTGAATTCTGATGCATATCAAGGCAGCCCTTTCTTTGAAAATGGATTTGGAAATTTTATTTTGATAAACTTTCTACTGGTTTCAATATTTTACATTACCTGAAGCAACGTGTTTATGAAGGAACAGCGGCCATCCGCGACAATCGTATTCCTCTACCTCCGAAAAACGGGTTCACTAAATGTCCAAAAGGGGTGATTTTATGCCAGCTATTGATAAGGAAGATGGGATCATTGTTCTAAAGTGGCTTGATAATAATGCAGTAAGTATAGCTTCTGCCTGCCATGGAGTCAATCGCACTTCTCGAGTAAAAAGATTCTCTCACAAGGAAAAAAAGAATTGTACAGGAAAGGCAACCATCACAGAATATAACAGGATTATAGGCGGCAGAGATCTGATGCATACAAATATTTCAAGATATCGTATATCTTCCAGAAGAAAATAGTGGTGCTGGCTTCTTTTTACGTGGTTAGTCTACACTAGTACGTAAAACGTCCAATCGGTCGGTAGTAAATGCAGCTTGGCTACAGAATACGTTTTGCATTATCTTGAGAAAAATAAAACAGTTTCAAAAGGATCAGGTACTACTACTTTTAAAAACAGCGTACTTTGAACCGAGTGTCTGATAATATTCCACCATCGATAAAAAAAAAGAAAACGTGCCAGCGAAGGCTGTTTCTCAAATATACGCACCACGTGTTTCAATGCAACGTAGGATATATAACTATATTTTTTATACTAAATAAAAAAAAATTACAATGCCCAATATACATTTCGCTATTTACTTTTTTGTCTACCATTTGTGGCTTGCGTTACCATATGGTAACAGCAGTTTTTTTTGAGAGAATAAAAATTGCGATTAGATGGAGAAAAGTGGTTTACTTGATCATAATAAATAAAAATTATGACCAGACATAACTTATTTCTTATAATATTATTAATAATTAAAAATGATAACCAGACATAACTTATTTATTATTCCGCTGTTGAAGGGTTCCTATGACATTACTTTTTTAGAAATACCTTTTATGTCGACTAACTAAGAAATTTAATTGTTTGAAAGCCATCGTTTCCTTAATAAAATAAAATAATCGCTTTGTGTACATTGACATTTTCGGGCGAATTATAAATATGCATTAAAGATATCCGCAATCGAAAAATCGGGGGAAAAAAATCCGCAGGTGCGGCTTAATCGCCTCTAATTATAATAAGTTTGGTATAAAATAAATTTCGCAAGAATAACTGTAATGGGCTTAGTTACCAACTACATCGGTACACCTGCTAATAAACGGCTATAAAACTCGGAGGCCGCATTAGACGGGACAAATTTATATATTATGTTGATTAGACGTCGTGCAACCGTATATTTAAGTGGCCCGATTAAATTGGTTTTTATTTTAAATTTATGGATCGGCTTTTTTTTTTGCAAACTCTGACTACAAGCATACGTAAACGAAACGCGAAATTAAAATGCCGAAAATACGATTTTACTTCGGTCACCCAAACGATCGCCCATAAACTAGAAATTGCCGATCGATTATTTATTTGCATAATTAATTTTTAGGTTTGATGCATAATTTTACTTTTAAACAATTTACACGCGGAGCCGATGCCTACAGAAAAACAAAATTTTGTGTAGGCGGGCGAAATTCTGTTACACACGGTCCGAGATACATTCAAGCACACAAATTTACATATATGTATAACATTTTTACGATAACTATAAAGGGACCTCATCGATATTGATTTTTATTAGCAACATAATGCCATTTGGATTGTTGTAAAATCAAACGGCGAGATTTATTTGCGAGGTTAATTACGTGAATAATCCGTTAAACTATGTAAATTTATACGAAATTTTGGACTTATTGACTGTGAGTGGTCTAAACCTCTCAGTTGTGTAACTACTGATGAGTAATTTTAGGGTTACGTGCTGTGTCAAATATCAATTTGTCGATAGTAGACGACTAATCAAGTAATGTCAATAATGAGAAAAAGTCAAAACTCTCGAAATAAGAAGTCAATTTATTTAAAAAGCAAATCATGCTGTATTATGATTTATGGTTTTATCGCTGATCGCCCGAGTGCAGCAATAACATTTTTGTTTCGAGTGCTTTAAACTTTTTTGTTTTGTTTTTGGAGTTTTCTATCATTTATTTTCAATATATTGCCAAAAAAAAATTAAGATTTTTTTGTTAAAAAACATTATTTATTAATTTATGCGGCGTTAGTAATTATTTTACTTGAATTCCAATATTTTTATATTTCGTAGTTGCTGCAATTTTTATGTTAATTTTTTTTTGGTCCGAATCATTTGAAACAATTTAATATTTAAAACTAATTGTTTTTTATGTTTTGTGTGTTTGACATTGCAAAAATACGAACAATGCAAGGCAAAAATTGTAAAATCGTTTTAATTCGCCGTGTTACAAAAGAATTGTCTGTTATGCCTCAAAAGTGATAAAAAATCTATGTTTCTACAGGACTAACGAGTATCTCACCGAGATCTTTTCTTCTGAGGTGGTGGTCAGTCTTTGAGTAGCCGCTCCTGCCGAAACATCGGCGAGTCCCCTCACTTGTAACATTTGTGCAGTCTTTAAAAAATCCGTCAAGTTTTCTTGACCAACGTTCACTTCACCGTTGTACATAAACCTTTAAAAAAACGATAAATAAACGACTAGGATTATTTTCAATTTAACATACTAAACAAAAGTTTTCGAGGATCTTTATTTGGATCGAATTATGTATCACAATATGTCCAGGGTGGCCCATTTACCATGGAACACTATCGTGTCCAAGAAAATACACGAATTGAGGCGAAAAGTTAAATATACAAAGTTGTGTTTCGCAAAAACTTCACAGTCGGATGTTATTTTATATATAGTGGTCCTCAAGTGGGTCTGGACCAAGAAAAAATTTGACCAAGTCAACGAAACAAACTGATACACATTCTGAAGATTTTTGTTCTTAAAACTTTAACATCTTAAATCCAAAAAGTTTAGCGGTTTAGAGAGTTATTTGCTCTTTCCTACTCAAAGTCTTGGCAAGATCGAACGAAACATCTGCTATAACTTTCTAATTTTTTCCCTCCCTTTTCCTTTAGGGTGCAATTATAAACACCAGAAAAAACTTCAATAATGAAAAATAAGTAAATTCAATCCACACTTTTTTTTAATAGATAACAGTTTTCAAATTTATTTTTGAAAAAAAAAAGATTTTGATCGATGGATTCGTATTAATAGTCAATCAGTAAGGAAGCCAATCAAACCTAAGGGTTGCTTATAGCAAAAATGGATAAGTTTTCAAACGGTACGTTCGTCATAGTAATAAAAGTCTTTAGAAAAATATTATGCAACAAGTTTGATAAACGCAATTCTAGCTGCGAATTAATAAACGAGTGACATGTGGCATGACTGTCAGAATTGAAAAACGTCAAAACACCGTGGCTAAAATCTATCCAAAACATCCGATTTCTTGTCAACCCAGGACTAAAACACCTGAAATGCGTGCATAGTTAAGTATTTTAGAGTAGGAAAAAAGTAGATATTATAACGAAATGTGTGTACAACTTCGCTTAATGATATGAACTATGCAATCATAAAATCAAATACGTATAATCTGAAACATTTACAAAATAGATTCCAGTGCACCTCTTTATTTTTGGGGTTATACTAAATCGGTACTATCCCAAGACAAATCTAGAAAGATCAATCGAACCAATATATACCTCATACATAGATAGCGAGGCTTACGCATTTTAGCATCCCCTTGTTAACCAATAAAACCACTATATATCATTATACCATTAGCTATAGAAGTGAAAATGGCTTTTGGGCGCTTTTTTAGTAGCGGTACCAACAAAAAAAGCAGTTCCTTATCACTTATCCGATTTTAGATTTTCAAGAAATGTTTTGTGGTGACGGAATTTGCACTTACAGTGTGCACTTATTGTTAGTTTAAAGATCTCGAAAGTTTAGTGTCCCTAAACTAAATAGAAAAATCTAGAACAGTTGCTTTAAGTATTTTAGGCATTTTATCGTTTCGATATAGATGTTGTCATTAAGGTAAATATCGACTTTGGTATAGGTATGTAAAAGCCAACCTTAATAAATTCTCCATGTCTTTTTGCTGGACGTCCCTGAGTATTATTATAGGATGTTGGCAGGGATTGGCTTTAAGCAGTCTCCGAAAATAGGGACTGCATGCTGAAAGCACCACCTTATGTGCCGTGAAGGAACATCCGTCGCACGCCAGGGTGACGTCCACGAAATCTTCCTGAAAATAAAATCCTTCTGTTGGGAAAAAATAGTTCGGGAACCAGGAACCTTTAATATGCTAATTAAGGATTAGATAAATGCATTTTTCGCTAGATTAATGATATAATACAAAGTTAATACACCTCCTTTCAATATATTTTGTTTAGCCAATAGGGGGCGGCTTGTTATTTCACTGATTGTAAGAATGTAAAGCCGTTAAAAAAATTATGTCGCCGCTAAATCAATATTTCACACAACAGATTTGGCGTATTTTTGTGTTCGTTACGGAGTAACCCCTATTGTTCAAAAATAGTATAAGAAAATTATTCGATTTTTCTCGGAAATTATATGGAAACTCGCTAGCAAATTTCCAGAAAAAATATGCTATGAAATAACCTGGTACGATCGATTTATGCGTAAAAAAGTAAGCCAAGTCACTAAAGTTAGAAATTGTCCTAAAGATACCCCACAGACGACAGTGAACTTATTTTATTTATTAATTATTTTGTTTTTCAATTTTATTCATTTATACTTGGAAGTAGGAATGGATGTGGTCTGTTATTCGATTATTTGTCTGAGCTAGCATTTTCAAGATTTGAGTAATTTATAAATAATTTATAATAAAAAAAGGCGCTTTGTGTAATATCATTTCAAATCGTGAAAAAGTGGACGTTGACTATTTATCAATATAATGAAACGCCTTTTATTTACTTACGTTAGAGGCAGATTTTAAATAGTTTATTAATTAAAAACCGTCATATAAAAAAAGCTTCCATTTGCTAAAATTTTAAAAGGAGTTTCTAGTCCCTATTTTAAAATACGATGGATCGGATGGTCAAGTGACACGTGGCACGTCACCCAGAATCAATTTCTTTTGCAATAATGTACCCAAAAATTAATAGTAGTAGAAACAGTATTCAATACGTTAATAAACTTGTTTATTAAACACTTGTCCGCTAGTGTCAAAACAAACTCATGACTAAAGTATAGTTTATTAGTTTAAACGAACAAACCTAATCAGCGATTTTTTAAACGACGGCTGTAGTAAGAGTTAAATGATAACATTGACTTTTAAATCCTTCATCTTGCTTTCCTGACCAAACTGTTGTGGTGTGGAATTTGAAAAAACGGCTTCTAGTTCGTTCGTTTGATGATGTTCTCCAATGGTTTTCACAAAGATGTGCACGATATCTAGGATATTACGAAATGAAAAATGACAAATTTGTTAATGAGAGTGAGAAATATAAAATGATTTTCAACTATCGACGCGCTAAATTCGCTGCAAATTAAAATTCAAAATGGTTAGTGAATGTGTTTAATATATTTGAATTCAGAATCGAAAGATCTGTGCAGAGAAATAAAACTATACAGAAGTTATCCATTTGACGTCGTATCTTTGACATTTGACAGGTGCGTTCTGATTCGGTTTGCCATTCAAAAGCTGCATAGAAAACATCTGTTAAAATTTGAAAATTGCAAACAGGAAAACTTCAATTTCAAGCTGGCCACTTAAAATGATCTACTCTGTCCAGGCAAATTATAAATTTACGAAACGTCATTCAAAATAATAATAAAATATTAAGAAAAAACGCAAAAAGTATCGAATAAAACTGAAATTGAGTTCTTCGCGTTTTTAGGAATTTAGACCTCTCTAGAAAAAAGGGTCGAAACTTGATCTGAAGAAGTCGTAACGTCTCACCTCGTCGCGAAGGTGTCGAAACGACGACAGTATCGACGAATGGAAGTCGTTCCACCGCAACGAGTACTGCTGCTCGGGGGAGGTATCGCCCCCCATTGGGCAAAGTGAAGGGGAAATCTCTACGCCAATGGTTATGCCGTGTGGTCACGATCCGCCGGATTGACTGTGGCGACTACCGGGCTGCTTAATTCGCCCGTCGATCATTTAAGCAACACGCGCTTTCTTGCTTAGTCATGGGTGGTGTGGCTTCTTTCTTCCGATTTGCTTCTTGCTTGAGGTCGAGTGTCGAACGATTCCGGTGACTCACGTGCGAATCTGAAACAAAAAACCCGTAATTAGATTTTTTTTACGAACACGATTTGATTAAGCCACCAAAAAAATATTTGTTTTCATTAGTCTCATAGGAAAAGGATTTCGCCACCCAATTCAATTACAACAAAATTCCGATAACGGTAAATGGCTCATCAACGTGTCATTTGGTTGGTCCACGAAAGCAAAAAATGTCACAAACAGTCACTCGTCGAGTCGAATAGTTTTACACAAGTTTGCCATCAAAATGTCTTGGGTTTCACCATTTTTATGACTCCTATCGGCCACCCGAAACTCGACAGGATTAACCGACTTTTTACAAAATTTCTGGATTCCTGCTGCGTCGGTTTTTGCTGAATCGAACTTGCTAACGTTTCGCCAATCATCCTGCTGGCTTCCTCAGAGCTTGACTGAAACTGTCTCGTACTTTACTCTGTACCTGCTTATATATTGTTTGAGGGGGACGGAGTTAAATAAACACCGTCTCGGATGACTGATTCCCATATTGGTGACTGGTTTAATTCCTGAGTCGCGGATAAGATTGCTAGGTTGTGTATAGATTTCTATAGACTCTCGGATTTTTCGTTGGTAGAAGAATTGATTACATGCAGGAATTTCAGTTTTATAGAATAAAATTTTATGACCGGTTTCGTGATTGTGTTCGGCAACTACTGATGAGTTTATTTGTCTTTAGTTTATATGTTTTTATGTCCGGTCTCTCCAATGTATTCTTTGCCGCATATGCATGGAATTTTGTCTTTGATGGATCGAAGATGTTGAAAGATTTTTGGACAAGTGGTGAATCTGGTTTTGAAGCTATATTTCATTATAAGTTTTGATATGTGTAGGGATGTTCCGATACCATTAAAATATCGATACTTACTTATTTCGATAGCAATCAAATCTTTTTTCGATACTACTCAAATAAATACTCCTAAAGTATCGATACTTACTCATATCAATACTTTTAGAACTTTATTATTTTTTTATTTATTTTAGAGAAACTAACAATGAACGTTGAAGGACAATGATTAAAACAAAATTAAGAAGGAAAAGAAAACCTTTATTATAAACGTTTGCGTCACGTTAAGCACGTACTTTAAATAAAAATCTCTATGATAACATTGGAATAATAAGCCGATGATTACAATAAATAAAATTATTCGTAAGCAATCTCTTGCATGTTTGACAATTTATGTTATTTGACAATGAAAAAAAATGATGGGCGGGCGTCTTTTTCGCGTTTGTCGCGTTCGGTTTTTTTTTAATGGTGAGGCTGATTCGATTTGATACCAAGTACTTTTGTTTCGATACCGAGAAAGTATCGCAAGATTGATTCGATGCTACAAATACTTGGTATCGAATCAAAAGTATCGAGTACCTACTCGTATTTACTAGTATCGGAATATCCCTAGATATGTGGTCAGTGATGTTTTGAATGTAAGGAAGGATCACAGTGGCGAGTGTAGGATTGCTTTCGGCTTCGTTGCTTTTGGACATAATACCAGCACCATTGGTTGTCCAATTCCCTAGCAAAATATCTAGCTTCCTTATTAAAAGCCTTTCTCGGGAAAACTGATAGATAGCGACGCAGGAGCAATCCAGAAGTTTTTTAAAAAGTATTAGGGTAGCCAGTGGAAGGTTCTTGCTTGCTGAGCAAAAGCTTCCTAATTCCGATTGGAGAATCTACGAAAATGTATCGGAAATGTAGACAAATATTAAAAAACTCTAATGTGAAACTGATTTTCGAATGACAACATAAAATCTGAACGTGACAAACCTTGAAAACCATAAAGCAAATTGTAGGACTGATTAATAATATACTTTTACTTTAAAAAACATAATTGATGAAATTATAATTTTGATACTTCGCTTATCCAATACGTTTTCACCTTCCAACACTTTTTAAAACTCTTATTAGTCAATGAGTTATTTTTCTGACATCCAGAATCTGTCAACAGGGTAAAAATAAAGATACCTGGCAGTGTGCGCTAAGATATTTTGCATCTACACCAAAAACCTTCAATTTAGACTGAGGGTTCAACTGACATTATTATTGAAAATAGTCTTGCTTAACTCTTAACAGCGAAAAAATGAGTAAGGTGTTAGAAGTAAGAGTTAGTGTGTCAAACTTAGATATATGCGCAGAACCTAATTCCCACAAGCACGAAAATGTTTCCGTATGTATGGCCTCTATACCTCTACTTAGTTATTATACCTTTAGAACCTTTTGTTCTAATAAGTCAAATTATAATGTTTTGCCCAAATTGAATCTGGGTCCAACAGCATAACAAAATGGACTGCAGAATTTTCTATCGAAATTTCCTATATATAGCGTCAAATTGTTAAAAAAAGGAATACATTTTTTGTGCTTCAAGGTCAGACGCAAGCAATTCCGTCGAGACAAAACTGGGGCTCAAATTAACCAAACAGCAGTTTTGATATGAACATAATGAGAAACTGATGCAAGGATTATTTTTAAAATAAAATTTTGTTCTAAGCTTGGCTTGTAATCTGTGATGGACCTTGATACCTTTGAGAAAAATTACTGTGCCGATGATAACGAGTTCACAAATGGGAGATAATGGTCTGTCATATGTGCAAGGCTTCATCACTGTTAATCTGACCTACTCACGGGTAAACTGGTGATAGAGAACATTATTGTACCTTAACAAACAGGGTAGAAATTTACAGTTTTCATCTATGGTATAGGTTTGCACATTTTAGGTTCATAAGAAAAATATTGGATAAGTATTCGAAATCGGACATTTTCAAACAAATTTAACCCACATTTTTGATCGCTAATGGTATTTATCAAATACTGGGCAAAATCTAGCTTACACTGTATATGATCGTCATAAAAGTTGCTTGTCAGGTTTCCGAATTCGTATTTCAACCTTCGGATTGATATAACAAAAATTAATGAGAATCAATCCGGCTAAAACGCAAAACTCATTACTTGGAGCGTAAGTGTATTCGAACCCAAGCCGAGTTAATTGCCGAATACAACTGGCTAATTATAACTTTTTCGAGTAATAAAACTAGTTTCCCATTTTTGTAACGCGCACCCAAATTATTTTTAAGAGTCCACTTTAGGTGGCCGAGTAAAGAGAGAGAGAAAGAGAGAACCCACCTAAAAATTTTATTACCCGGAAATTTCGAAATTTATTAATATATTCGAATATTTAACGATGAGAAGATTCACATGGTGAGCGTTAAAAAAGGCAAGAATTATAATCTTAATGCGGCGATAAATAACTGAGCCGAAATGAGACTTTACATGCAAACGAAATAAATTGTTTGATTATAGTTGGTTTAGAAGTGAAAGGGGGACCAAACATTTTAAATTACTGAACTTAAACTTATTGGTTCTTCAGAATCCAATGTTTGGGTATATAGGAAAGCCTTCCTTTAAACTAAACTTGTTGACAACTTTATTATGCAGTTTGCCTCTTGTCTGCTAAGACAATGCTAGCCTAAATTTTTACCTCACTCCAAAAGTAGTGGAAAGTTAAAAACTATAATTTATAACGATATAACGTATATGGGAAAGAGTTTTAGATAAATATTTTTATTCCCCAAAGCCAGTGCTCTAAAAAGGAATACTGCAGGCTGCACAGAGTGTTTAAAATTTTAACTGAACCTTTTTGATTTACTACGTATATTTAACCTTTCTTGAAATTTTCACACATGAGTGAAATTGTCGTTAAATTGACCCATAGTATAAAACAACAAACACTCAAATTCGTTTCAAAATAAAAGGGTCGAATTGTGGTCAAAATTTATGAAAATATGGAGTGGTGAGTGTATTAAAATTAATTAAGTTAATATTTTTTTATTAATGTTGACATTCCTTATCTTTCTGGATCGAAATTTTTAAGACAAGTGAATTTTTTGGAACTGTCGCAAAGTATTTATTTATTGCGAGCGAAAGAGAATACTTACCTAAGATTCCAATAATCACGATGGGTCAACTTTCAGTTCTAGATAATAGTTCAAGTCCAATTTGTGTGGGATTTCGCTTTCTGATTTGAACGCGATCGAGGTCGACTTGACGACACGTTTCAAATTTTTACCACTCTTAAGATGACAACCATGTTGGAATACAATATGATGGTCGAGTATAAGTATATACCAAATATACAACATCAAAAACATAAATTACATTTATTTTAAGATTTACTCCGCTCTAATAAAAATATATAGTTGCTGAAAATATCTTCGATGTCGACGTTCTGGTTGATATTTCAATGTGTTAGCCTTAAAGCCGCAAGGTTAAGTTAATTGAAATATTTCTTTTCTTTCAATTTAAAAAATGCTTATGTCGGTAGTTGCAGTGACTAAACTGACGACAATCGTATGATGAAAAAATTTGAATCACAACCAAAAGCAAAACTTAGTCAAAAGGGAGATTAAACTTGATTAATCAACTTGTGTTTGCAATAATTTGTTTTATAATCATTCGTTTTTTCTTAATAGGCTTGCGGTCGAATTCCATTATCTGTAAATTTGTTTTCAAATAAAGTCAAAGTAAACAAAACATATTTCTGTTTTTTACATATAAATTTCATTTTAAATTTTAAAGTAGTAAAAAATAACATTTAAAGACAAAAAGCTTGCGAAGTTCATTCTCACCACAAGCTACATGAATCGACGAGTACCTACATTGCGTAAAAATCATGAAAAATATCTTTTTTTCTGCATTTGATATCAAAATTATTTAAAACTCAATTGAAAATAGTAATCAAAGTGGTTTGTTAAATCACAGAAAAAGTGAACCATTCCTTCACAAGTGAGAAAAATTACGCAAGCATATTATAATTGGTTGCATACTGTGAGTTTCATTTTGGTGTAGAATCTAAAACGAAATTTAACGAAATGTTGCCAAGTGTATGTAGAAGTGGCAACCAGGCATAGTTTCCAATAATTTAGAGCGATGGAGCAAATCGGCTGACGTCAGAGTGTATAATTGATTCAAATAAATCCGTTAGAAAATAGTCACTAAC